GTTATGGCGCTAACTATATATAACTACTACATCACTAATGTCCAACACAAAAAGACAACTCCGAAACCCAAAACCAGCCTATCAGAGAGGCAACTAGTGCTAGTTAGCGAAGTGCCAGCTGCTTTCGACGCTCTTAAACTAATAAATGCTTTCAACCACGCATTTACTACCAAAGGAGGTGTTCAATCTCCTGTAGTAGCCTCAATCACGCCCTCCACCAAAGGCAATAAAGTAGTCACCACTACCCCAGCCTTCACAGCTAAGTACCTGCTAGAAAATCAGGATATCTGGAAGGATATTACAACCTACAAGGTTGCCCAGCCAATAAGCCCGTGGTATAAGGTAGTTATTCACAAACTACCAACGAACCACAGGCTAGAAGTCCTAAAGGAAGAAATTGAAACTTTCAATAAAGGCCTAAAAATAGTAGGCTCTCCCTTCTGGCTTACCCTAGAGACTAGAAGAGAGAACCAGAACTTCGGATCTGCCTGCGTCGCTTTTGCTACTGAAGAGGAAGCCTAAAGAGCTATTAGAGGAAAACTCTATATCTTTAGGCAAAGCCTTAGAGCTGGAAAGCTTAGAGTTATTAATAACTTAAAGCAATGCTCAAAATGCCAGGGCTTTAGCCACCTAGAGGCTAGGTGCACTAAAATAGCCTGTCAGATGTGCAGCGAGGCTCACTACACCAGCCTACACAAATGTAAATCTTGCCCTATAAAGGGCAAAGCATGCGTCCATACTATATTTAAGTGTGTTAACTGCAGCAAACCTCACGCAGCAAACAGCCCTAGCTGTGATATCCTTATAGCTAGGACCACTAGAACGAGCAACCCTAACAACTAGGATGATAAAAATCCTACAAATAAATGGTAATAGAAACAGTGCTACTACTGAGAGCGCGCTTAATCTAGCTCTTCAAGTAGACGCTAAAATCGTTGCAGTACAGGAGCCCTGGCTACCCAGGGGACCCTCGTACGCAAATACTAGATCTACCGCTCACCAGGACTTTACTCAGATACTACCTAACCTAGAAGACAGCTCCCTAAGGCCTAGAGTACTATTCTATATTAGAAAAGACCTAGAGGTAGAAGTTAATCCTTATATTAGCGATGATAACGACTTTATAGCTATTAAAGTATTAGCTACTACCTCAAATCTCTACATCTACAACATTTATAACGAAAAAAGCCTTCAGGAAGGCCTAAACTAGATGACAATCCAGAGGCGCCTCCTACAAGAGACTGTGCAACCTCACTCAATTATTCTAGGGGACTTCAACACCTACCACCCTAGATGGAGCCTAGTGGATCGCAGCCCTAGCACACAAGCAAAGGACCTAGTAGAGTGGATAGATACTCAAAATCTCACGCTGCTAAATACCCTAGGGACCGGAACTTTCTACAGAAGTAATATGCGGAAAGAAAGCGTACTAGATCTTTCCTTTGCAACTAACAATATAGCTGCTAGCATCCAGGACTGGCAGACTATACCGGAAGTAGGATCTGATCATCATGCTATATTGTTTAGTATCGACACGCCCAGCCAGCTGCATAAGCAGCCGAAACGATACAATACGAAGCGAACAGACTGGACCATCTTCAAGGAGACACTAGACGAAGACATTAAAGCTCTAGAACTAGAAGAGCGACTGTTAACACTACCTCCTTTCTCAAACTATACCTCAAGAAGTCTTATCCTAGGACAAAATATCCTTCTAGAAACTAAGCTAGATAAATTAGGAGAGGATCTCACGAAGGCTATACAGTACGCACTAGAAAGGTCAACTCCGCTAGTTAACCAAAGGCCCAAGCCAAAGCCATGGTGGACTAGCGAACTAGATAGCCGTAAAAGAGATTTAAGTCGGGCTTATAGAGCCTATAAAAACGAGGCGAACAAAGAGAACAATAGCTCCCTCTACCAGTGAAAAAGAGAATATCTCTGCACGAAGAATCGATGTCTAAGAGCTATCCGACGAGCCAAATAGAACCACTGGGAAACCTTCCTCCAAAAAGACTCACCTAGGGAGATCTTTAGAGCGCTAGCATATACAAAAGACAACCTTAGTACCCGAATACCTACAATCAAAGGCAAGGAATCGTTTACTGAGAAATGTAAGGCTTTCAGAGAGGACCTCTTTCCTCCGCCACCAACAACAACAACTCCCTCCCTCCCCACCTACAGAGGAGACAGCAGGTGGACCTGGCCCGCTCTAATAAAGGACTAGCTCACCTGGGTCTGATCTAATCAGCCAGGAAGTTATCCAAAAGGCATACACAATGCAGCCAGAAACGCTATTTCAGATATACTCTACTTTCTTTAATCTAGGCTACCACCCAAGGTGCTGGAGAAAAGCAAAAGGAGTTATCTTGAGAAAACCAAACAAACCTGACTACTCGAAACCAAAGGCCTACCGAGTAATTTCGCTACTAAACTGCCTAGGCAAAGTACTAGAGAGGCTAGTAGCTAGGAGACTAGGCGCACTAGCGGAAACAACTGATCTACTCCACCCCTCTCAACTAGGAGGAAGACAAAAGAAATCCGCTATCGACGCTGCGCTGCTCTTCTATAATAACATACAGCAGCAGAAAAGAAAGCAGAAAGCGACTACTACTATCTTTCTAGATATCAAAGGAGCCTTCGACCACGTCTTAAAAAACAAGCTACTAGAAGGCATGAGAGACCAAGGCCTACCCTGCTGCCTACTAGCCTGGACAAAATCCTTTCTCGAAGAGAGGGTACTAGAGCTTTCCTTTAATAGACAAACTAAGAAGCCACAGTAAATCTTGACAGGAACGCCTTAAGGAAGCCTAGCCTCGCCCATCCTGTTTCTAATTTACTCCAAACCGCTATTTTAGGCGATTTAAGTAAGTGCAAATATCTACTCCTCGTCTTATATAGACGACCTATAAATCTCTATATCATCTACGTTAGTAAAGAGAAATATAAGGCTACTAGAAAAAGAGATCTAGAATCTCTTTAGACTAGTAGAGAAGTTAGCTATCTAATTTAATAGCTTAAAGACTAAATTAGTTAACTAGACAAGATCTAGAAAAGATTAAAGTAGAGTTGTTACTCTACTAAACCACGAAAGAGTATACTCTAAGGAGCTGGTTAAATGGCTAGGTGTCCACTTTAATAGCAGCCTCAAATTCAAACACCACAGCCACATCAGGAACCAAGAGGCTAGCGCAGCTTTTCACCGGCTTAGCAGGCTAGCCAACTCAAACAAAGGCCTCTCGCCTAGAGCAGTGCGACAGCTCTATTTAGCCTGCGTCACGAGCGTAGCAGACTACGGGTGTCAAATCTTCTAGAAGGAGCAGTAGATAACACTTAACCAGAGGCAGAAGCTGCAAAATCAAGCCTGTAAAAAAAATCCTAGGATCCTTTTAAACATCACCGACTATACTAAGCGAGGTAGAAGCAGCCTTATACCCTCCTAGAATTAGGCTAAACAACGCCCTACGATAATACGCCTTTAGAGCTAGAAAACTAGCCCCTAGTCACCCTCTTAACATTGCTATCGCTAGCAACTAAGGGAAACAGCTAGAGCGTATTACTAGATCTATCTTAATAGCCCTATCTACAGATTGTGAAAAGATTCAGCACTACGCGTCAAAGCTATAGAACTTAAAAATACTCTATAAGACAATTATATCTAAGAAGTCTAAGGAAGCCAAAGTAAAAGAATATAAAGAACTACTAGAAGATAAATACCTCCTCTCTATCTACTCAGACGCCTCAGCTACAAGCAAAGGCAAGGGTATAGGAGTTAGAGTAGCTTACTATAAAGGAGCTAGCCTAATAGCTTAGAAATAGGGTAATATATGATACAACTAGCTAGTCTATAATAAGGAGCTAAAAGGTATTACCCTAGGCCTAAAGAAAGCCGTTAATCTAGTAGAAGACTACCTAGAAGTTAAAGTATATGTAGATAATTAGGCCGTAATACTTAGACTAAGAACTGTTTCTAATAACTCTAGGTAAGAATAGTAACTTAGATATATTAGAGCAGCAAAAAAGCTTAAGGAGAAAGGCCTAATACCCACGATCTACTGGGTACCTAGCCACCAGGACATCATAGGAAACGAAAAAGCAGATGCGCTAGCAAAGGAGGCAACAAAGCTAGACCCATATATTAAGCTTATAGTAGCATTTAGCATATACAAGCATGCCTTCCGAATTTATCCGTAGTAGTTGATCAACTGGGTTTCTTAGCGTGCGTTGAAGCGAGTCCTGGTAAAGAAAATTCGTCGTGATTACTGTGCTGTAATATATTTTACGAAACCTCAAGTTTACTCTTCTGTTCTAGAATCGGTGATAACATGATGGCTATCTTGGAGGCTTTATTGCCAGGATCACGCCTTAGGCTATAAGGTTGGATTTCACTCCCTCTCTATAGCATGCATTACCCCACGGCGATGAATTGTGCAGCTCATACCGTGAAGATCGGCCACTTATGCGCAGCGACGCCAGCCTAATGGATGGTGACCAAAAAGGCGAGAATGGCCATCTTAGCCCTCTCAGCGCATTCGGCTCGCCCATCTTATTATCCCGTCAACCGACCTTATTTGATCGCCGCCCTCAGCTTCGGTACACATAAAATTCATCAACAAGACACAGCTTACTATAGACACCATGCATATGTAGATACTTTCATCCCTTTCATCGATGTGTCATAGAGCACCCATTAATCGATCCATCCATCAAAAAACTCTAATACAAATCTTTATGGAAAGCATCAGTTCAGCTACCAAGGATATCGCTTGTTTAGCTCATGGAGGTATGCCGTACCCCATTGAATATCTCCCGGAGTTCCTGGAAGATTAACACCCCATTCGCTTGCCATTTGAATGCGGCTTCCGAGACTGCGATTGAACCCCCTGACTTCCATATTATCGGCAGCGGAGTTCCTGTCTTAGGAGATATCAGCTTCGACATTGTGAGGGGCAATACAGTCAATTGACAGAATACTTACCAAACTTTGCAGGCCAGATGCAAGGCTATCCGGATGATTCACTCTGGTTGCAAGGAGCATGACTTCGACGAAAAGGATGTTGAAAGGTTCCCTGGATGTTCTCATCTTGATTGGGTGTGGACAACGTTATGCTAATGCCGTCGTTGGTGACGTTAATTGTGGGCCGGAGGCTTTTGACGCCGTCCCAGGCCTTCTGCCAGATTGAGAGTTCATTTTGTTCTTGAATATGTCCTCTTCCCTCGTTCTCTCCCTCTTTCTCTCCCTCTTTCTCCCCTTCTTCTTGCGTTGTATTCGTACTCGCACTTGTACCCATACTAGGCGTCGATCCTGGTGTCTCTCTTGACTTTTGATCCGCATTTAGTGCATCTTCTCCCTGTCCAGGTGCGGAGGTGGATTCGGAGCCATCAAAGGAAACTCCTAGCGACCTTGCAGCGTCTGTTTGAAGAACTTCGATAGGACTTTCGAGCTGTTGAACAAAGCGAGGGCTTTCCGCCTCATGTTTTCCTCCATACCAGCTACGGATCATACTCTTTGCATGGATAGCAATGTCGTTCTGCTGACGCCACCAATGGAGAAACCCGGATGAGCCACCTCCATTGACAAATTCTCGTCCATGCTCATAGAACCTTGCTCCCTTATCCACAAAGTCCCTCTGGTTCCTTCTTTTGAGCTCCTCGAGATTCCGGTTAAATGCACGCTTTTGCGCTTCTACTTCTGCAGTCCAGTGTGTCGTAACGAATGTGACCTGCGGCATGAATCTGGAGCCGCAAAAGCTTAGGAGAAAGGGCCGCAATTTGTCATCGATATCTTCGTTTCGATCGATGATTCTGCTTACGTAGAGGACGCCAACGATTCGAGCTTTGGACCGAATGCGGTCGATCCCACGTGCGATTTCGGTAAGAGCCGCTTCTTCTGCATTTGTATTGATGCCAGGCGTGTCCATGACGAAAAGCAGAGTCTGACCAACCCCAACAGCTTCGATCTGGATCGTCTTGGTAACTATCAGCGTTAGGACGTACGATTATCGGCGGCTACAAATCGTTTCCGCGTCCGCATCATTTACCAGGATCTGTACCATCACCCGCGTGGCCACTGGCACCGGTCACGCTCTCCAAGAATGATGATTTCCCGACTCCGGGACGTCCCAAAAGGAGAAGTATCTTTGCTGGATCAGAATCAGACCTGCAACTGGTGTTAACGAGTGAGGTTTAGACAATGATTAGGCTGAGCTCTCACAAACTGTTGATCATGTCGATACACCATTGCGTTTTGTCCTGGATTGAGATGATGTCTTTCTCGTTGGAGCTGGAATTTTCTCCATTTCTGAGTTCCATTGCTTTATGGATATGGGTAGTGAAATACGGAAAGATGTTCTCGAAGAAGGTCTTTACAGGATCGGCATGAGAGTTTACCCCGCATCAGGCTGAGAGATTGCCCAACTCAGACAAACATGTCACGCCACAAAGAAGAACCAATCAGTAATTTCTATACATTACACCACCGCTTCACCGGTCACTTTTACGACGCGAATGCAAGTAGCCTACAGCTTTGGCACCTGGTACGACGGTACGACGGCCCACACAATGCCATAAGAGCAAAAGCTTCGCTTATCTGCTGAGGATTGTAAATTACAAATACTCTGTCAAATAACTACAGCTTATTCAGACTTGTACTGGTCAAATTCAGAGCTCGCTTCAGTCGGAAGTACCTACCAGGATGACGGGCTTGCGCGAATCTATGTGCATTGGTAGTGACAGAACTGCCAATGACTTCCTACTATTGCAATAGTGTTCTGCTGCTCAAGTCCTATTTCTTATATTTTCCGAACAGGGTAGAGCTTATAATGAGTCCCATAATAAGGGTGTCTTGTTTATAGTATCAAAGGTGGCTTTTTGTAAGATTAGCAAGAGCGCTGTAAGCTGTGCGTAATTTTTTAGCTAAATACACTTTGGAATATGTAGAAATAGTTAAAGTACAAAACTTAAGAGTACTAACACAGTATCAAGACGTGTGGTCAAAGGTTTAAACTGCTTAAAGATAGGTACCTCGCTTATTTCTCGACCAACGGTGTTTTTCTACTAACAGTGGGGAACGTTAGCCCCGATAGACACAAGGCTCGAGAGTCGCGCGACCGTGAAGAAGTGGTGGTGCACTACGGCACTATCGCATCTGGCAACCAGGTGATGCGAAGCGCTGCCGAGAGAGACAGAGTTAGCACGGAGCTCGGTGGGGTGCTGTGCTTTGAGATGGAGGCGGCGGGGCTAATGAACAGCTTCCCGTGTCTTGTCGTGCGCGGTATTTGCGACTACGCGGACTCGCATAAGGACAAGCGTTGGCAGCCATATGCGGCGGCGATGGCGGCGGCGTACGCTAAGGAGGTGCTATCGGTGATACCACTAGCGCAGGTGGCGGCGTCACGCACAGCAGAGGAAGCGATCAGAAAGGCGAGTGGTTAGTGTGGCTACCGTATGTGATAGTGATGCATCGAGACTAATAGAACGCTCGAGGGTATAGCTAAACCGGCCTACTGCATCCCCTTCCTAAAGAACCGACACTTTGTCGGACGGCCCAACGAGCTTGCTATACTGCGGAAGCGGCTGCTTGTAGATCAGGACTGTCAGAAGATGTCTATCGTCGGACTCGGCGGGACAGGCAAGACGCAGGTGGCGCTGCAGTTTGCGTATGAAGTCAAGGAAGCACAGCCAGAGTGGTCGATCCTCTGGATGCCAGCGCTGAGCATGGAGAGCTTCGAGCAGGCGTGTACAGAGATTGTGCATGCACTACACATACCGCAAGCAGCAGATGAAAAGGACGGAAAAGAGCTAGTGAAGGCATGGCTGAGTTCAGGCGATGCAGGGCGGTGGCTGCTAGTAGTCGATAATGCCGATGATGCAGACATCTTCTTTGGGGTCGGACAGCGGAGGGGCATCTTTGACTACCTGCCAAAGAGCGAGCAGGGGATAGTAATATATACTACGCGTACCATGGAAGTAGCAGTGTCGCTGACACAGGGCGATGTCCTGGAGCTCGGAGCGATGAACTGGCAGGACGCAAGAGAGTTTCTTTCGAACTCGCTGGTTCGCAAAGCACTTCTCCGCGATACCGCAATGACAGACACTCTGCTAGACGAGTTAACATGCTTGCCACTGGCAATCACGCAGGCAGCCGCCTATATAAACAGAAACCGTATATCTATCCTGAAGTACCTGCAGCTACTCCGCAGCACGGATCAGGGCCTCATCAGCCTTATGAGTAGAGAGTTCCGCGATGACACAAGGTATAAGGGCTCATCGAATGCAGTAGCGACAACATGGGTGGTGTCGTTTAGCCAGATCCGCAAGCATGATGCAGTAGCGGCAGAGCTGCTAGCGTTTATGTCGTGCATAGAGTGGAAGGCTATACCGCGCTCACTACTTCCAAGTATGCATTCAGAAACTCGGATGGAGGAGGCGGTTGGCACGCTGTGCGGGTACTCCTTTCTGGCAAGACGAGGCAGCGATTTTCCTGAGGCAAATGAGGAGCGTGACGGCATAACGGGTGCAGACAGCGAGGAATGGTTTGATATGCACCGAGTTGTACACCTAGCGATGCGGATCTGGATTAAGAAAGACGGCCACGCGGCTGAAGTGGTGGAAAACGCCGTGTGGCATGTCGCAAGAGTCTTCCCGTCCGATAACCATGCGAACTTGCGAGTATGGCAAGCGTATCTGCCACATGCGCTACGGCTTCTAGAGGCCGAGCAGGACTGCGATGTTAAGAGGAAGTCGGAGCTGTGCTTTTGGGTCGGGAGATGCTTGCATGCTGATGGGAGGATGCGAGAAGCGATGACGTTACTAGAGGAATGTCACAAACTAAGTAACTAAGGAGCTCATTGGCGAAGGATGATCCGGACCTACTGTCTGCCCAGCATACACTCGCAGTAGCATACCAAGGAAATGGACAGGTGAAGAAAGCGGTAGAGTTGCTGGAGGTTGTCGTAGATGTGAGAAACAAGGTGCTGAAGGCAGACGATTCCAACCGACTGGCGTCGCAACACGCGCTCGGAACGGCCTATGAAGCAGATGGACAGGTGAAGAAGGCTGTAGGGCTGCTGGAGAGCGTGGTCAAAGCCAAAGAGATGCTAAATGCAGATAATCCCTCGCGACTGTCGTCGCAGCACGTGCTCGCAATGGCATACCGAGCAGACGGGCAGGTGAAGAAGGCGGTCGAACTGCTGGAGGATATTGTGGAAGTGAGACATAAGATGCTGGGGGCAGACCATCCCCATCGACTGGCGTCGCAGCACCAGCTCGCAGCGGCGTACCAAGCAGATGGCCAGGAGGAAAAGGCAATAGAGCTACTGGAGAGTGTGGTGAAGACTAAAACTCGCATTCTTAGAACAGACCATCCTTCGCTGTTGTTGTCTGTCGAGGCTCTGGCTGACATGCATGCCAAGCTAGCTGTCCAATCAGACGAAGCGTTATACTCTTCCTCGCTCGAGAGCCCTACGACAGCTAGCTTTGCTGGTTCTATCGCGCAACAATGCAATTAGAAGTGGCATATAATCTTCTTCTGTGTTCCTGTTCATACGCATTAATCAACGACTAGGAAGCCTCGCTAGATGAAAGTTGTAGATAACTAGTTAATCATAATAATAGCTGTTTAATACATCGCATGCTCCACTGACTATCACGTGAGCCGTGTAGCTTGCTGAGCACTGACGCTGTTAAAATACGGTTAGTCCTCTTCGACACAGTAGGATGTAGGTCTTCGCTTGGCGGTCCTGCTTGATATAGCACAGATGGCTGCCGTAACGCAGCCACCTTATCAAGCGTAGTGCTCTTCTCGGTATATACGCTTCCTATAGCGCTATACAGGGTGACGAGCTTTTAGACAGATGTACTACACTTGTAGTAGACACCGAGGCAGGCCGAGGTAAAGGTATTAAGGATGTAAGTAGTGAGATGCGGTATTGTAAAGTCGACAGGAAAGCTATGCCAAAAATGTTGAGTACATGAGAACCTAAAGATCTCAAGCATCTATTCCGGGAGTATTCAAGCGGTGCAATGCTTGTTGGCGTTGTTGTGATAGAAAGTGCTGCTCGTGTTCCGCCACGGCGGTTGTTCCGTTACGATTGGATGGACGTTAGTAGAGAAGTTTCTAGCGCCTTTTTTCAGCTTAAGCTAGGACACTGTTACCTAAGAGACTTCCTCTTCAAGCGAGGAAAAGTAGACTCTAAAGTGTGCCCCTGCAACTATAGAGCTACTCAAGATCCTACACATATCCTACTTAGCTGCACGCTATTCCAGGAGGCCAGAGCAAAGATGCAAGAAGCTAGCAGGGACCCCCTATCACTAGCTTTCTTACTACACACAAACACAGGCATACAAGCTAATTACAATTAGCTTTATTAAGGAAACTAAGGCTACAACACAGGCCTGGTATAAAGGAAACCTTGAGAATTAAGGCAACACCCACAGCAGGTGCCCCCGCCCTACACCCACTTTACCTACCTCTTCTACCCGTAATACCCCCTACTACCCCCCTCGATACTAGGCTACGAGCCTCACCTCGATTCAGATAGCCCCCTCCCCCAACTACACCAAATTGATAGCACTGTTACAAGGTATGTAACGTCCGTCCCTGCGGGTCGAACATCCCCCCGCAACGAACCACGAATGTTGTTCAACCATGTTATACTCACCTTGCACAATCATATAGGGTCAAGTTGATAAGATTGTATTCTTTGCCTTTATCTCTACCTAGTACAAGCTCTATATAGTAAAATTACAGCGTTGTAGCGTGTGTTCTTCAGGTTCTTATTTTTGGCATAGAAGGTGCAATGTTAAAACACCCCTGCTCTCTCTTAAGTAACACTATTGCTTAATCCCTCGGAGCCATTATAGGATACTTAAATAGCGGCATAATACAGTCCCACTCTTAGAAACGTGTGCAGCCCTGATCTAAGTGCTCTCCGAGTTGCTCCGGTGCGACGTGCCACTTCATCAGACTGAGCGAAAAGACTTAGCGTGCTGACACAGCTAGTATTAAAAGCTTAGCGGTCTGCAATGTACACCCACGCTATACCAAAACGGCTTAGGCTGTGGCGCAAAGCTCCAGAGGCTTCGTCTAACCACCATTTACGTGCATGGTCACCTGCTGCCTGTCCTTAGAAATCGGCTAGAGATAGACACCACGGCATTAATATTATATACATACTATGTAAGGGGCGCAACCCCGGAGGGTAGTCTTAAGCTCGGGAGCACAATCGGACAGGCCAAGGTAACAAGATTGTATTCGATAGAGAGCTAAGCTCTCGGCTACGTAGCTATCTATATACAATACTAGTTGCTAGAGCAACAATCGGGCCGGGCAGGTGGAGTAGACGAGGTCGTAGACGAGTATAGGAGGCAAAGGCGTTCAGCCCATTACATACTAGTTGATATAAGGATAGACCTACCTTAATGTAAGTATATTAAATATATAAGTAACTACTGCAAATATGCTTCTATTGATCATGATTTCTTCTCTATTTCACCTCACAAAACCATATCCTCCCTGATCCTACTCCCATGCCTACCAGAGCCCCACTCACGGCTGAGCTTGACGGCCGATACTCAGACGGTATCCACAGTACATTTCTTCCGGCGTGCAGAATCCAAACACTATCTGAACTTAGACTGACATCTTGGTACTGTGGTTCTGATGCTGCCATGTCTGTGATGTTAGAAACTTGGAAAGGAGGGATAGCGATGATTCCAATGTCTGTAAAGAGTAAAGTATCAGTAGAATCGAAACATAAGCTGAAAAGAGTCTTGCCAACAACAAGGGTGTGAAGACACGTCCCGCTGCTCGCGTCCCAGATCTTGACAGTGTTGTCCCAAGACGCTGACGCGAGCCGGGTGGAGTCGTGCGAGAAGGCCACCGAGTTAACATCACTGCTATGACCCTCGAGCGTGTGCACACATATCCCGCTGCTCGCGTCCCAGATCTTGACAGTGTTGTCCCAAGACGCTGACGCGAGCCGGGTCGAGTCGTGCGAGAAAGCCACCGAGTTAACAACACTACTATGGCCCTCGAGCGTGTGTACACACGTCCCGCTGCTCGCGTCCCAGATCTTGACAGTCCAGTCGCCTGACGCTGACGCTAGCCAGGTGGAGTCGTGCGAGAAAGCCACCGAGTTAACAGCACTACTATGGCCCTCGAGCGTCTGCATACACGTCCCGCTGCTCGCGTCCCAGATCTTGACAGTCATGTCGCCTGACGCTGACGCTAGCCAGGTGGAGTCGTGCGAGAAAGCCACCGAGTTAACAACACTACTATGGCCCTCGAGCGTCTGCATACACGTCCCGCTGCTCGCGTCCCAGATCTTGACAGTCATGTCCCTTGATGCTGACGCTAGCCGGGTGGAGTCGTGCGAGAAGGCCACCAAGTTAACAAAACTACTATGACCCTCGAGCGTGTGCACACACGTCCCGCTGCTCGCGTCCCAGATCTTGACAGTCCTGTCGCCTGACGCTGACGCTAGCCAGGTAGAGTCGTGCGAGAAGGCCACCGAGATAACATCACTGCTATGACCCTCAAGCGTGTGCACACACGTCCCGCTGCTCGCGTCCCAGATTTTGACAGTCCTGTCCAAAGACGCTGACGCTAGCCGGGTGGAGTCGTGCGAGAAAACCACCGACAAAACAGAACTGCTATGGCCCTCGAGCGTCTGCAGACACGCACTCCAGCCGTTGCTCATAGCGGGCTTGATCGTTACTCCTCTTGGCTCTTCGTGCTGGAACAGCCTTCTTACTATGCTATCAGCTGGACTGAACAGCAGAGCAGATGCGTATGCCTGTAAAGGATAGTTCTCGATCGCCTCCTTATGATACATAATAAACCGTCGTGCGTCATACACAACATTGTTCAATACGTCCATGTCTCCAAGTCCCTAGCTACATTAGTAACTATGCTATGAAGGCTGTGTATAGATGTAGTTGTATTAGCCGTACCTGGACTAGATCCCATAACCTTGTCATCAAGACTACCCCTTTGGCCATGCTTCTGCACAAGCTGAGCGCTTCTAGCCAGTAGAGATATTTTTGCTCAAGAAATGCGTCCATAGCCCTAGCAATTTCTTGATTAGTAGCACTAGGTTTTGAGTCGCAGAAGTGGTCAATCCAGTACACACATGGGTAGCGCGACACGGCTAGAGGATCGGGAAGAAGTGGCTTGACATCTTCTATAGCATATCCAGGCGCTTGAAGGTTGTATATATCTCTGCGTAGTGTCTTGTGCAGAATTACAAGTGATTTCGCGAAGATATCTTGATGCACACATTCTATACCGTCTAGAAAGACGTCGTTCAACGCTTTCGTGATAAGGAAGTCCTTAGCTGATTGATGTACAAAGTACACTATATCATCTCGCAGCGTTAGGAAAGACCCGCAGAGACCGATGATCTCCCGCACAGACTCTAGGTCATCAACAAGGTCTGCAAGCTGTTCAGTAAGCACAACTAGCTCAGCGACTGTGACGGGTCGATATAGGACAGCAGTCACTGCCAGTACCTGCAGACATCTTCGAGTGGTACTAGGCTTATGTATCCGATCCAGCATCTGCCTGTAAAGTGAGTCTAAACCAGGCGGGAACTGGGCTAGCTTCTCTCGCACGTCCCACTTCGGCGTTGCTTTGAGGTCTTGGCACACCAACGCAACCCAGAGGAAGGTGTCGTTCGCGTTCGACGTTAAGTGCTGGAGCACCGCGTCTTGCACCTCTGGCGCGTAGCGCTTCTCTTGGGCTAGGCGACGCACCTTCTGCCGGATAAACACATCTACTGCTGCAGCCACCGACTCGGCGTTCAACTCAAGGCTGAGCCTCATTCCGTGCTCAGCACGCTCCAGTTCTTCCTCAATATCTGGCCAGTTGCGACTAGACACAATCCACTTGACGCGAGAGGACGCAGACGAGTGCTTCGCGATAAAGCTAAGCAATTTTGGTAAGTCTGTCGCGCATTCGTCGAGCGCGTCAATAATTAGGCACGTTGTGCCTAGGCCTGCATCTTGCAGCATGTCGGCGAAGATTTCTGTCAGGGCGACCTAGGCATTCGCATCCTCGAACAAGCTTTTGCCTGCGTGGTCGTGCTTCTTGCGAACGTGCGATGCAAGCGACGGCTGTCGGTGCACAAGCATGTACAGCAAGCCCCGCAGCACAGCTGTGGCACTATTAATACGCGTGTCGGTCGCCTGGCAGAAAAAGTATGATATAAGGGTAGGTTTCGGCGTCAAGTTTTGCAGTTCGTCGATAATGCCACACAGCAGCATTGTCTTGCCTTTGCCAGGATCGCCTTTCACCCAGAGCAGTCCGCTGTGTTGGTCCTCATACCACTGCCTGAACGTGGTGTTGTCGAGGATCCAGCGGTAGGAGTCTGCTAGCAGTCCACCTCTGGTGTCCTCAATGCGCTTCTTGTCGTCGCACGGATCTGTTTGGCGTATGTCTTGAATGCATTGTTCTAGCTTGTCAACTTCGTCCATCAAACGCTTGAACGCGCCGGCCTCGCCCTCGCCATATAACGGCGCTAGCTCAACATCGAGGATGCCTTGCAGGCAATATGCTTTATCCTCGTCGCGCCTAGTCGTCCGGCCTTCTGCCCACCTCAACCGCTCGTTAATGATAGACCGAGAAAGCGGGGCTCCGTTGAGCACTTCGGACGGAATGCTAGTTATCTCGTGGATCATTATCTGCAATGACGTCTTACTACCAAGACTCTCTCCTTCTTGCGAGAAGAACTCGACTATAGCTGGAGCAAGAAGCTCTTGAAGAGTCCAGCCACGCTTAAACCACCGGCTCGACCTAAAAGCAGGCTCCCAGCTAAGCCTAGCAGCTCTGTCGCAGGCTTTCCTCTTCCTTTTCCAAACATCCGACAGATATACATAACACCGAGCTGCATCGCGGTACCAGCGAAACATCGATCGGATAGAGAAGGCAAGTTCAGCCTTGTTGGCCTTGTCGATGCAGCACGTGTCGATCCAGAAGTACTGGAGGCTATCGCGCCGCGCCTGTCTTCCGCAGAAGACAATCTTCTTATAGCCTGGCTTTGTCTTGCCGCCGCCTGTCTGGAGGTCTGCAAACGTCACCTCGTCGCCATCTGCGCCCCAGGTGTGTGAGAGTATCGCGTAAGGGGGTATGTCGCCATTGTCGAAGCTGTGGATGCTGAGCTCTCCGCTTTCGCTGTACTGTAAGAGCCGCATAGGTTCGTGTGGGTGTATCGTAGGTATGTGCGACGAGAACGGGATTCGAAAGGTTGAACTTGGTAGCCTAGTCGCGCGGGCGCTTGTTGCTTGTCAGCTGCTTTCCTACTAGATACCGATGGACGGTCAGCATACAGAGAGAAGGACGAGCAGGTGCACCAGCTCAGATACCAGCAGGATCCTGTAATGCGTCAAGATGTCGCGAGCTGAGGCTGCCGGCTCTCGCTGTATTTTCGACTTGGTGGTGAAGCCTGTGTGAAGCCCCAGGCGGGGTATGTAAGGCGTGCCATGCATGCGCCGTGCATTGCTTGCAAGGCTGAAGCGCGTCTGCGTCGAAAGCTGCCGAGGACATGAGGGCCCTGTTGGCAAGGGTCTAAGCATCGACGCGCTCAGAGCTTGCCCGTTCCGATGCAGGACAAATGAGAGAGCAGTCACGCAGATACAACACTTATGAATAATATCTAGTTAGGTTTAAATTTAACTTAGAATACCCTTTCTATCCAGCCTGCGCAACGCCGCGAAACCCATCATACAGAGCTAGAGAAAGTGGTCTAGTACATCCTAGCTACAGGTGCTCTCCATACAGGTACCGGTGCATGCGTTAGCTCAGGCGCATCGATCCGCTGCGCTACTGTGGGCTTTGGCGACCGCAGGACCGTTGATCCTTCTAGCGCGTCGCTCTTGCGCTTGCGCCCGCGCTTCGGCTTGCCTGCTAAAGCTCGCTCCTTTGCAGCACGCTTTGCCCTAGCCTCCTCAAGATCTTCGAAACTCATTACTTTAGCCTTGCCTAGAACTATCGACTTTGTCGACTGGCGGGTTTTGGCTTCTCGATTAATCTGAAGGAGGAAATGATTACGATCTTTAAAGAGGGCCTGCTCAGCGAAGGATACCTTAGCCGCGCTTGCTAGTTTCTGTATGCGTCTTTGTAGACGGTCTTTGCTCGTCTTTTTAAGTACGTGAGTGTCCTTTGTAATTAGATCGTGCAGCGACGTAAGCGCTTCTGTCGTCACTGGTGTTACTGGCGTGGTAGGCGTACGGGGCACATCGCCCAACACCCCAGCATTCGCACTCTCGGTTTCTACATTTGATATGTTGCTTACTTCCGCTGGAGGTTTAGGGACATCTCTGAGCACTCGTTCCGGGTTAAAAGGGAACAGCCCAGTTGCAGACCACCTAGCTCTAATATTCCTTTTAGTCAGCGCGCGATCTCTTGCAGGGCTATAGAGATAAGCGAAATGCTCTTTGCCAACAATATCTACGCCTCCTTGGTTGAGTCGCTCGACTTGTTCACGATACGCGCTCTTCAAGGGTGCAAAAGGGCCGACATCGCATGGCTGCAGCTTGTGAGAGGTGTGAGAAGGCAGACGACATAAGATAATGTTGTTAGTAAAGCAGAACTCTAGGATTTCGAGCGTTTCATGAGTCCCAAAGCCATCACAGATTAGCACTCGCGGGTTTCTACCTGCTCCTTCACGTGTCTGGGGGTCAAACACGCGCTTAAGCCACTCTAAGCTAATTTTAGAGTCGTTGTACCCATTCTCTGAGTGTGCGTAGTGCCATCCAGGGGTTTCGTGCGTGGTCCATTTGCTGCGGTGGGTCGATGCTGGCCATATAATGAGTGGCAGGAGGGCCCTTCCGTCAGCACTGATGCACTCAATAGCAGTTACCATAGTACGCTTAACACCCGCACCCCTGCTACCTTGCCCATCGTTCTTGCCGACTAAAACCTTTGCCGAGCCGAGCATGCTTAGCATAACTCCAGTTTCGTCCATGTTGTACACGTTTTCTGGCAGTATGGATGGATCCTGTAGTACCTGGCCAATTATATCGAACCACTCTACTATCTTCTTGTATATATTGTTTCCATGACTCTTCCAGTCTATCGATCTAACCCTTCTCGCTTGGAGTTCGGGGTGACGCTTCTCGAACGCTCGTGGCCAGTTCTTCCCGGGACGCTTGATCGACTTCTTCGTGGACCGCTGGCGGGCTATGCTGAACGCTAGCGAGCGAAGGTACTTAACGCGCACAGGTTGTCCAAGACTAGACATCAAGAGTAGAAACTTTACAAGGGCCTTCTCCTCCTCTCGAGTCAAGTACTGCTGACTCTGAGCCTGCTCTGCTCGCGAGCGTCGTCCAAGCCTACGATGGATTAGAGTTGAGACAGGGACATTGCCGTACTCTGATCGAGCAGCACATGTATCACGCACACCATCAGGCAGACGTTGCGCGAGCGCCTGGCTGGCTGGGTCCATGTTTGTGGTTGTGGTGACTGAGGGATACCTCGAGCGAGAAGCCAACCGAATGCACCACCGGTCTGCTTCTAAGAATAGCCAGCAACTCGCAGCACCCGATGGAAGCTTCTAGAACTCTGCGCCACAGCTTGAGCCCTTTTGGCATAGCGCAGGTGTACATCGTAGGCCGCTAAGCGTTCGCAATCCAGCTGTGCCAGCGTTTTAAATCCTTTCGCTGATGCGAAGAACTGGCACACTGAGCTGGAAAAACTCGGAGCGCATCTGAACAGAGGCTGCATATCTTTATAGTATGGCTAAAGATTCTTTAGCTTACTCTAAGTTATATATAATCTCCGAATAGGCAAATATAGCTTCTGTAAGAGGTAGGACAGGGGTGTTTTGGCGTTGCACCTTCCCACGCTTAACACGAAAGACTCACGTATGCCCCTTAGATGGCTGTAATTTTACTATTTAAGGCTTACGATAGATAGAGGTAGATCTAGCAAGCAAACAAATGTGTATTTATGTCTAAGAGCCTCTGCGGCTTGGGCGTAAGGTGCTTGGGCAGTGTTGGTGGTTCGTTGCGCAGGGATGTTCGACCCACAGGGATGGACGTTAACAAGAAGGATGCTCTCCTTGATGCAGGACTAAGGAAGGAAGGATCACGAGTGGTTATGGTGCCACAAAGTCCACGTCAAAAGGTAATGGATCATCGCGGGGCTTGGAGTCACGTGATGAGCCATCCCGCCAAGACAGAACATCCCGCCAAGCTTGGGATGGCAACAGGTTATGGGATGGCAAGACCAAAGGCAATGAGAATATAAGGATGGACGGATTTCATTATTTACTCTCGTTGTGGTCAACTCAAATTGTACTTTCTTACTAGTTACTTTACTAAGATTGATACTTGTTAAGTCTATTGAATAGATTAGGAATTGTCAAACCTTTGTTACCTTCTGCCAAGCACGCCACTCCACTGTATCGCCAGACAACTACCTCACGGAGCCGATCATATAATCCTAGTCGCCCTAACCCGGATCGAGCTAGAGAAGTATCAGCTACCCAAACCCCCGTGTAACAAGCACTACGTAGATACTTGTAAGCCTTATCGGCTTGCACGTCTTATATAGCCTTCGGGCTGACACAGGACGTTAATCAATAATAATAATAATAATAATCGCATACGCACGGACCCGTCCCACACGTACTGTCGTCCATGGTAAGCGACCACCTTAGGCGTTGCATTAACAGTCTTATTCGTGTAGAACCACTTGGATGGGCCCACAAGTGGTGCATTTGTGCGAATACATTAATAGAATATTTAGCCATGCTAACAAATATTATGGTGGCAAGGTCACACACGATGTTCTGGTGTGGTTTAGCGCTGACTTTGTGGATGTGGAAAGACGCTAAGATCGATCAGATCATCCCGCGTGGTTTACGATAAGGAGTGTGCTATAGGTGCCCTATTGGAGTGTTGTAACGCTGATGGTCACGCCCTGGGCTCGGAGTGTGGCTGACAAATTTCTGCGTGGTCACTGTGTTGAGTTTTGTAGCATTATTTTCTCAATTGCGCAGTATGTATATGTACATATGACTAACTACACTGCACTGTACATATAGTAAAGTATAACCTACTGTGTATATCTCCTACCAACATTATGTGTACAGCAACGTGACCGTTGCGATCAGCTGCTGCCTCGGTACAATGCCCATCATGCGTTGTTCCTGTCCTACGCGGTGTCATCCTACATAGTTTCACTTCAAGTGGTTCTACACTCTGACAATCATCATGGGAGGTCATGGGCCGTTATTGGCTTCTAGCACATCTCAAACCTCACCTATTTCGGGCATACACAGCTCGTTCTGGCTGTGCGGCCTAAAACTCACTCTACGTGCAGTCTCTTGTCTTCCCCTCAAATCTCTTTAGCTTTTAGTAGTACCGTTGTTACTTCGCTACAGCAGCTACGAGACACATCTAGTAGCTGTGCTGCGTGTTTTAAAGCTAGATTCCCGCACTTCTACTTGGTAGCTGCCATTCCTAAGTAGTCGAAATTCCCTACGACGGCTGGATACGCATCTGTCACAAGGCAACAACTGACTGTACCAGGATCCAGAATGAAGGCGCTGTTTAGAATACACCAACTAGTGCACACAGAGTTTGTATGGTGGCTGGAGAGACATGGTGAGCGCGAAAAGTGGCCAGGCGCAGCAGCAGCCCGAGCTGAGGCACCGGGACCGTTTGACGAGCATGGAAGAAAGCAAGTACGGAGTGCATACCTCCAGCATGCAATATCCGCGGCCGGACTCGTCAACTCTGTACCCGGCGGTATGAGGACTTTACTGTTAGAAGCAATAGGGCAGTATCAGAAGCGGCTAGGACAATATGGGCCGGTAGAAACAACGTATCCGATAGCCTCATCGTTGAGCACGGAGATTCTAGGGCCTGAGCATCCCTTTACATTGATGAACAGAAGCAGATTGGGGTTAGTGCTTAATAGCCAGGGTAAGCACAAGGAAGCTGAGGAGATAAACCGGCAGACGCTCGCACAGTACAAGAAGGTGCTGGGGCCTGAGCACCCAGACACACTGACGAGCATGAGCAACTTGGCATTGGTGCTGAATAGCCAGGGTAAGTACAAGGAGGCGAAGGTAATGAACCGGCAGACGCTCGCACAGTACAAGAAGGTGCTGGGGCCTGAGCACCCAGACACACTGACGAGCATGAGCAACCTGGTGGGGGTGCTGAACAGCCAGGGCAAGTATAAAGAGGCGAAGGTAATGAACCGGCAGACGCTCGCACAGTACAAGAAGGTGCTGGGGCCTGAGCACCCAGACACACTGACGAGCATGAGCAACTTGGCATTGGTGCTGAATAGCCAGGGTAAGTACAAGGAGGCTGAGGCAATGAACCGGCACACGTTAGCTCTGCGAGAGACGGTGCTAGGGCCTAAGGACCCAGACACACTAATGAGCATGAATAACTTAGCGGGAGCGCTGAGCAGCCAGGGCAAGTACGATAAGGCGGAGGCGATGTACCAACAGACATTAGCGCTGCGAGAGAAGGTGCTTGGGCCTGAGCATATAGATACACTCACGAGCATGAGTAATCTGGCGGGAATACTGAAAAGCCAGGAAAAGTACGATAAGGCGGAGGCAATTCACCGGCAGACGCTGGCTCTGCGAGAGAAAGTGCTCGGGCATGACCATCTAGACACACTGACCAGCGTCTATTGCCTTGCATATATCCTTGCCAAACAGCATCACGTAGAGGAGCCTTTATGTCTGTATCAGCGGGCATATGCTGGATACGACTCGATCCTTGGAAAAGGCCACCCCGCTGCCTTGGTATGTCACCAGCACTATGATGACCTGCGCTCGTTGCAAAAGCATTAGCCTGCTTGTTCTCTCAACACGCTAGAAAACGGTGCAGACATATCTGCGAGGATGGAGTCGAGACTATCAGGCGTGTTAACCAAGACTGGCATTAGGAAATGGAAGAATTTGAGAGGATGGAACGGTTGGGTTTTGTTACAGAATTTGTGACTTTGTTTTTCCTATCTTGTGAGGGTAACTGGGTGATATGAAGTTCTTGAAATCATATGAACGTGCTCGGTCTAGTTCCCCTATTTTGAAAAGCGTCCTTTTGGTCATGATACACACACAATTTATTTACGCCCGGCGGCCGAGCCGAAAGGGCTGCTAATGCTAGTCTAACTCTACTGGTCATGATACACACACAATTTATTTACGCCCGGCGGCCGAGCCGAAAGGGCTGCTAACGCTAGTCTAGCTTTACACTTCCTATGCTACGTCTTGGTCTCCTTAGCCCATATGTCTTCTTTGGCCCACTTCTTTATATAGCTTATTATCTAAATCAGAGCCCTTACTTAATACCTTGGCACGCCTCTTCTCTATCTACGATCGCTCCTCATCAAGTGCTCGTGGGTTAGTATTGCTGGTGGCAGACTAGCTCAGAGTCGGCATCTCTACGAGATTCTCTAAGTGTTCAACGTCCTATCTTCGGCGGCTGAAGCGCTGTCTGCTGCTGGTTGCACGAGGCTGCTGATAAGTTTATGTTAGCATCTATGGTTTACCTAGTAGTTAGTTAGACATTAGTTTGCATCTAATCTTCGTGTTGCTATTGCGAATCGTATCGTCGCTCGCACCGCATCTATGTCTGGCGCCCATTTCGCGTCATCTGTCGCTGCTTTGCCGCCTAGGTAGAATGACATGTTTCCTCTGCTTATCTGCGTGCACTGCAGCATTTCTATTCGCTGTGTCGTCCACTTTCGGCAGCGGAACAGAAAATGCTCCACCGTCTCTGCTGCCTGGCCGCATTCGCATTGGTCTGTTGTTGATGCTTTGATTCGGTATCGATACGTGTTCAGCTGTGCCATGCCTGTTCTAAGCTGGGCAAGCACGCTACTCTCTTTCCGCGAAAGCCCGTCGTAGAGTTGTCGCGTGTGCTTTCCTGGCAGTGCCGTGTCGATTCGTTTGGAATATGCTCCCACGTCTGTTGGCACCTTCTTAGCTATGCCTTGCTTACGTGCTATGTTGTGCGTGGTTGATCGCATTCTAGGGAGCTGTGTCTGTGGCCTAGTGTTTGGCCTAGTTGCTGTCTTCGCCTCTCGCTTGGCGAGGCTTGCGAGTTCACTCTCTTCGCTTGCAGGTAGCCATAGCACTGTCACTGCGTTACCGTCTCTTCTTAGTGTTTGTACGGTTTTGTAGCCCTGGCTAATGTAGCCTTGCCCCGATTGCTGGCGAGGTGCTCTGAGTGTGAGCACAGCGGCTTTGTTCCTTGTTATTAGTGCAATATTGCGAAACCTTAGCTTTGGCAGCCTGCTTAACGCTTCAGCCATTGCTGCTAGCTCTGCCGAGTACGGGTTCTGTTCCTCTCTCTTGCCCAAAGTAACGGAGAAAGATTGTGTTTCGTTGCTTTGTATGCTGATCGCGCCTCCCATGCCGACGACTCCGTTCCGCGCCGAGCTGCTTACCGCGATGCGTACCGCCCAGTTCGCTTCGAGGCTCTGTGCCGCGTTCTCCACTACGGTCTGCACTCTCTTCTCCCATGGTGCCAACACACCTGGCCGGATCGTCTCCATCTGCTCCATCTCTATGTCCTTGAGCGCTTCTGCCACCTGGAACAGCGGCGAGCGGTACTGCCTTCTGAACTTCCGCATCCGCGATGTGTTTCTTCGCAGTGGGTTCGTCTCAGGCAACGCGTGGATGTCGGTCCACAGCTTGACTGCCCGCTTCCAGAACCGCTCTTGTGCACTTGGGATGTGTGCCTCAGCCTCTGCCACCCAAGTCGCTACCGTGCTAAACGTTCCTACGATCGCTCGTGCACCTATTCTTTGCACCCTGTTGATAGGTCTCACTAGCTTGTCTTTGCAGGCATGCATCCATACGTTTGACGCGTAGTCTACTGTCGGCGCGACTGTTGCCGTGAACAGCTGTAGCGCTACTCTGGGTGAGAGTCCTCGCAGCCTCCTGAGTTCCAATGCTGCTTCCAGTCCCTTTGCGGCTGCTCGTGCAATGTGCTTGTGGTACTTGAGCCTGGCGTCCATGAGCACGCCAAGTATCTTGACGTGGTCCTTGGGCGAGACGCTCTGCCCCTTGATTACGAAGGGCTCCGTGGCACTCTTGTACGCCTTGCGAGTAAAGTGGATAACGGCCGTCTTTTCTGCTTCAAACGTCGCTCCGCTCCTCCGTTCCCAGTCCAGTGCGTCTCTGATAATGGCGTTGATACCCTCCCTGTTGCTTTGTGCTGTTGGGCCTGTGACCCACGCAGTAAAGTCATCGACGAACGCAATCGCACCTCCGTACGTATCGATAGGTCGTTGCACTAGGTCGGCGTTGAAGAAGAGAAACAGAATTGGCGATAACGGAGACCCTTGCGGCAGACCTGCTTGTGGCAGTTCTTGGACCTTGGAGGCCTGCCCGTTGACCTGGATTGACGCTGTGCGCTCTGAGCAGAATGCCTCTACCCACTTCAGCAGCTTCTGTGGTATCCCCCGTGCTTTCATCCTCTGCAGTAGTCTTTCCTTGCATACTCCGTTGTACGCTCCCTTAACATCGAAGCTGATTAGGCTGACTGTCCGCCGGCCCCGCCACGCAGTGTAGATCTGTTCCTGGAGCAGTACTAATGCTTGCTCGGCTGATCGTTGCTTGCGCGCTCCAAAGTGGTTGGTAGGTAGAAGCCCGTGTGTCTCTACCATGTGCGAGATCCTCTCTGCCACCACCGACTCTAGCACTTTGCCTAGGGTAGCCAGTAGTGAGATCGGCCTCCATGCCTTTGCGACGGTGTAGTCTTCCTTGCTTGGCTTCTTAAGCGGTATGATCTTGGCGTGTCTCCATTGGCTAGGTAACACTCCCTCCTCCAGCGACTGTCGGAATAGCGCAAGCACATGGTCTTTCACTGCCGGCCAGACCTGCTTCCATACGATGACTGGCAGTCCGTCGTCTCCAGGTGCTTTCCATGACTTGGCGGCGTGCAGCTGTCTTTCCACCTCCTCGAGCGTGATGGTCGGCATTGCTACGGGTGCTCTCTGCGGCCTGGCTCCCTCGTCATCGATGCTGCTAGGAAGCGGAGGGAAGAAGGTGTTGAGTAGCTCCTCAGCTTGTTCTTCAAAGTCGCTCGTAGTTGTCCCGTCCGTTCTGCGAAGTGCTGGGACTGTCCCGAACGCCTCGTTGCCCGCCTTCAGATACTTGGCCGCGTTCCAGATGTTGTCGTTGTCCGCCAGGAAGTCATCCCAGTGCTTTCTCTTCTGCTGTCGAATGGCATCATGGTACTGCTTCGACGCTCCTTTTGCCATCTCTTCTAGGTCCGGCCGAGCAACCCCTGTTCGTCTCGCGGCTCTCGCTTGGTTCCTCCAGTGCGTGTAGATGCGGCGTAGCTGTGTCAGGTCCTGCGTCCACCACCTCTTTGCATATGGTGACGCCCTAGCCCTAGGTGTCAGTGCGTGCACCGCCTCCAGCACCACCGCCATCAGTCTGTCGGTCCTCTGCTGCGTCGTGCCCGCTGGCGGAGTCACGCTGAGCGCTTTGGCGATTCTGTCGTTGATTGCTTTCCACGGTGCGTTCTTGAGCAGAAGCCGCTCTTGCTGCTGCGCCACTGGCACGGAGCTGTCAAAGACTGTGTCGATCATTCGGTGGTCGGAGCCGTGCTCGGTGTCGTGGGCGGCGCATCTCAGCACCGTGTCTGCTAGCTCTTTTGACGCTAGCACTAAGTCAATCGTCGTCTCGTACTCTCCGCACTGCCATGTCTTGGTGCCGCGCGGGAGCAGGCTGCTGAGCGCGTGTTCTGTCATCAGATCGATGATCGGGTCTGCCTCGCCTTGTCTGACCAGCGTCACATCCTCTCCTCCCCACATCTGGTCGTGCTGATTGAAGTCGCCGGCTAGCACGACGTCCACCACCGTACCGGCCCTTCGTCTCGTCTCCGCAATCACTCTGTCTATCTTTTTGCATGCGTCTCGCAACGCCTGTGGGTCTCCTCCTGGTATGTACACCGACACCACTAGAACCCGCCGCTCGTGTAGCCAGATGATCGCTGCTGTCAGGTCCGGCGACTCTACCCGTACCTGTTCCGCTTCTACCTCTCTGTTCACCCACAGCATGCTCCGTATCGGCCACCTTCCTTCTCGCCACGTCGATGGCACCATCTTGGTCCACTTGTGGTGGAGCATGGGCGTCGTCAGCAGCCGACCCTGGATCCTCCGTGCATGCGGCTCCTGGACAGCTACCACCGCCACGTCTTGCAACTCTTCGTCGTTCATTAAGCTATCGTGTACTTCGCCTTGCTTTCTAACATTAAGCTGTATTATGCGGAGTGCTCTATTCATGTTGAGGTGGGTATAGCATCCGACAGTTTCTGCTGAACGATTCGTGCGGTCCTCCGCACAGCACGCACTTCATCACTACTTCGCTGCAGCTCTTGTGGTGGTGGCCTTCTTTGGCACATCTCCCGCATTTCTGCGCCTTTCGGCACTGATACGCTTTGTGGCCGAGCTCCTGGCAGTTGTAGCACTGCCCTGGCCGTGGTCGCTGCTCAAATGCGCTTGTTGTGCCAGACTCTCCACCCGCGTGGAAGAAGCCTTCTGCGATGAGTCTTCTTGCGTCGCTTTTCTTAGTTATGTACACCACCATAGATCCGTACGCCTTTGGGACGTCTCTCTTGCTAAGCCACGCAATCTTGGCGACTGTCGTTCCATTCTCTTCTCCAAAAGCTTCTGCTGCTCCTGCTCTAATCTCATCTTTCTCGTCCAACACTGCTATTCTCTTGACGTTGTCGATCTTGACTGGGTAGAGCTCATCGCGCAACACGCGCGAGCCTGCGCCAATCTTCTCTGCTGCTCTCTTGACTAGCTGGTGCTCATCTTCGTCTCTGCACGTGATCCTGATCCGGCTCTGGGTCGCGTGGTCGACGGTGACCGCCCGGCATCGCCAGTTTTCTCGGTTCTCTATTGTGCGCATCTCTTTTTCCACAGCTACTCTGACCGATCCTGCTGACAGTCCGCCATTTTCGCCATCTGCCCTGGAGATGTCTACGGTGACGCTGGGCACATCGATAGAAGCGAGGTCCGCTCTGTTAGTGTGCTGCTGGCTTGCCAGCGGCGCGGCTGTGGCGTTTAGTCCTGCGGGTGCGCTTGTGGACGCTACCTCAGCCCAGGTACGCGTACCAGAGGTTGTTGCCACGAGGTCATCAACGCGTGTCTTCAGCTCAGCGATCTCGTCAATAAGTTTCACATTGTGGTCAATAATCGCTTGCTGGTTCTTTCTAATCTCTCTTGTTTCGCGTTCGAGGTTCTGGATCGTTTCATTCTGCTGCTGGATAATCTTGGTTAACGCGGTAAGTAGGTCTTTGTTGGTAGCGGTGCTCTTCCTGGCTTGACGGATAGGTTGGCTGCTTTCGATCTGGATGGTGTCGGAGTCGTCGGCTGATAGGTCTAGCTGTAGGGGTCGCCTGCGGTAGTGTTCGTTTTGCTCGGTAGTGTTTCTTGCGCGTCTCTTTAGTGGTGCTAGTAGCTCGGCTGGCAAGGATGTCGCTTCGCGGTCGCGGTCGCGTTCCGGGGTCGAGATTGCCATCTCTCTCACGCGTCCAGATCGCAAGCTCATTCTACTTCAGTGAGGGTACACTCGCTTTCAACACAATACAGTTCCTTGCTCGTTACACTCGCTTGCGGAATTCTGGTCATGATACAGTCGCTAGCGATTGCGGCTTCACCCCTGTAGGCAGTATTCCAAAAGTCCAGTCATCAGAAAATCGAGGACTGACCAATCACACCGATGGTTCTGCAGCTGACGTCTTGTACTAAGCTACATAAGGAAGGCGGGGCTGCTCAAATCCGTTGTGTAGCTGTGCGTAAGGGTGAAGCCGCAATCACTAACTAAGTAATGTCCATCCCTAATTCACGAGACGCACGCCGTCGCGAGACGGACATCAGGTACTTTGAGATCAAGCAATTATAATCTTCCAAGTGCGTGTGACTAATCTATAATCTTCTGTTCATAGTCTCTTAGCCTACTTTAGCATACTTCTATATCTTAAGATACAAAAATTACGCGGTCGTTGACGCCTGCACGTTGTGCATAGTCAAGCCTTCTATTTTGCTGAAATCCAAGCCCATGCTATACAGCATGGGGCTTGACCTCTGAGACTCTGTTAAGATGATAAACTGACTTATCTAGGCTTCTGATTGTTACTAAAGGTGTAGGAAGTCACCACCAGCCTTGTGGCGATTGTCGCGTGCTCGTTCATGCATGATTGCCACCCTGGTCGGTACCTGAGATCGAAGCACCTTCTCAATGCAGCTAGTGGGGATTGACCCCGCAGCTGCAATACGAGTAGCGTGTAATTTACTTCGAGCCGGAAAGCTGACTAATAGGCTAACTAACTTAAGCCACATTCGATGTCGAGCCAAGGCTATGGCTGAAAGCTGTCCTAGAATAGATGGACAAATACTATGTGATCATGACCCCCTCCCACCCCACCCCGCGCTGTTGAACAACCCAGCCTCACGACTTTACATATTCCCAGCCCATCAAATCATGGCATCATCTACAAATAGAACTGTTGTGTTGGCTCCGGTTCAGCGTTGGAATGCCAGCACAGTCTCTATACAATGCCCTTTTTGCACCAAGATCCATACTCACGGTTTCGGTAGCGGCTATGACAGTGTTTTCCGCGCCCCTCATTGCAACCACCACTTGTCACCATCATTTCCATCTTATCGCTTTGCGTATCCTTTCTCAACATGTGAAGGTAGCGTAGCGTACGAAATTGATAAAACCAACGGCTACTTCGTCGCATTTGGAGCAAAAGCATTACAATCGGAAGCAGAACTGCTGGGAAAGGCTTTAGATGGACTCAGTTTGGATGTGAGTAGATCCCCAGATAGCAAGAGTTGGAAGGAGGCTACAGAAATGATTACAATCGGCTTGGAGGATAGGATATTTCGACGTCTGCATGAATATTTTGGAGGAGAAGATGCCTTCGCCCTAAAGAGATTAGATCATGTTAAAAGCAGGATGATAACATTTGGAGATTCCGAATATGTGGACAATTATCTGCGCACTAGTCCAGAAGCCAACCTTTTTTTATTTGGTAGCAATGAGGAAGGAAAATCGGCATTGAGTTTAGCTGCTTGCGAGAAGTACTCCGCTGTTACGAAGCTTCTGCTTGACCATGGCGCAAGACCTGACCATCAAGACAATGAAGGTAGAACTCCGTTGATGGAAGCAGCACTCTGGGGGCGAATCGAGAATGTCAAATGTCTTCTAGAATATGGCGCGAACAGAAAGCTTCGCGATATTCACTGCCACCGGGCTGTCGATCTTGCAGGACCGTCCCTGCAAAATGATGAAGAGCGTTACCACCGTTCCGGTGGAGAGGACCAGGTGTATAGAGAAAATACTTTCATTGCGAATCAAGCCCGAAGAGTAATCTTCGAGTTGCTGAAAGATACAGAAGAATTGCCATATAGAGAGATATCTGCACACAACCGAACATTTGAGTCACACTTTTTCAAACACACGAGTCGAGGAACTATTGAACTCATTGCACCGATCGCAGAGTTTCATGTTCGAAACCAGTGGAAAACGATTGCTTCTCTTCAACGCCCGTGGGCCTTCCCCTCTGTAGCAGCCATGAGCGGCTGGAGCCATGGAGAGACAAAGGTCACCGTATCAGGCAAAGAGTGGACAACTGAGGTTTTGAGGATCTCATCGATCGTGGGTCATCGGCTTCCGGAAGAGAAGGGACTAGACCAAGCAAAAGAAGGTCAATATTTTGCAACTCATGCAGAAAAGCAACTTATTGCATACTTCATCGACAAGCATGTTCTCATCGAGACTGAGGATGATAAGCTTCTACGGGCAAAACCACCTGTCCTAATGAAGCAGGCGACAATTCTTGTGAGCCGTCCGCCGTGTGGTGATTGTTTACAGTTTATCGAAACTGTGAACACGGCTCTTGGCTTGATGATTTCAGTCCTCGACCGCTCTTAGATATGACCCGTCGCCAAGAAGGTTTGGGAGAGGTTAGCCGCGCTACTCAGAAAAGAGCTTCACTGATTCTAGTCTCGGGATTCTGTTTGGGGTTGGGGTGGTGGACTTTAGTAGTTAACGTACCTCCCTGTGTCACGCAAACCCCCCCGTACCGCAAGGAATTTGCGATTTCAGTATGTTAGAATCCATCCTATCACTTGTATTGTACCGCGATAATGAAACAATCATTGTTAAGGCTATTTCCTACAAACTCAGAAGAGCGGTTGAAAATATTACAGCGTGTTTGGTCCTGTCGTTGCCCATTGCATATCGGCCAGTCTAGGGTTGATTGGCTTCACACCCCTGTTATAGCACGATACATGCATCGTTTCTACATATCAGAGAGGTTGAACGATGCGACTGTTATAAAAGTAGATATCTCTGCATCTATTTAATAGTTAACGTGCGGGATCAGTAAGCTGCGCAGATCAGTAAGCTGCGCACCCCACCCAGCCTGACCCGACTCTCTCCACAACCACCACAATGCCGCGACAACAACGTTCTATACAGACTTCTCGTGAAGGTAGAATAAGTCTTGCTATACTATCATATCGAAATAATGAAAAAAAATCTCTCCGTGCTCTTGCAGCAGCGTATGACGTGCCAGAATCGACACTACGAACGCGCCTCCGCGGTATCTAGCCACGATCAGAGATGGTCTCTGTTAATCGTAAGCTATTGCCTGTTGAAGAGCAGTCTCTTGTACAGTGGATCCTAGACCTTGACCGACGTGGTTTTCCACCCCATATCATCGACGTACGACGAATGGCAGACACTCTACTCGCTGCGCGCGGCCAAGATCCACCTCCACAGCCTATTGGCAAGAAATGGGTGTCGCGCTTCGTCCAGAGCCAGCCAGAGCTTCAGACGAAGTGGAGTAGAAGCTTTAATAGTTAGCGCGCCTCCTGCGAGGATCTAATTGCAATTATAGCCTGGTTTAAGCTAGTAGAGGAGACGCGCTAGACGTACGGCATTCTAGATCAAGACATCTACAACTTTGATGAGACTGGATTCGCGATGGGCGTCGCTGGCACGTCTAAGGTAGTCACAAGCTCTGATAGAGTCGGTCGAGCAGTCGTCGTACAGCCAGGTAATCGCAAGTGGGTTACAGCGATCGAGTGCGTGAACGCGTCTGGCTGGTGTCTACCACCGTTCGTGATCTTCAATTGATCCACAACAACGCAATAAAACATAATAAAATTAATATATAATATTTTTTATATAGCTCTACACGAAGTGCGAGTGTGTCCTTGAATATAGCACTTCGAACACGTTGGCGGCGCGTGCTGACGTCGCTCACCAGCCTGGTTCTGGCTACCCTCTATAAGTAACCTTTCTGCCTCTGCAACGATCTGCTGAGCCTGCTGAGCCTGGAGTACCCCACTAGAAGCGATATATTGACGCTGCTGGCTTTGCTTTTGTCGTTGGCGCTGGTTGGCTGTACGTAGCTTCTTATTCTCCTCAGCAAGTATTGTTGCTGATTGCATTGCAATCTGACAGCCTTTAATAACTTGGCGGAGAAGCTGGCTTGTTGGGCTCTATGATTCCCGACGGAGCCGCTCTTGAAGAAGCTTTGCCTGCTGTTGAAGCTGCGCTCCTGTATGTGGTGTTTCTAGCTGCGTTGCGGCGTTATTGTCTATAGTTGTCTGTAATGGAGACGGCGTACGGACAACTGTAAGAGACGATAGAATACGATCTGGACAAGGAGGGACAAGGCCTGTTGCTTGAAAGCCTGTTTAGATATTCTGCTGCGTAAACACCATCGGCCGGATCCGTGTATAGGCTGCAAGGAAGTCTATCTTGTCGATATGGTAGACGCCTTGGCGGGCAAGCTCCTCAACCTCGCGTCCGTACGCGCGCTTAAGCGGCGAGAAGCAGCTCACATCTAGAGGCTGGAGGAGGTGCGACGTATGAGGCGGCATACAGAGAGTGACAATCTTGTTCTCAGCGCAGTACTAGTCGAACTCTGGCGTTGCGTAACTACTATGGCCGTCTAGAATAAGGAGCCAATAGACTCCAGCCGTACAAGCTGCTGTATGCTAGTTGAAGTGCTTCACCCACTCTACGCCAAGCTGATCAGTCGTCCAGCCGTTGTCTGAGACGCCGATAACCCAGTCTGGTGGGAGCCTATTGTACCAGCTGCTCTGGTGGACCTTGCCAGAGCACAGAGTGTTGGGCCAGGTTGGGTGGGGTGCGCAGCTTACTGATCCCGCACGTTAACTACCGCTTATTCCACTGTCATGCTGCGGAAGCCGCTTGTTGTCGGGTATCCGTGCTGTGCGTGATCACACTGCAGGTACGCGTCATAGCAGTGTCAAGCCTACCCTGAGATGTAGCCGCAAGCACTGTTTGCAGCAGGCGACAAGGCATGGGACACGCGAAGTATATCCTTTCTGGCCTTGGCACTCAGCAATGCACTCTTCTCACAGAGTCTCGACATACTTAAAGGCCCCCAGCGCCTTAGCACGCAAGGCACTATAGTTCCGCTCGCGAGGAGCAATTGTCGCATATATACTGGCATGGCGTAGACCACAGCAATGAGTGGAACAAGCGAGTCCAAAGTGTATAGTCGTGTGTGTTCCTCATGAACCCAATTCGCGACTGAAGAAGAGCTCTCTGACGACAGCAAAGGTGTACCTGCACCACCGAGACAGCCAGCCCTCATCTTGCAATTTGCGACTTTCCCTTGTATCCACTCCGCAACTTCGATTATATCTCCAGCCACACCTCTCTCGCTAGACCCTTCTGCAAACATTTCAACACACGGATTAACATGTTCCTCCCAGCTGCAAAATGCTTGAGAGGGAGTAAGGAAGGCTGACGATCGTCTAGGTTGGTAAACGCATCCGGATGCGAGCCTAGTAGACGTCAGCCTCTTCTTTGTCTTTCGCTCTTTTAGCCCGCGGTCCCAAGGTCATACCGTATCACTCCTGCAAGCAGGCTTGCGTCTTTTCAGTGGCGCTTGTTGCGACGTCACATACAGAGTCACAGCCGAGTGACTGAGGCCAGAGAAGGCCCAGGAAATGTCGCTAGCGGGTGGAAGCATCTCGCGTGAACGATCTACTATCCGATGGTGCCAGCGAAAACCAAAGCTGGTGGGACGATGAATAGAGAAGCAACACAATCGGAAAGCATAATCTGGGACATTCTGAGAGCTGTTAGTTGCTGTGTTGAACAACACCAGACCGCATCGAACAACGCTAGAGGTTCTTGTCAAACGTACTGCGCACCTGCGTACATGCGGCGAACGTGCGGCCGAGACTGGCGTAAGTATAGGCCCGTGCGCTTTTGCCTGGCCGCGCAGCGTAGAGAGCCTAAAGGCAAATATGACCTTGTGCCAACATGAGCTTTGAGCAGCGTGTAATAAGGGTAGTGTGTCTGGCGTTGTGGTCTGGGTCTCGCTCTGACTGATTAGCAGTCATTCCGGGTGCCCGTTGTTGGCAGCAAACTCAAGAGGGTTGCCACGTGCCCCTCTCGTAGTACCAGGTATAACCAAGCCCCGCCATAACACTTTTCATGCTTCAACCGCACCAACTCGTCGACATCCCTCATCTTTCTTGCACTACCATATACTTTTACCTCGAACAGGATAAAGTCTTGACCAAGAACATTTATCCACGACAGTAAGTACGAAAAATCTACTGTCGTGGCATCAACTAATTTGGAATGAATGCATAGGCAGGCTCTTCTGCACCCTGCTGATTACAAAAATCACCAATACCACGCGGCGCGACTTCTTCATAGCCAGCCAGGATTAAATATTTCATCGCCGACGTTGAAATACATAGGTTCGAACATGAATTCTGGCAAAAAGAATGAGGCTGAGGGACGTCCATTTGGCAACCAGACTATCAATGAGGAGATTTATGTGGTAGTTGTTGAGGGCATTGTCCTGGTAGAACGAGCGGGAACCGACAAAAGTGAAAAGATTGAAAGTCAAGCACAGGTTTACAAAGGAGACAAAGTGTGGTGGACCTCATCATGTAATTGGCACTTCTCGAAATTATAAGAAGCTTTGAAAAAATATCAACGCATGATTCTCTGTTGGGTCTTGCGGAAGTGCCAAATAAAGACATTCCGCTTTTTCCACCCTCGATGCCATATCATCTGATATATACTTTCTGAAGATGCTCAAACTTTCATCATCCGTTAGATTAACCTTCTGGTAGGAAAAGTTGCCATCATTCAGATGATGACAAAGCTCTAACTTTAACGCTTTGCCGATTTCGACCGCAAATTTAACAGCGTTGAGTGGTTTCCAGGCATATGTTTCCACCTCTTTGTCTAAGAATGGAAAACCCATCAGCTGGGAGGACGCCGCTGACACGGCTTCTCGATTCTTGTCTTGGCCACTAATTTTCTCACGTTTTGCCAACTCCATGAGGGCCAATATTAATTCCGCTAAGGCCTTTTTTCTTCTTGGATTGAAATACCAGTCATGGCTCTTCATTGTTCCGAGAGCCCAAGAGTATTTCAAGCCATACAAGGTCTCGATCAGGCGGTAAAGTTCAAATTTGACATCTTTCTTGTCCTCAATCTTGTCCTGATCTTCCCACCACTCCTTAGCCTTTTTAATCGTGTGGCTCTTCAACCTATTCTGCAGCCTTTTCTCGCATTCCCCTCTGCTCCAATTCGGGTTTCGTTTATATGGGTCTTTTGAAATAGGGAATCGACATTGTTTCATTTCCATCACAAGGTACACAAGCCGAATAGATGCCTCGCTGATCGGATTATTAGGAGGTTGCTCTAAAAACTGAATTACGGCTTCGCAGTCCATGATAGACCCTGGATAGTGATTTACCGGCTCGCGTGAAATATGAGGGAGGGCCGTTCATGTGAAGTATAAGGGAGGGCGGCTCGCGTGAAGTGTGAGGGAGGGCGGCTTGCGTGAAGTGTGAGGGAGGGCGGCTCGCGTGAAATATGAGGGAGGGCGGCTCGTGTGAAATGCGAGGGAGGGCTGCTGGCGCGAATTATAAGTGAGGGCGGCTCGCGTGAAGTGTGAGGGAGGGCGGCTCGCGTGAAATATAAGGGAGGGCGGCTCGCATGAAATAATGCTTGCGCTAACCCTAGCCTACGTCTCATTCGCATGTCACCATGCCTTAACCTCCCCGTGTGGCAGAAAGCTCGGTGGGCCGAAACGAGCCAATAAGAGCGCAAGTTCAGCAAGCGTTGCCGCAAGCAGACAAAGAAAGTTGTGCATCTCAGCGCTTACCGTACATCTGATATGCAGGATCACTAATGCGTAACCATGTTAATATCACGCTTCACTTATCTCTTATGCCTGGGCACGGTGTCCTAATCTGGAGTGCCGCTACAACCAACAACCATTCAGAGTCCGTAAAGACCAGTTAGCCATGAATGTGACTGGTGCAGTTCTCGAGGTTATTGCACAATGTACATACCATAACAACACACTCTATGCAGCTTAATTGCGAAGGCGCTAGTTGCATGATCTTGCAAACACACGAATGAGGAGCATTGTTAGTCTAGGGGTATAGTAATAGCGTAAGCCACGATGAGTCAGCTCAATGACTATGAAGGCGCATCGGTTCATTCCACATTCTATCTCCGGACAAAGGTATACTCAAGACGAACAGAATAGCAGCCATTGTTTCATGTGTAGTCATGTATCAAGCAGAAGATTACAACCCCGGACCTAAGTCACGTCGGCTAGTTAACTACGTAAAGTTCAGATACGCTGGTGACTCTATCGATTGGTTAAATCAAACAAAAATGATTTACTTCGTTGGTACGCCGAGAGAACTCCAGCCGCATTAGAAAAGAGTCACAAAAAGAAGGTTGACCTTTTCGAGACGGACGAAAATGCACAAATATATCCAAAAATAAAGCAGCTATTAGATCAGGGAGATTAGGGACGTACAGCATGGCTCTTCCCAAAGGGCGGGCCGCTAAGAAGCAAGGACGTCAAAAGTACAGGTATTGGAGACGATGAAGATGTAGATATGGACTTAGATACGATTTAGATTACCACGTGATCTTTAGTGGTGATCATCTCCTTGCTAGATATTCCTGATAGGGTCGAACACTGTGGTCCCAGGTTCTAAGTTACTGCCAGCTGCATTGTGTTAGAATAGCTCAGAATTTTGTTGTAGCGCTCTTACTGCCTTTATGATACCACGATAAGCCGCAAGACTGTATAAAGCTGTCGCCTCGGGCTACCTCGGCCTTGCTCTTACTTTCGTGAATCTATCGCCTCTACGCGCCGACGCTAGAACCAGTATATTCTCTAATGTCCATCCCTAAGACCCGGGACGCACCCCGAGACGAGACGGTTTTGCACTTCGGACCTTCGGAAAATCGAACGCGCAAACCGATAAAACTGTAGTGAATGTATATAGACCTATACTATTTCTGCTGCAGCAGGACAGCCTCCGAACAAGATCTCTCCAAAATTGAACATGTCGCTGATCTTTTCCTCAAGGTGGTTCGTCCCCTCTTTACTATTTGACCCCTGCCCAAACGCGCCTTTGCATCACTATCACATATTCGGACGTCTGAAAAAGCAGCGCGGGCACCAAAGATAGTTTTCCTAGGGTTAGGCACTGCTCAGTCGTCGAGATTGTGGATGCCGGCAGTTTCGCCGTGCGGAGAAGGTGATGCATAGAAGCTTCCCTGTGTGGCGAGATGCATTTGACTCTGTTAGAATGATAACGTAACATCGTAATAAATTCCTGCGCTATGTCCTATTGCTCTATGTATCTAAAAATAAGTGTGGCGCGTGTTGTGGGTCTTGGAACGAGAATGAGTCCTTTGTTGTCCCCATGCCTCACGACCCCTCCAAGTGACGAGACATCATCTGCACTGTAGACTGTTACTAACCACCATGGATAAGGTAAGGCAAGTGTTAGCACAAGGCGTCCCTCCTGGCGTGCGTAGATCATACCGTACCTTGGCAGACCACGGCGGAGTCGCTCGCAGTACCCTCCATCATCGCGCTCATGGCCGGCCTTCGATGCAGGACAAGGCATAGAGCCAGCAGTACCTGACACCATGGGAAGAGAGCGCCCTCGTCAAGTTCATCTTACATATGCCAGATCTCGGACGGCCCGTACGAATCAAGCACATTCCCTCGCTCGCCTTTGTCGCTACCCGCGGTCGGTCCGTGACGAACAGACCCTCCAAGCCCCCAGGCAAAAACTGGGCAAAAGCCTTCGAGAAGCGCCATCCAGAGACGGCAGCGAGACGCGTCACGGCGCTAGACTGGAACCGCCACGAGAATAACATGGCCAATAAGATGACACAGTGGTTCGAGGTAATCGGGAAGGTATTGCGCGATCCAGCTATTGTAGCGGAGAATGTATACAACATGGACGAGACCGGGTTCATGCTATCCATGCTTGGCTCCGTAAAGGTGCTCGTAGGTAAGGATGACAAACAAACACATAGAGGCGCGCGCGTGAAGCGAACGATGGTGACTGCTATCGAGTGCATTAGCGCTGACGGTAGGTACCTAAACCCGATGATTATTTGGCCGGCTACCACCCACCGAAGTAATTGGACTACCTTTCCTACTCCTGGATGGCATTATGCGTGCAATGAGTCTGGATACACGGACTCCAACATCAGCTTGCAGTGGCTCAAGCGCGTGTTTGATCCCGAGACCAAGGAACGTGCTAATGGGAGACCGCGTGTACTGATCCTTGACGGTTTTGGGACACATGAGACGCTTGAGATCTTAGAGTACTGTTTTGCAAACAACATTGTCTTGTGCCGTCTCCCCTCTCACACGTCTCACAAGCTCCAGCCTTGCGACGTTGCTTTATTTGGCCCGCTGAAGACAGCCTATCGCGAGCAGGTCGAACGGTTGGAGAGAGGCGGTGTCAATACCATTGGCAAAGAGCATTTTACCTGTCTATACAAGCCTGCGAGAGAGCGAGCGTTCACAGCTAAGAATATCAAAGCTGGTTTCGCTGCAAGTGGTTTGTTCCCGCTCAATCCAGATAGAGTGCTGAGGACTGTGCCCAAACCTCGAGTCGAACCAGCTCCCGTGGTAACCAACGAAGCGCCTCGTCAAGAAGATGCAGTGCTGCAAACACCCATAACACCAGTATCAGCGGACGGTCTCATGTTGCTGCAAAATCTCATTGTAAAGAAGGATGCCCATGCTCTTGACGAAACGAGCCAGCAGAACTTGCAGCGACATTTACTAAAACTCGCCAAAGCTACCCAATTATCTCTCACTAAAAGTGCTCTCCAGCAAAACCACATTCAACTTCTGATGGCGGTCAATAACGAAGCTAAGCCCCGACGATCAACTGGAGCCAATATACTAGAAAAGGGTTCTGGGCAGGTTTTTAGCTACGAACATCTCCAAAGTAAACGGCTGAAGCGAGCGGAAGAGGCAGCAGCCAAAGAAGCTAAGGCTAAAGCTAAGGGGAAGCGTGGTCGGAAAGGCAAGGATGCTATGCAGGAGGCAGCAGAAGCCACGGCGTCCACAAGCACGGTGGGACGTGGCCGAAAGCGAAAGAGTACGGCGCTGGAAGCAGGGGCGAATCCGGCAAATGTCGAGGCTAGTCCATCAGTATCACAAGGCAAAGTCGCAAGAGTGAGTAATATTCAGAGAGCGGAAGCCTTAGAAGTGCTAGAGATGGCACCGGTTGCAAAAATGTATTAGGAAAGTGCTGATAGTGTTTGGTTATGCTATTTGGAGATACGCTTACTTGCTGATAGGCCGGTGTCATCTCTCAGTCTCTTTAGGTTAGACCGCCGTTTGTTGTTAGCACAGCTACAAAGCTACATGGTTATAGCTATAGCCATAGCCCTCATCATATTATGCGCACAAAGCAGCTGCTTTGATTTGGTGTTTACTAGCCAAGTTGGCTTTTCATCAATCTGTACAAGACTAAGGTCCATCCCTGCGTGACGCAAATCCCGCCATGCCGCAAAAATGGAGGGGTACTTCAGCCTTGATTATGTATAGTTATACACATACTTAATCTCACGCTATATAAAAGGAGGATTATGTTTCTTAGTATCTCCTGTACCTATTGCCCCCTCGCTATGTAAAAATTACCGTGGCGTTGTCGTAAACGCGGTTATCCACAAAGAGTCGCTTTATATAACTAATTAGAGAGATTATGCCATCACTAGCAGAGTGTGTAACTACAGCCCTCTTTTATTATAGTACTCCTATATTAACTTATATGAGCTTATTAAAACTCTAGCGAGGCTAAGAAGTCGATAGGAGCTTTGGGGCAGATGTGGCATCCGGATTCATGCCTGATCGCTATCCCGCTCGGTACTTCTTCGGGATGTTCCTTCCGCATATGGCTAGCTTGAAGCAGTAATTTAGTCATCATCACCCAAAGCTTATGGCTGTCAGTCCAGCGCCCAGAGCACTAGTATTTCAGTATTAGCTTCACAGCTTGATTATAATACACATCTCTAGTCATCAACTCTTACGAATAGCTGCAAATTGGTATTGTATCTAAACACACTAACTTTAACTACTTAACTAGCTGCAGCGCAATCGCTGAATGGCCCCTTTTGTTTAATTCGCGGCAACTCCCGTTGCAATACCGACAACGCCTCCACCTCCAGCTTCATAAAAAACCAGTCCTCCCACCCAGTTACGCCCTGTGTTGGGGTCTGGATCACAAGATATGGCTTGCTCGCAGCAGATACCTGGCAAGTGTCTCCGTGACATGTCTTACAGTCCCATCGCTTACACTTCGGACGCGGGTCCTCGAACCGCCGCGTTAGCCATGCCACCGTTCCACTCTTCGCCACACGCCATACAACCGACATACCCTCGTCTACGAACACTACCCAACACGGTTACTTAGCTGGTATCTAGAGATACAGATAGAGCAAGATACAATGATGGATTAAAGGTATGTACAAAGGAACCCCTACCATTCGCATGATGATGTACGATCTGCATACCCGCGTTCAAACTCGCTGCGAACTGCTCCCCAGCTGGGAGCTGCTGGACCTAGTTCCCAACAAATGACTTATCTACGCTATCTCGCCACACCTTGGACACCAGACGTAGGGTAGCCAGATCCTCAACTGATGACACTCTTTCCACTATCAAGAGCCACACCTCCGTCGGCAGCTTCTCCATCGCGCTTCGCCAACCACAATCACCGTGGGAAAACGTAGGGAAGGCAGTGGAGAGGGCTCTGTGGTCAAGACGCGTTCTTCACGGTGCGAAATCGCGCCATCTCACGCCATCACGTGACATAAGCACTAGCACTAATTCAACGCATGACTCATTCTCATAGAAGGTGTCACTCCAGACGGTGCGAGAGATTTTACCTTCTACCGACTGACTCTTACATGAATATATATGCAGTTCGTGCACAAGTGCAGCGCTGGTTTGGTATATACCTAGTTAGTCAGTATGAACTGATGCGCTATCCACGTAAGCACACTAAAGTTACAAGCTAGCAGAACAGAACCACGGCCAGAACTCGGATAAATCCGGAATACAACCTATTCAGAGACAAGATACCGCCTTAGTACAGCAGCCATAGCCCCAAACTTCTGAAAATCTCATGCAACTCCGAAAATTATAACTAGTTAGTTATTACCTATGTGTGTTTATAAGCGTCCAACATTGTGTTGATCAATGTTACATCACTCTTGACTAATACTATTCAGGCATTGCTTAGCCGCGAAGACAGGGCTAGGACGTTTTTGAGTAGGCACGGACGGGGCTGAATGTGAAAACCACTTTGCAAAACCGGCTAGGCTGCTACCTTGGCATCTTGGCAAAATTTTGATGATTCTCATTGTGTCAGGTCTGACAACCCACATAGACAAGAGCGCGGACAAAGCACGTAGTCGACACGACAGAGAACATGAGAAGGACCAGAGCCTTGGCATCTATACCGACGGCAGTAGCATAGATGGCGAGATTGGTGCTGCAGCAGCATGCCCACTCACACAGCAAACCCGCACAGTACACATGGGGCCAGACACGGGCTCCACAGTCTACGCTGCCGAGCTACAAGGCATCAGCCTCGCACTGCAAATAGCACAAGAGTACTCAGAGCGAGGAGGTGAGAGGCGGAAGGTAGCCATCTTCACAGACAACCAGGCAGCCATCTGGTCCGTGGCTAAGGCTGAGGGCCGATCAGGAGCCTACATTCTCGCAGATATCGCAGAACGGGTGAAGACGCTCCAGGATGTAGGCCGACCAGTGACAATAAGGTGGATCCCAGCCCACACCGGCATCCCAGGAAACGAAGCGGCCGACAAGGCCGCCAAGGAGGCCACAGGATGGAGAGAGGACGGCAGTAGACACCCACTAGCAGATGCGCCGCCCAAGCTCTATCCAATCAGATCAACCGTCAGACGTTGGTGCAGGACTCAAACAGAGCGAGCATGGGCAGCCAAGTGGCGAACAGAGGCGAAAGGTCGAGCAACCTACAGACACACACCGTGGCCTACTAAGAAAGTACTTCAAACACATGAGGGCCTTACTAAACGACAGAGTGCACTACTAGTGCAGCTGCGTACTGAAAAGATAGGCCTGCGCGACTTCCTCTTTACCCAAAGAGTGCCAGGGGTTACCAGCTCCCGCTGCTAGTGCGGGGAGAGACGACAGACTGTTGCCCACATCCTGCTCCACTGCAGGATGCTTAAGGACCTCCGGAACCAGGTATTCGGCAACCTCCGTGGACGAAACAACCTCCGGGTCATCCTGAGTAAGCCACAGCTAGCCACAGCTAGCCACCAAAGCCATCCAGTTTATAGAACAAGCGCAGATCCTTGGGCACGTTGGGATCGCAGACGCGTAGACGACAGCCGAGCGCTGGGGGGAGACTGTAGGTATCGCGGCCGCAAAACACAGGCACTACACCTCTACGAGCCTATAAGCACAGTACACTGTTAGTAGAGCCATTATCTAGATAAGGTGGCAGCCAGATTGTAGATAGTGGTGGAGGGGAAACGGCAGGCCTCTAGGAACAGCTGGCTCCCATAGGGGAGTGACGTGGGGCGGCGCGGATTAACGTCTGCGCGGCGTCGGCTGTTGGCTACGCCAGCCATGCCGGGCATAGCTGCGGAGAAAACGCGGCTGAAACCGAGTAGGACTAAATAAATAAACCAATCAATCAGGTCTGACAAAAGGGACCTGGGGAGTCTCGTCACAGCAGGCCACATGCTATGTATGTGTTCTGCAGTGCAATTTATGTATGAGAAGGTCAGACAGGTGGGTATTGCTTGGATCTCTATCATCTTGAGTGGTTCGCTATCCGCAATGCCGTGTGAACTACTGCCGTCCCAAGTGGTCTACTGCACGCTCCCATCTGTCTGATGCACGACGTAAGCTTCCAGGCTATTAATATCATTCTCCTCAATTAGTGTGTGATGGGGAGATAGATTGTTATCTACCAGTACTGTTCGACGTGGGCTGTTACGGCTCAGCACAGCACCAGATAGCCCTCGAAATGTTCTGGGCTATGCTTTTCTTCGGTACTCCTCCCCCTCTAACCATACTGCTAGCTTTGGTTCCCAGTAGTATCATCGGATGGATCATTTACGCAAGGTGCTTCCACCCGCTTGTGAAGACTTCTGGGCCTTTTCTGGCATCAGTCGCGCGGCTATGGCTCAAATTTGATGTCGCAACAGGTACTGCTGGGAAGACGCAAGCTCGTCTGCATAAGCAATACGGTACGCCCGTGAAACTATGAGCCAACAGAAAAATCAGACGTCCGCTAGATCCTATTGTCCGTATTGCACCAAACGAAGTCGCAATATCAACCCCTGAAGCTATTAAAACAATCCACGGCGCACAGGATCAAAATTGTAGCCTGCCGATAAAGAGGAAACTAAGACCTCCCAAGATTTCTGATTCACGCCTAAGAGCAGAAAAGAGGCCGATGAATTTGACTAACTAGTTGATCTTGACTTTTGATGGATTTACGTTATCGATATCTGGGTTTCTAGATTTAGTAAGCCGGTTATTAGAGAAGCGAACTAAGTACAGCACTTTAATCTTGTGCGTTAACTTCTATAAGTATTGTAAATGTCTCCGGATGAAGTAAACAAAAGCATGTCTTCGTTCACGGACCTGGAATACTCCTGATTCCCGCAGCCCTGCTGTAGCTCCTATTTCCATCTTGTAGCTACTGTGTTAAAGCACCAACCAATAAAGCGAGTTCGACTCGCAGAGCAACAGCCTTCTACAATTACCTGCGTCCTACAACTACGTCCTGGGCAATCTAAACGGTAATTTGTAAGGAATAGCCTTTCAACAATATGGGAAAAGTTGGATCACGTTGGTTAGTATCGAGTATAAATTACCACTTAGGTGTAGGAGTATAGCTGCTATAGATTGGAAATCAAAAAACCTCCCAAAAGTTCGTGATAACAATGCGATACTAGAGATCATCGAGAGACTGTTAAATGCCACTCGGTATGTTGACCACGCCTTGTAGCAATCTGAGATCTAATTATGTTTTGATATAACTAATAGTTAACTAGTTATTAAATATATACATTAGTGCTACTAAATATATATCTGTTTATCCAAAAATAACTCATTGACTAACTAGTACATACTCACAAAGCTTACTAGTCAGCATTATAAAAGTCAAAGTTGAAGGCAATGAGCATAACAAAAAATATGATTATTTATCTTTTCGATTGTATCGAGCCTTTCCGCAGTTCCCTATTATGTATGCTTCGTCCATTCGATATTGCGCGATTGCTATTGGCAGTCCAATGCAAAGTGACCAACGCTGAGCGAGACCGATATATGAATATCTTAGATGAAATCTTCGAGGATTCTTCCCCGATACTAGCAATGCAGAAATCAGGTCTCAGAGTTCGAATGTTTGGCGCAGATCTCGTAGCTCTTCAGGACCAGCTAATGCATCCCAACACTTGCATGAACTTCAAAGGCCTTCAGCGTCCATTACACGTATTTATTCTAGTCAATGATATCGTGGATAGTTTGGCCACACTGGTACGGGATTACCGCCCTGATGAAGAACAAGGATTTGTTCCTGACGGCATGCCTTTCTCACAACTCCAAGAAATCTTTGGCGACAATATAGCCGACCAAATATCTTCCTTCTCACCGTTTATTCTCTGCGCACCCTACCTCACTGGATCAATGCCGGATGCAGTACCTGGTTGGATCCCAATGTTCAATACTCGACCTTTCATCAATGTGTGCGCATATATTTCTACCTACAATGACTGCAATGGAAGACTCCTATTGATGGACCGAACGCTTATGGGCCATGTCTTTGGATACAACAATTCTCAAAGCCCGTTTTTGCATATAGTCGATTCGACTGTTCCATGCTATAACTACCACCCAGAAGGGTTGTCCTTGGAGCATTTGAGGGCCGAGTTATCGTTAAATACGCTACAAGATATTTTCGGGGTAGCGATGCAGGAACCGAGAAGACCTAACGATGACTATCTAGTTGTCAATACCTTGCACCCACTCAATGCATCAATTACAATTAGAATAAAGCAGTGAAGTGGACTTTGGAATGTGGTTTTTGGAGAACTATGTTGCTCAAGACGTATATAGCTATTGCATAACCTACAAGATAAAGGCGGCTATGCCTCTCCTTTAACTGCCAGCAGAGATAGCAAACAATATTACTAAATATCTTCGCGTCAGTGACATAGCCAATTTCAGTTTAGTGTCCAGACACCTTTGTGATCTCTTCATACGATCTCTTTACGAGCGAGCGTGTTCTTACCAAACGATACTATACACTATTTTAACGAGAGATCTTGAAAAAACAACTTTCTGGTACGGAAGAAATAGCGCTACTATCCCTCCACGTGTGGCGGAAAACCCTGTGTGCCGGCATGCCGATAATGCACCCGCGACAACAAACTCAACCCAAACCGAAAGGCCTAGAAAATCCCCGGATAGAGACTTCGATCGTGTTAGTTTCTCAACACATTATATCTTTAGCGAATAGTTACTGTGTGGCTAGCAATACCACAATTCGCTACTAGCACGTACGAGAGTCTTGCCTTAGACAGACTCGGAAGTGCTAGATGATTTGTGTATTTATCTTAGAATCTAGAAAGCTGTAAAGATGTATATAAAGAGTCTATCCCGAGTATTCTGCTACTATATACCATGTTAGGGCATTGTAGTGTAGGTTTAAAGAGCAGTGCAATACTAAAGAGCGCTACTTGCGAGTCGTATGTAAATACTAGAAGCAGACTACTCGGGCCCAGGGATGGCGTCCCGCCACCCATGCTGCGCATGGGCCCTCGCAAGCTTAGGGCCCCTAAGCTCAACAATAAATATACGCTCAACGATAATTACAGGCGTTTAAATCGCAGTTATTTAGTAGCTAGTATATTTTTGTAAAATCGATTCGGGAGCGATTATTAAGTACATATATAAGCTACTATTTACAAGTCCCTAACCTTATTGGAGTGGTGCTCGTCGAGTAAGTCGTCGTTGTAGAAGCGCGACAGTGGCGATGAATAGCCAACAGAGCTTTCCTCCGAGCTCTCAGCGTCCTGCTCAGCTGCCTGTTGCGTATCAAACATAGCCGCCTCCTCAGCCTGGGCTCTCTCTTGCTGCTGATGTACTTTAAGAGCTGTCGTGTCGCGTGTGGCAATGTATATAGTATATGGGTCATAGGGCTGTCGAGCTGCTAGCCCTAGCCATGCAGCACCTGTCGGATCGTGTATAATAGATCTGTGCCACCTCTCCGCAATAGATCTACTATTAATTAGACACCAGGAGCTCTGCGCACTTCCTCTTAGCGACGAGATACTATATTGTCGGAGGCCTAACGTACGTTGTATAGTTGTCCCCTCTATATGTCGCCTTGCAGACAGCTTACCAAGACGTCGTATTGTAGAGAGCTTAAGCGCAGCAATTAGGCGCTTTATAGACTTAGAATTGCGCTCTTGGAGCTTTCTTTGTATCTCTATAAGCTCGTCTTGCTCCCTTTCAATCACCATTCGTCTGGCGTCTTTAGCGTATAAAGGTCCTCCCTCGTTTAGGCGACGTCTGTGAATAGCTCTCTTACGACGCTCTGCACGAGCAATCTCAGCAGCCTTTGTTTGCTGTAGAGCTTTGGCAAGTCCTTGAGTAGCCTGGGCCATTGCGAGGGCGCCTTTGTAAGTAGTGTCTAGGGCGCTAAGTAAATCGTCGTCAACATTGTAGTCCTCCCAAAGACGCTGTTGCAACTCTGTGAGTTGATTATTGAGTACGCGTGTCGTACGCGGAGTCCTCCAGTCCTGGAGATCCTGTGGAGCTCCAGCATTGTCTTTGTAGACTTCTGCTGGCTGTAGATCCACGCGGGGCACCTCCATAAGTCTGACGGCGGCAAGGACGACTTCTGGAGCCCATGGAGCTAGCCCTGTACGTCGCCAGCCACTTCGTATTGTGTTGTAGGTGAACGTATGATGTCTTATTTCATCGAGAGTAGCAAAAAAGTCGTCCTTTGTGATCTCTCTAGCGCCCGTACGCGCCGCCCAGTCAAGCGTCTTTCCATGATGCCATTTCAATGGCTGAAAGCAGCCCACATCTAGTGGCTGCAAAAGATGCGTCGTATGTGGGGGGAGCGCAACTGCGAGTATACGATGGAGCTCACAGTACTCCAAAAATTCGCGCGTATTATGAGACCCATGGCCGTCGAGAAGTAGGAGCCTCCATAGTCCTTTCGTACGAGCTTTTGTTTGTTTCTCAAAGTGCTGGATCCAGTGGAAAGCTGTCAGATCTGTTGAATAGCCCGAGGATGTAGTATTGATAAAGTAATCGTCAGGAAGATCAGTTGCCCAGTAATCAAGAATTGATTTGCCCTTGACAATAATCATAGGCGCGATTGAATGGCCAGACGCAGAGATACACTCTACAAGGCTAACGAGCTCTCTGTTATTAGACGTTGGCATAAGGACGTCGCGTCCATGTTGCGTGTAGACAGCCTGCCTCTTCGAGATGCCAATCCGGATGCCAGTCTCGTCCATATTATATAGATGTCACAGCCTATGCAAGGCTGCAGAAGCAATGACTTCAGCTGAGCCGAAGCGACAAGCCACCGTCACTGCAACAAGGATGCACGACCTCAACAATAAAAAGCAATGGCTATACACCATAAGTAAACGAAGATGGTAGATAGCAGAAAATACAGATCAATTTGTTCACCGCACCAACGCGTGCGACAGATATGTACGAGGAGTATGCCAAGACCCTTCCTCGTACATAAGGGTCCGAGGTAGTTACGTGATGTATACCCCCGCGTTACATATGGCCGGGCTGAGTGGCCGCCGTTGTTCCTTAAATTAACCGCCGTGCCTCCTTCCTTCAGGTTCGTAACAAGCGGAACATCCAGCTCATATACGGTGAGAAATGACAATGCCCCTGATTGCGGGTAGAAAGCGGAAACATAGGAGCAAGTGCATCCGCGTCCATACCAACGTGTCCCCTGCACTGAGCCACATGTTAGGTCTGATTAATCTTCATAACACAATCCGAATTCAGTACCTATGCACCGACCAAACACTACAAGGGTTAGGTTCATGACAAGCAGCTGGACAGGTTTCAGCGCTTATAAAATCAAGGAAGTTCCTGTAGGGATGTTGAAAACAAGCTAGCTGAGTTGATTGCATGTTCTATCGCCTGTGCAAAGAAAAACATCTTCACAATGACTAATCTTATTTTGAAGCCAAGATTCTAGATGTCTCGAATGGGGTCAAAGTTAGGCGTATTCTCGATAGTCACGTTATAAGCGTTCTTGTTAGGCTTTAAGTTATCTACACCCCTCGCGTGCGTAGTGCTATTTGTTTCCATTGTATAGTTGACCGATCTGGTGGACTTGGTTACAATGTGTTACAAGCACGCCGAGGCTGTGAAATTGTCCCTTGGTCAAGATACGTGACGAACCTGATTCATGTATCGCTGATTTTGTGCAGTCTGCTGTGGATAACTAGCCGCTCGCGACCGGCAAGCATCTCCACACGTCCTCGCTTACTCAAGACATGCAGGGGCGAAAGCCACTCAAAAATCAATATGCTCGCAAGGCTACGTCCGATAATGCCTTGGCTGTGGCTGCCAATGACATCAGTATCAATGCCCTGGAGTTTGTGACTATTCTCGCCTTGTGATTACATGAGTATCCGCCACTGCGGGGCCGTGTATAATGCACAGCCGATGGCGTTATGACACAAATCGATAGCATTAGTTGCAGATGCCGTAATTTTGGGTGCCCCTTCATCTTTAGTCGAGAACATAACCTTATTAGCTATGGCGCGTGCGTGACCTTAACACGAGCCGCTCACACGTTTCACGCGAGAGGGCCTCCCTCACATTTTGTGCGAGCGGGCCTCCCTCACATTTTGCACAAGCTTGAGATTACAATTACCCTCTTCAAACAAACATGAAAGAGTGGATATAGCATAATCCTCTTAATTTCGCCTATAGATCACTTCTATGTGCCTATCACTCTGGCCTGAGAAAGAAGGGGGGTTCCACCTGGATATTAGACCACTTTTTGAGACGATATACCACTCTTTCTACGTATAGATGATCCAGTTTTGGTTCACTCGTCATGCAGCAGCGTTTGCAGGATTCGTGATACACTATTGCATTGTATGGCCTGTTGAAATATCTCCATATAGGGCCCAGACTGCTATACATAGAAGCTAACGTCTGTATCTTATCAAGGAGAACGTCTTTTTCCTTATATTAAAGGGTTTTTCCCTCGATGGATATGTATCAACGTTGATTTTCAATTACAAAGTCACAGTTTGGAATCGGCGGATGATTTGAGATGTCTCTCAAGTTACAGCAGGGCTCAGGGCTCAGGGCTCAGGAAAAGTCCAAGAAAAGCTACCGATGGGGCCAATTCAACGTCAGAAGTTCTGGAAGGATCGACGTCTCTGCCTCTTCTGGGCAGCTTATGTCTGCCTCGCATATAGTCGTCGTGCCTACCTCGCTAAAGGATTTGGCGGACACAAGACGAAGACATAGCTTGATGAATCACACAGCTCTTCTTACATAAAACCAAGGGTATGTAAGGGCTGTTTTGAGAAGCTAGTGGCGCACTATGACCACGAGACGCGCAGTTGAGTTCTATACAGTCTGTGCTGATCGTTGCCTGCGCTTGCAGGAGTAGGCAGACAAACCAAGTTGGAGACCTACACAGGGGGATAAGTGAAGTTGATTGTCTAAACAGGGTATTTTGGGTGTTTATGAAATACCAAGGGAGTGGGCGAGGTTGAAGATAGCAAGTTACTACGTGTGTGGGCTGACTGAAACGTGTTGGTGTCTGTGCTATGGTGCGGAGACATTTCCCTTCCCATCGATGCGCGCCTGCGCTCCGGCTCCCACCGGCAACATCCATTAGAGCTTAGGTACGCCCCTGCTAGGTGGTATATTGGAAAAAGATACACTACTGTTTTGTGGATCTAGCTGACTGTTAAAAAGTAAATTGGGTTGTGTTTCGCGTTTGAAATCGTCGCAAGAGACTAAACATTTGACGAACATGAAGAATAGTGGACAATCGTGTAATCTTATTGGAGCCTCTAGTGTATTGGCGCACGCTTATGATACAGTATGTAGGGTCAAGAATCAGTATGTGATGCTTCCTGGGTGTCGGCAACTTTCGATGAGGCTGAAGTGATAATAAAGAGACAGAATATCACAAAGAAACCCATGGGAGCCATTTCATGAAGGAACTGTCAAAAAGGGGGCAATGTAGTTGAAATTGGCAACGGGTAAACCAAGACTAGATCTCTCGTATGAAATCCGTTGGAAAACTCAGATACCTACGCCCAAGCAGCTTCCCATTTCAACTTGAGCTCCTTGTCTTTCCTGATGAAAAGCCATGCAATTGTTCCAAGAAATCCTTGGGATAGCCCCAATTCCTGCAGAATCTGCAATACTTGGCCAATTATGGCCTGTCTCCTTCCCCCTACACTCTAGAGATATATCTATCAATTAATGGCCAGTCATCATCGAAGATGCACTATTCGTTATCTTAGTTAGCATGAAGAATCCAGGATGTTTCAGGATGTGCAGAAGCAGGCGGCATGTGCGGCTTTAGGTCTAGGTTGTAGTGGGATAAGTGGAAGGATGGTTGATCCTTGCTAAGCTGCGTTGTTTGGACTCCTTGCCCACGTTGCCATCTCCCCTTTTCGCTTTATCCTAAATCCTATCCTTATGTAATCAACCTGGAAAATAGATATATATTAGGTATTTAGAGGCCCTCACTTCCTGCAGAGTACCTACATCTCTACGTGTAACAGAATAAAGGAAAGCCAATGGCCCACAATCCCACCTCAACTGCTTCGGTCAAGCGAGCCTGCGATAGGTACGTACTGTTGGTACACTCAACGTCGATGCTCCCACATTCACACTGGCGCCCTGTACAGCTGCCACCGAAGAAAGGTCAAGTGCTTCAGAGAAGGCACCGCGCCATGCAAGAATTGTATTTCTGCTGGCCTTGCATGCACATACAATGCCATTCCGCAAAAGAAAGGTCCCAAGAGCTCCCGTGCTAAAGTCCTTTCTGAACTCCGCGAAACCCAGCGCAACGCTCAGCTCGCTGCTGGTTACCCAACCGATCTCGGCTTTGACGGACGCTCACTGCCAGCCACATTTGCCCGCACCCAAGGGCTGTTACCCCCCGCTCTCGTTGAAAGCTGCATAGAATACTTCTTCAACCATGTTTACCCCTCAGAGCCTGTCCTGCAACCTTTGGCGGCGCAGGAAGCAGCCGTTGACATGGATCGCTCCACTGAATCGTACTGTATGATTGTTGCAGTGTGTGCATACGTCATGATTCAGGCCAACCACAAACCACTCATCAGCGTGCTCCCTCGTCCAGAGATGGCTCACATGTCAAATGTCAGTGTTGGTCACATACTCCTCGAAGAATCAGTCCGCGTGCGACAAAGCTACGATCACCGCGAGAACCCCACGCACACCAGCGTGCTTACCTCGTGGTTTTACAGTGGCTGCTACTTTGGACTCGCGCGAGAGAACACAGCCTGGACATATCTCCGAGAAGCCACAACACACGCGCAACTACTGGGTATGCATGACGAGGAGACCTATAAACACGATTCCTTGGATGTATCCCGAAAGCGCGTCCTCTACTGGCTTTTGTTCATCTCCGAACGGTATGTCCAAATGAGCTCTGAATTTTTCTGCATTTGTCCCCATTTTGCTAACGATTTGCCAGAACCTACGCTCTACACAAACACCGACCTATCACATTACACCCCACCATACATCTTCCTGAATTATATGAAGTACTCACGGACCGGCCAATTGCGGTTGGACTGGGGCTCATGATCAACATGTTCAAGATTATTGACGACACCTTTATCAACCTGTGGAATCGGGTACACAACACACATGTGAGCGCTGCATGGATAACGCAGGTGCAGACGCAGCTTTCAGAGGCCGTGCCTGCATATTCCGAATGCAGCGAGGCGCAAGAGGTGCAAATTCGTATCACTCAGCAGTGGCTGAAGTCACAGACCTGGCAGCTCAGTGTTTGTCAAGGGCTTGTAAGCAGCGTCTCAAATGACGTGCCGCTCACATTCAAGTACCCGATCGAAATCGCCCGCGACCTGCTCACAATCTCACACCAGTTCTCGCAGCAATCCATAGAAGTCCACGGCGTCGGCTTGGTAAGTAGATTCATTTTCTTTTGCAAGCCTGTTCTTGTCTCGACTTTGGAATTCATCCCCGCTCCAGCCCCTCCGTCTCGTGCAGAGATCCTTTTCATATTGCGATCTTACTAGGGCCGCGCTAGCCAACGTCCATCTCTGACGTCCACGTCCTGACTAGCTTAGCCCCCCTCGACCTCACCCCCCTGGTCGTCCCTGCACATCCCACCCTTGCACCGTTTTACCCTATCTGTCTGGTCAGTCATTAGTTAACAGGATTGCAGATCGAGAAATTGTTCGACATAGCCTGTTGTTTGACTGACGGGGTCGCTTGCACATCCATCTCACCAGACGCATTTGCCCTTGGACCTCGAGACTACGTATCGCGGTTCTTGACGCTCATCTCGACACTGCGCGGAGGACAGTCGCGATATCTTCCTCTCCTACTGGCCAAACTGTCCGAAGTCCTGCCCAATTTACCGCTTCCCCGATCTCTAAACCTCCCCCAGACGGTTCCCGCATCGATGCTCGGCCTTAATGCTACTAGTCCGGGGACACTTCCCTCCAACGTCGCCAAAGACTTTTCAGCAAGTCCCGCATCATCTTTGCCCTCGTATTATTCCAACGATCTCATTCGACGGCCGGCCGCTCAAACTGGTGCCCAACTTCCTTTCAACACGGCTCAGCAATCCATGATTCCTGCCCCTACCATCCACGTCGGCGATCTGTCGCTGTACGACACTTCACACAACACTTCATATTCGACGACAACTAGTCTATACGAAGCCTCTATGTCATAGTCATGGCCATAGATTATACGACATAGCAACATGTAGACTCCTACATTGCATAGTCATATGCAAAACCACTGGATAGGTGTCAATGCAACAGGATACGATCCCAGGTTTTTCATCCAAAACTACCCTTTGGATCCCATGATAAACAAGAAATAGATTTTACCGACGTCCAGAAGCAGTGCATAAAGTCCAACAGCGCATCTCTTTTTCTCCTTGTCCCAGGCCACAGGCCCATGTAAATTTGGTAGTAGGGTATGGTTTTAGCCCATTCAACCTTTTGTGTTCAACCTCTCTTACGGAGACCACCTAAATAATTTTTGAGTGTTTAAAGTAATGATAAGAGTACTTTTACAAAAAAAGATTAGAACTGATTATGGAAGCAATCTATCAAATCCACCAAATGCGTCCGAAACAAGGATCCAAGACTGGAATTCTACGATCTAGGGCTACCAACCCACCAAGCTCATAAGGCCAACAACAAACGACTATCTTCCAGTAGGAACATCGCACGTGCTTGTTGGATGAGGCCAGGGCTGGGTGTGGAAAGTCAATGCGAGAAGAGAGCAGGCATTACATGGGTGAAGCTTCGTATTGCCTTTTCTCTTAGCTTATTTATTAACTAGTAGGATTGCAGATTGAGAAAGTGTTTGACATAGCCAATGACCACCGATCCTGGATGATAGCCCAAGCCATCTCTTTCAGCTAACATAGTTCTCATTCTCTTTTCTTCATAGTTTATGTCGACAATCTTCCATCTGAAGACGTATGCTTCCGCAAGCCTAATGTAGACTTTCCGTGCTTCTTTAGCCTTTTTGTTCACGTCTATCTCCAACAAAATCATTTAGCTGAGCCAGCATTTTATCAGAGTAAAGCCACATTATTTAGTTGCTGACTGGGAGCACAGAATCATTCACAAGATCGATAATGTCTGCTTCTTCCCTCAACTTCGTCCACTCTGGCTCCATAGCTCTTTGGAAAAAATCCGAGCTCTTGTCAAAAACACCGCGATAAACATTAAGGGTTTCTGTTTCATCGTCGTGTTTCGTGACCCTGAGCTTTATGGTTGGGTCGCTCAGCTTAGCCTTGACAAGTGTGTGTAGAATGTATCAGGCTACATGGTGCAGTACTCCATATCTCTTGTTATATTCAGTTCAAAGACCTGTGGCTGTGGATGCTCTTGAGTCCATAAATGGTTGATTCGCAGTTTTGGGGAAGCGAGCGGGGCAAGTGCGATGATCTTGAGCAGGAGGTATCAGCGTACCTGACAGGTGCAGGATACCATCAGATGCCCTTGAAAGCCGTTTCCTTCTTACCATTCATTTGGGCTTAGCTCTGATCTAGACTGATGCAAATTCTCGAACACACTACACGCGTAGCATTATAAGTACTAGCTAGTCTGTTTGTCAATTCGTATACTGTATCACAATATCATGTCATTAGACTGCGGGTATATATGAGATTACCTTTCGGAGTCGACAGGAAACTTCTTCACTCGACTCAACTCCAGTGATTAGATTTCAGTATTTCCTTTACCAGACAATTACGGATCGCACCCTAATCTTTTGAGCTCGATCACGTATGGCGCTAAAATGCCTATGCATCTCCAAGACTTGCTATCCACAATACCAACAAATCAGACTGGCCAGCGAAACAACAGATCCTCGAGCTCGTTGAGCTGGCTGTGCCGCTGTTCATCTACGCTGCCACCGTGTGTCGGTATGTTGGCAGCAAAGGAGGCAGTCCTACGGCTTTTCTGAACAAGGTCCTTCAGTATCAGAAGGCAAGCTTTTCGCAGCTGGATCGGACCTATCTCCCTGTTCTCGACCAGCTGCTGAGTGAGCAGGAAGAAGACGAGAAGGAGACGTGGCTTCAGGATTTCCGAGAAGTCGTTGGCAGCATTGCTGTTCTCGAAAGCCCACTATCTGCTGTCTCACTTGCCCGGCTGCTTCAAATTCCCTACGAGGAGATTCAATGCCGACTTGACTCTTTGCACTCTGTTCTTAGTATTCCCAACCGCGAGGACACTTCTATTAGACTCTTACACTTATCTTTTCGCGAGTTTCTCCTCGACCACCAAAAGCAGGGAAAGAGCCTGTTCTGGGTAGATGATAAAAGAACACACCGGAAGCTTGCATCCCGCTGCCTTGAGCTTATATCTAGATCTGGCGGTTTTTGTCAGGATATGTGCGGCCTTCCAGGCCCTGGAGTGCTAAGAAGCGAGGTAAATGAGCAGATAGTTGCTACTAGGCTGCCACCTGATCTACAATATGCGTGTCGCTATTGGGTTGACCATCTCAAGCAGAGTGGGCAAGGCATCATTGACGGAGACGCGACGCACCTCTTTCTACAGAAGCATCTTCTTCATTGGCTTGAAGCTATGAGCCTTATAAGAGAATCGAGTAGATGCGTTACTTTGCTTGATAGTCTTCAGGCGCTTACTATTGTAAGATCTTTATAAAACACCTTTCTCTTCCCCTACTCACATACAATGCAGGCAGGCACATGCAAAACTAGTTCTGAGCTTTCTTCACGACGCTAAGCGGTTCGTGCTGCGGTTCCAATCTGTGCTTAGAAATGCGCCGTTACAGATCGATTGCTCGGCATTAGTATTTGCACCAGAGAAGAGCGTGGTACGACAAACATTTATAGGCCGAGTGCCAGAAAAGGTCAACATGCTATCTAAGAAGGAAGCAGACTGGGACGCGTGTCGCAGCACGCTCGAGGGCCATTCTGACGATGTCAGCGCGGTGGCCTTCTCGCCAGACGGGCAGCTAGTCGCATCAGCATCTGGCGACAAGACAGTACGGCTGTGGGAGGCGGCGACAGGGACGTGTCGCAGCACGCTAGATAGCCCTTCTGGATACATTTCATATATCAATTTCTCGTCAGATAGCCAGGCACTTCATATGGACAAAGGCGATATTGCTTTGCCTCAAGCCCTAGTTGGCACATCGTTCTTGAGGTCGAGGCCGCAGTCTTCGTACGTTCTAGTACAGAGCCAGTGGGTACTGTACAACCAACAACGCTTCCTGTGGCTTCCGCCAGAGTATCGGTCAGACTCCACTGCAGTACACGAGGAAGAAGCTTGTCTAGGGCTTCTATCCGGCCGCGTAGTTTTATTTAGGATCTTCTAATTACTGTAACATCGACCTCCCTCAAATTCCGTCTCACTAATTAATTCCTCAGTGAGCGGATCGTCTCTAAAAAATCTGGGTCGGTTATCGAAACATCTATCGGTGGCCGTACAGTAATTAGCGATTGTGGCTTGACCCTTACACGCAGCTGCGCAACGATTCCAAATAACCCCACCCTCCGTTCATAGCTTAGCGCGAGAAGTCAGCTGCAGAGCAATCGACGTGGTTGGTCGATCCTCGATCTCATGATGACTGGACTTTTGGAATGCTGCTTGCAGAGGTGAAGCCGCAATCGCTAATCACTGTAGCATAGTGGTCACCCACTGATTAGTTACAATGCATAAGTCAGCCATTGAGGCTTGGTCCCTAATTATGGCTACCACCCTGTTCTGTTAATCCTAGCTTCCTCTACTATACTTAGCACTAATTAGTCAGAAATCAATCGTTCTGCACTAAACACCCTTAGACGATCATACCGCGCTAAGGCAAACCACTCGGGTTGCCCCATTCTAAGGACCAAAGTCAGGTTAGTGCACATGATTAATGAGCGGTCTTCACTACTGTAATAACTATGCCTGGTTATTTCCATTGTATATAAATTCCACATTGTGAGCTACCCAGACCTCAATGCGCCGCGCGAGCGCCTAGTGATTAGCACTGATTCTTTTTGTAATTTGCGTAATTAACAGATCTTCTATGGTCACTGGATCCAAGGGAGATTATAGGTTTCAATGCGTCTTTGAAAGGATCCGTCCAGGGCAACTGCTGTGTCATGACAGTAGGGGGTGGGTTTTTTTGCCAATATCTATTGCTAGCATGGTGAATGAACGTCTTCCTTTTGTTCAATCATTGTTGTAGGAATTCTTTGTATGTATTGCAATGTAATATTATTCCTGACGACTGTACATATGTTTAAAAGATTTTTTGAGTGTATAAATACCCCCTTTACACGACATGACTGCACAATTGGATTTCAGCTCTCCCTTTGCCACCCGACTATGGGTTGTCCCTTGAATTTTTCAGCTCCATTATATATCGTTTCACAGTGTCCTCATCGTCTTCGTGATCATCATCCGCATCATTCTTGTCGTCATCATTCTTCATGTGCGCAGTCGTTTGAACAAGTTGCACGTGTAGCTTCAGTGCCCCAATCTTGAACTCCTGGTGGATGAAATCGTGCTGCAGACATGTTAGTCTATATCTGTATTACAGCTCTTGAGATCATACGTGGAGAAGTGCATCTGGTGTCCACGTTCTTGTTGCAGACAGAAAATCCACTGCCATCTCTGACCAGCGGTGTGGTTGTCGCACAGTGATATCTCCTTTCTTGTGAGCGGATTTGGCCATAAGCATCACGACAGTACGCCCAAAAGCCTTCGCGCTCTTAAGCAAGCAGTCGCGATCTGTTTTGCAGTATTCAAGTTTGTCTACTGATATCAGCACGGCCGCATTTTCATTAGGCTGGCCTCTGGCCTACCAATCTTGACCACGCCTTCGTCGCTAATGACCACGTTTTCGATTCTTAGGCGTCTGTGGAGAAGACCCTCTGAGGTCAAGTAAGCAACCCCGGCAAGCATCTGTTTACATCAGTAATCAACGAAAATTGCGTGAGGAGCGTTCCCACCTGCTTTGTGATGGCAACTAGTTGTTTCTCGTTTAGATATTGAGGGCAGCGACAAACATGTAGAAGAGTAACGAGTGCAGACTCCATCACACAGTAGAACTCTCCCCCATCTTCAAAGACTTCATGCGTCTTGGAGAGATTATCGTGGGATAGCCAACGCTTGCGAAACGATAAGACCTCGTCTTTTGCAACTTTCATTCTTCTAATCAGGTAGTGGTCGTTATCGGCCGATGACTCGAAAACAACAATGACCAATCCACCAAGCCTACGCTTGTGAATAAGCTGGTATTTGTTCCACAGCGACCCAGATGTAATTGGAATATCGGATCGCATCTGCGACTTGACAGCCGTTCCTTCAAGGAGCGAAAGGGTCTCAACAGATCTCTGATTTGTGTGTAATTCGCGGGTTTCAACCAAATTGGCATCTGTACTAATGCTGTCAGGGGACGGAGATCTATAATTTTCTTGGTTACTGGCTAGCGATGGCATGAATTGAGTAGAACGTTCCAATCTTGGCCTTATAAAAGCCATTGCAGCTGACAGTGCAATTGGAGGACTTGGTGCTTCACTTCTAGCGATGTAATTAGATATTCTAACCAATAGAAAAGTGACTGAATGTGTCTGTTTGAGAAGTTGAGCCAGAAGTCCAGTTGTACTCCCAAAGATTATATTATTGATGTACATTACACGACTTTGAGTCTTATGGTATCTAATTTGTCTAATGTGAGCATATACGGATATAGCTCGCTGGGTGAGCATGTATGCTAGTTCAGATCTGGATAGTAAGTCCTCAATTACTGTATCATAAGCTCCAGCCTACTAACTTACGTAAATAGACCCAACAAGGGCCAAGTATGACCCCAGTATGAAGTAAGCATCTGGCATCCGTTTTGCTAACACAGCCTTCCATTATTTTAAGCTAGAAAACATCCAGTTTATTTGATCTATTAATATTCTTAGGCCTTTCTAGGCCTGACAGCAGTGCGCAGTAGACCCACATGAATATCCTCAAGGGTGAAACCGAATGGGCTTTAGGGAGAAAATGCCTGCCCTATGATAGCACGGAAAAATCATAGAGACGTGCACTTCTAGATGAAACAATCACTTCTTCTATCCTTCTTGCTATCTTTGTTATAATCCTTTACCTACCAGAATCTTTTTCTGTGCGTAGTTAGAAGGCTAGCCATTGTGTGCGCCTTGATAGAAGTCGACGACGCTCTCATAAATGAAGCCGACTAAGGTGAGCCACCTACTGTACTAGCTGTGTTCTCCGCTCATACACTTAGATGGAACAATCTGAGAATAACATGCGTGCAAAAACGCATGATCACGAAACTACGGATTGGTTCGCATCGTATGACTGCTGGCTTTACGACATCGACTACTCTCTATGGCTACATCAGAAAGATATAGCAGTATTGCGTGGAAATATCCATAAGATGCGAAGCGCACTACCCACTAATGCTGGAGACTACCTGCGCAAAGACGACAATCAGACCTTGCACGCCGAGATGGACGACACTCTGGATCAGGACGGTTCTCAGGCGCAAGCGCTAGACTTGGCCAAGAGTCCTAGGTTGAACAGCTTCCTTAGCGAACTGACGGAGGCCTCCAATAGGAATATTGACGAGATCACAGTACATACTATAGAGCGTGAGCGTTCTACAGCTAGTGACTCAAATGTTTCTGATACACATGTCAAGGCAAGTGGAGTAGAAGGCGATAGAGCTTCCCCCCAGAAATTGGAGTCTGCAATACGTATGGGCCTGGCCGAAAGAAGTGGACTGGCTAAGAAGGGTTTATTGAAGCAGCGGATTGGGCATCGGAGAAGTCCAAGGCGCCATAGGCAGATATAAAAGCGAATAGCGAGCCAACGAGCAAGGAGCGCGCTTTTGCCTACGTTTTTTTAATTCTAGTTTACAATTGCTATTATAAAATCCAAGTTCAGTGGCATATATGACATAGCAATGAGTGAAGTGGCTTCCTTTTTCTCGCTGAGTTTTGAGACTAAGCTACGTAGCATTTAGTATTTAGCTGTTGACCACTGAGGCCTTTTGGATAACTCAAACGTGCGCTATTGATATCTTTATGCGTGCTATGAGATTCTGGTGAGCCAAAACGAGCTAAGAAGATGCAGAACCGTGCAGGTCGTATTATTTGGTGGTTCCGACCCACTAAGTGTTCCACTAAGCACATGGGGAGGAGTATTGTCTGTGAATTGACCCAAATGACGTTAATTTCTGTGGGTCGAACATCCCTCCGCAACGAACTACTAGCACTGCTCAAATACATCATGTCCAAACTGCATAATCTTGTAGAGTCAAGAGAATCTCCATATAAAGAATTAGTACCTTCCAGTCTAAAGTCGATGTCTACATGACGGACACCCTTGTGTGCCAGAACTAACCAATGAGGTTGGAAAAGGTCTGTGATTCAAGCGAGCTGATTTTCTGGGTCAGCACACAGGTACTTTCGTCACAAACAGAGGGACCTTAACTGAGTTGATAGGCATTCCTTGTTACTGTAGCAGTCACTGAATACACAAGACTATATTATCCGCATGTCATTGGAGCTATGAGTAGCGAACAATCTACGGTTCAGTCTAAGCTAGCTACTATATCAAAACCATATATGACTGGGTAGGACCTCTAAGGCTTTCTTAGAGCCATGGGTAAGACATGAAAGCGAGCTGATCTAGTAGAAAAGGTTTCTTTGGACCGAAAATTGATGTTGTTACACTCTCATGTAGTTGCAGCTTTCGCTTTGCACATGTGGCTTAGTTGTCATCCCACGCATGACAGGAACCCACCTGGTATGCGCTTGTCCAGAAAAGCTTAGACTTCGTAAATATCACGCATTGTCTGGTCGGAATGTCTGAAAGAAGACCGACCCATGGCATCGCTGACAGGAACTAGTACCATTTGGGCAAGATGACCACCAAGCGAGAGAGACTTAGCGTGAGATAAAAGGTCGCCTGCTTACAGAAACCAGAAGCTGCAATTGCATGAGAGTGTAGCCGCTCCTAGACTCGAACGGCTGTACAATCAGCTTAGCAGCGCAGCTAATGCAGTGCGCATCTATATATAGCTCGCTACTCATGAATAGCCTTTTATGGTGCTCAGTACACCTAAAATGTCAACAGAGCTGATTTGGTCTTTCCATTGATGCTAGAGCTGGTTCAGATATCTCTGCGCTCTCGTTCAGAATTTGGGCCCATTCTAGCCTTTCTACTCACAGACTAAACGATAAAGACTAGAGTGCGTGCTCACAAAAAATACACGCGTACTTGACGGTCTCTAGCAGCATCTCTCTCTACTCTAAGCCTGTCTACCATGCAGACCAAGCCAGAGCAGCAGCTAGCTGAGGACGCGGTCCTAGATTGTGACATCTCTGATCTCGATCTAGAGGATGTAAGTAGCAGTTGTCCAACCATAAGTCAATGGCCCTGTAAGCTTACATGAATAAGACAAAGGACGTGTCACAGATTGACTCGGAGTCTGACGCCGAACGTGCGCCCCCCGAGTATTCATCGCATCACAGCAGGCAGAGCGACGAGACGGACAGCTCGGACGGCACTTGGGACTCTGATTGCTCGGACTCGATGTATTCTTACAGCGAGGAGTCCGACGCGTCCCGTGCGTCTGATAACAGTAGTGAGTTTAGTGACACAGATGAGGGCAGCGATACCTCAGATGCCAACGAATATGACGATAGCATGTTGCTCTAGGACTTACAGCTTCGATGCACGTGCCTGGCGGGAGAATGACATTTTGATAAATTTCGGGTTCTAATTACATCAACACCAGACCAGAGGCGGAAGGTACTGTTCTTGCAGGGTTTTAGGTAAAGCTAGAGTAGCAACGCTCTGAGGGAGGGCAAGTAGAGTCTGTGAAGAGCATAAATATGATTTTTTTTCTTTTTCCACAACACCAAAAAAGACTGCATAGCTACATTAAAGGCACTAAGCCAAGAGACAGTGAGGCCAGAGTATGTATTGCGAGATTGTATCTGCTATGCAGTCATTTTTCGTGTTATATAGTGACAAAGTAGTATTAGTGTTCCGCCACGACAATTGCTCCCTTACGAGTAAGGTCCATCCCCGCGTCGCGCAAACCCCTCCGTACCGCAAAGTCGCCTACGCCTTTCATCACAATTTATTCAAGGACTTTTAGAGGGCGTTAAAAGTCTTAGATTAAGTAATTTATATAAAATAGTTACTAAGGCTAATAGATAATAGTTCTTTTTTAGTAGCTTATTACTCTTTACTCCCTTACCTAATACTATATATTTTACTAATGACTTAGTTATAGAGTAGTGTTAATCTATTTATACTACTTATAGCGCTTATTATAGAGTTACATTATAGTTTTTCTTAAATTACTAGACTATAGGTATAACTAGTAAAAACTCTTTTTATAAAATCTAAGCGTAACTAAAATAGCCTATCTCTTATGTTACACGGGGTTCTGGTGCTGATACTTCTCTAGCTCGATCCGGGTTAGGGCGACTAGGATTCTATGATCGGCTCCGTGAGTATTTGTCTGGCGATGCAGTGGAGTGGTGTGCTTGGTGGAAAAGGGTAACAAAGATTTAACAACTACTAATCTATTCAATAGACTAACAAGTATCAATCTTAGTATAGCAAAGTAACTAGTAAGAAAGTACAATTTGAGTTGACCACAACGAGAATAAATAATGAAACCCGTCCATCCTTATAACCTCATTGCTTCCGGTCCTGACATCTGGTCAGCCTCTGGCATCAGGAGATGTGCTGGCATCTGGAGATGTACTGTCTTGGCGAGATGCCAAGTCACGTGATCATCGCCCCGCGTTGATCCGTTGCCTTTTTGACGTGGACTTCGTGACACCATAACCAACCGTGTCCCTTCCTTCTGTTGTCCTGCGTCAAGGAGAGCATCCTTCTTGTTACCTTGTAACATCTTAGTAGAGGTAGTAAATTCTAGTAGTATTAGCTATATAAAGATATATTAGCGCTATAAAGATATATAAATAAACTTAGTTGCCTCCTCTCTCTTATTACTTAGACTTATAGGCTACGTACTATTATTAGAGTTGTTACGACGATACGCGATGATAAGTTTGCGGCACAGAGGGCTTTGCGTTACGCAGGGAGGTACATTAGGTACGCGTTGATAAGTAGTTAGGTGACTACTTAACGTGCATCCCTTCGTGACGGACATCATGGTGTGCCGGAACTAGCCAATCATTCAGCGAGGGTGGCAGATTTTTGACGAGCTGATTGGTCAGTTCCGGCACACCATGATGTCCGTCACGAAGGGATGCAAGTTACAGTAATAACAGTAGCTCGTGAACAGAGTATCTAATTAAGTCAAGTTAACTAACTAGTTGTAGTGAAACAATATCAGTTTCAATCAGCACCCACATCAGCGTCGTGACAGATACACGGTCTGTCATTGTAGTAACTAGATACGCGGATTAACATCCATCCCTGCGTGGCGCAAATCCGGGCGTGCCGCAAGCAACCAATCAAATCGGGAGAATTGGGAAAAAGGCTTTGATTTAAGATAGCTGATTGGTTACTTGCGCCACGTAGGGATTTGCGTCACTAAGGGATGAACGTTACAATCTACTGTACAACAATTATGTCAAGTAAGTACTGCATATTCCGTATGTTAGAGTTATACGACAGCAGATAGAAGCCATACGCGATACTCAGCTCTTGGATTTGCAAGCGGTGAGAATCAGCAACGACACTAGATTCTTAGCTTCCTCGACTGTGTCCACTACATACACCCGTACATTGCCACACACTCTAACTAGACATCACATAGCCACAGCGAGCCCCAGTAGATTATAGCCCGCACCTCGCCAAGCAGCTTTGCACATCCTGCGCGAGACTCTCAGGAATCAGCCTTCGCAGGTCCTGTAGCCCGTCACTAGCGATAGACGCAGCAGGGCCAAGCGTCGCGTTCACCACCTCTGCGTTGAGGCTAAAGAAGCCCTGTGCTGCTGAGCTCGTACCAGGATTTGCTGAATTCAAAGCCGCCACAAATACTGCCTTTTCGCACCCGTTGTTGAACTGGTAGTGAATGCTTCCTGATGAGAAGACCGTACCCTGATATCTTTCTAGCGTGCCGGCCACCTCCTGGTTCTGCCCTGGTGAAACTAGGCCGTTTTCAAGAAAGCTCCCAAACTGCAGATTAGAACCCTCAACTAAAACTAGAAATTCAGTCGCCCTAGGGTGAATGTGCGGTGTGTTGATTCCGCAGGGCTCGAGAAAGGCAAGCGTCATACTGATGTCGAGATCAGTGACAAAAGGAAAGGTCTCTATATTCTGTGGATAGCACTTCGTCAGCTTCCTCGATAAGAGTGATCTCGACTAATACTAACAGCTGACTTAACTGCACCACCTAGGGCGCCATTCGTAGGCTGAGCGCCGTTGAAGTCGAAGACGATAAGCCTGCGCAAAGCGTCGCCTGTTAAGATACTGCCGCCCTGGACGAGTAGCCGCTGGAAGCGCCTGATTGCAGTTGGAGCAGAGAAAAGGTCGCTAAAGAGCTGCGGAGTTGGATTTTCAGTGGCAGCTGGCTGCGCAGCAGTGCTTGAAACGCAGCTGTTACTATGAGGCTGGCCCCGAACAGCCCCGACTAATGCTAGCGCGGCAAGAGCGCGTGGGATGGAAAGCATATTGCTGTGCTATGGAGATATAACAAAGTGGTTTTATCATGTAGATGGACAGATTAATGTGTACAGGAACCAAGATATAGGGCCCTGCAGGTTATAAACGTAGCTCTAGCCATACTACCAGTACTAGCGTGATACATCGTTCACGTAATTGTAGTCTCTAGCAAGCCTGTTGCGTGCGAGCGAAGAGCCTAGTTTGGCAAGAGCCAAGAACAGCAGCTGGCTGACGAGCCCTGATTCATAGTCTTGTCCTATATTTGGAAGTCTAGACACCCGAAATAGCTGAAATGAACGGTTTATATGTTATGGTACGGACAGGGATTAGAAAGCAGACCTACAAACTTAGGCTACAGTGAGACTAGAGTATATAAGTAACCCCTTTCCTTTAGCATCTGAAATGCTCTCGCCAATCCTCGCAAATGTGCCACAGAATCTAGTAGGGACCTCTCGCAACCAAATAATCCAATTTACTTAAGCCTATAATTAAGCCCTACACGATGTCTACCATCGTATTAACGTATTACCCATCTCTAATAAGTAACTTGCGTCTTAAAGGAAGTGTCTTATATGGCTAATTATACACACAGAACGGACAGCATAATAATGCTACATTTGATCTCAACAAAGCTGTTTCCTGGGTAGATGGCAAAGGTGAGATTCTTTCGTATTTATACAATGCAGTATTGTGCTAATGAGTATAGGGCTCGTTTGGAACAGCAAAGGACCCGGCGGTTTTCGAGAAAGGGTCGATCATTTCGACCTCTGCGAATATGGCGATTCGATGATAGCTCATGTAGCACTTCTTGCAAAGAAGGGAAATGTCGAGTCAACCATAAAGCTTGAAGAAGTACTAGGTATGGATCTGAACAGGCATTTCGCATCCATGAAGTGATAAAAATTATGATATCGCTGAGAGGGCATTGTTTCCGCTAAAGTCATTAGAAGGAGGATTTCTGAGCTGGTATGGTTGCTTAACCAGTTGGAGAGAGGCATGGCGCCGAGTTTAGATACAGCATCTTGTCAGCAGCTTGATATGGCTAGAGTAGTTGTCCGACAATTTAGCGGCGTACAAGAAACGAAAACTGCAAGTGCATCTGAGTGTACCAACATGTCAATACATTTTTGCAACAGGTGCCTTCCATAACAGTCCTGTCTCTTGCTGACGCACCACAAGCATGTTGTCAGCTCGCACTGGTGCGTCAGCCTCTTCACCTTCTCCTTGCAGATTCGCACCTGCTACTTCTGTCACCTCTTCTACCGGTACTGCAGCAGAGTTCTTAGGCTTGCGCCATCGTTTCTTAGGAACCTTAGCAGCTGACACTTTCTCCTCTTTCTCAGCACGCTTGGCTCGTGCCTCTTCAAGGTCCTCGAAGCTCATCACCTTCGCCTTCCCTAAGACAATAGACCTGGTCGATCGCCGAACTTGAGCCTCCTTATTAACCTTCGTCAAGAATTCATTTTGATCTTGAAGAAGCGTCTGCTTTTCAAGGGATATCTGCGCTGCACTCGCGAGCTTCTGCACGCACTTCTGCAGGCGCCGCTCGTCCATTGCATACGCATCTTGTTTGATTAAGTTATGTAAAGACATTACAGCCTCTGTTGTTACTAGCGTTATCGGGGTTACAGGTGCTTGCGCTACTAGTTGGTCTTGTGGAGAAGTAAGCACGTCTTGAGCAGCTGTCTTAGAGGGCGGTTTTGGCGTCTTTCGCAGAACTCTCTCTGGATTGAATGGGAACAAACCACTTGCGGCCCATGCGGCAGTGATATTCCTCCTCGTCATGGCCGTTTCCCTAGCAGGCTTATATATAGAAGTGAAGTGCTCCTTGCTAACAGCTTCTAGCCCTCCCCGACAGAGCCGTTCTACCTCGCCACGATAGGCTGTCTTAAGAGGCCCGAAGACTCCAACATCGCAAGGCTGTAGTTTATGTGAGGTGTGAGACGGCAGGCGGCACATAGTAATATTATTAGCGAAGCAGAATTCTAGGACTTCGAGGGTCTCGTGTGTTCCAAAGCCATCGCAAATTAGGACCCGGGGCTTTCCATTAGCTCGTCCACTTGTTTGAGGATCGAATACACGGGTAAGCCACTCTAGGCTGATCTTCGAGTCATTATATCCATTTTCTGAGTGTCCGTAATGCCAGCCAGGGGTTGAAAAGGTAGTCCAGTTACTTCTATGGGTCGAAGCTGGCCAGATAATAAGAGGGAGCAGCGACCTACCGTCAGCACTGATGCACTCAATAGCAGTTACCTGGGTGCGCTTGACGCCTGCTCCCCTGTAGTCACGGAGGTCATCCTTACTTACCAGGACTTTAACCGAGCCAAGCATGTTCAGCATGACGCCCGTCTCGTCCATATTATATACATTCTCAGGCCGTACCCTTGGATCCTGCAGAACTCCCTTAATAACCTCAAACCAGTGTGTAACCTTAGTATAGATATTCCGCTCATGTCGTTTCCAGTCTATTGCCTTCACTTTCCTCCCTTTTAGTCTAGGGTTGCGTTTCTCAAAGGACCGGGCCCAGTTCTTGCCCGGGAGTTTGATAGGTTTGCCGGTCATCGTCATCGTCCGCCGGCGTGCGAGACTAAAGGCTAGCGAGGGTATATACTTGATTCGGACGGGCTGTCCGAGTTCAGAAATTAGCAAAAGATACTCGACAAGGGCTTTCTCTTCATCTGGGGTAAGATACTGCTGGCTTTGGGCCTTCTCCTTCATAGAGGGTCGTCCGCGCCTGCGGTAGTACCGAGTATGGTACGGAATAGCATCATCCTGCAATGGGGAAGTCCAAGTTGTTGGTGCATCACACGAAATAGTTTATGTTAACATTTGCCTTGATTGGGCCATGTCTACGATCGTGGTGTTGTGAGTACTGCCACTGAGGCCATCACGACAGACACCCACCCTCCCTACCATGCCGCCCAGAACACAAAGGAACTCGCTCTGATGCCAGAAATAGATCAGCACGTGATCAGATTGATCAGATGGATGCTTCGAGAACTGAGCGCCACACTTTGGCCCGATCCGACATAGTATAAACAGGTGCGCTATCTACGTAAGCACACTATTAAAGTTTCAAGCGAACAGAACAGAATCACGGCCATAACTCGGTTAAGTCCGGAACACAACTTTTTCAAAGACAAGACTTTAAATAAATATAGAGATATCTTCTTCTCTCATATTTCTATAGTTTTATCTCTCTGATATATAGAAATCTTGTATATATCGTGCTACGACAGGAGTGTGAAGCCGATCAACCCTAGACTGGCCGATACGGAATAGGCGACAACAGGACCAAATACTTTGCAATATTTCTAGCTGCCCTTCTGAGTTTGTGTAGAATAGCCTTATGAATGAGCGTCTCATTATCGCGGTGCAATACTAGCGATAGCGCGACTTCTAAGATACTAAAATCGCAGATTCTTTGCGGCACGGGGGGATTTACGTGACACCGGGGGGGATGTTACATAGGCTTTCCTAATTTCGGCATGTCTGAACAGCAAAACTTAGCTTAGGAGTTTTGTAGCACAGTATATAAAGATACGCATAAAAACAGTTCAAGTAAATAAGAATCTCAAGTTCTATCTATCGTGACCTCTGTTCATCCGCTCACGCTAACTACATCTACACTTCGCACGCAATCGTAAAGTCGGTAACGTCCACCTGCACGGCCGCATCTTCATTACCGTCTAAATCCACAAAGGTCGCCTCAGCATTGAGAAGAAGCACATTTTTTGCGTCCAAAGGGTTGGAAATGACGCAGAGAATGTTGCCGCTCCCTGCGCTAGGGCTGACAGCCTGCAAAGACGTGGCAAAGATGCGGTCGTCTGCTTGCCCGGCAAACAGCGAGCCTAACGTAAATGCGCCGCCATTGACACTCACAGGCTTTACCTGGTTCTCGCCGGTAATGTCATCGCTCAGCGCGACGTCGAAAGTGAGGCCAGGTGCTGTTGAGCTGGCACGGGACGTAGCTGCGAAGGAGCCGAGAACCTGCACAGCCAACAAGAGCAACAGAGCTGCTTCCATGGTAGTTTATGGGACGTGATGTGGGAACTAAGAATGTAATTTTTGTAACAAGAGCAGACTTCAAGCGTTCAAAAGAGTGGGGAGCAGCTGATGGATGAGTGTTGTGGGCTGGCCAATCCATTATAAAGGGACCTTTTATACCACTCGTGATGGAAGTGCACTGTCCTAGCTTAGTCTGCCCAAGTAGTCTCGCCTCGTAGATGTCCAGGCGTGTCCTTGAATGTGGCGCTTCGTGCACATCGGCGGCGCGCGCTGACGTTGACAATAAATATGTACTTCGTAAGGTCGAGTAAATTAGCGATCAGCAAAAGCCGACTCTTACACTTTGATCTTGAGATACTGCTGAAGTGAACGAACAGATTTAACAGCGGCCAGAGCCATTCGCTCTTTGTTGGCACTGCCGTGCTCTCCTGTACTCGTGCTTGCTTAGTGTAGCAAGAATCAACTCAGAAATGGATCATCGCATTAGCTCTGAGCTCTTTTATTCTCGGACCTCACCTTACCCCTTAGCTAAGTTATGATGATGCAAGCTCTGATCTCGAGTCAGAGGCGCCAGGGATTACTCAGTTCTTCGACACTCGACTGGTGCACGGGCCGCACGATGCAGCCTTGGTAGTCCTGCGTATACCCGGACAGAAGATGTCGCACAAGCAAACCTCAAATCAACTGCACAAAATCAACTGCACAAAAGCGCACAGAAGCCCGTAGCTTGTAACGTTGCCTACCGCAAGATAACAGACCAATAACTAAGGGCCGTACTCTAGGCCAGCACTTCTACCTACGCCTCGTTAGTTTCAGAGCTCGTCTCGGCAGGAGGACTCATTGCAATCTACTCAGACCACTCGTGATGACGCGTAGTAGAACGCCAAAGGCAGTGAGATGATGTAAAGCACGTCACCCCTTGGTGCGTCGAGCTACTAAAGAAAGCGCAGATACTAATTGTAGAGGTGCCGGACGGGCCAACGCCGCGGACGGGCCAACGCCGGATTTTTCCCCAACAATACTATCACAAACTTGAAGCTGTAGAGCTCCACATAAAAGCTATTATCGCGAGAAATTCTAGTATAGTAGTCTGGTAGTAGTATTTATTTGATCTATCTACTGATATTTGACTGGCAGCTTGATGGGGCGGCCTGAACGCGAGCGTGGTGATGGTGGTGCAGCTGATCGATTAGCTCGCTGCGCACCACCACTATGTACTACTACCAATGATAATATTTTTTGATACTGGCTTAGTAGAGCGCTTGGAGCTAGGCTTCTTGCTCATTTGTGAGATTTTGATAGCTTTCTGAAGTCGTTTGTGGGCGGCTTGGTGGGCTATCCGGTGGGCAGCTGCTTCAGCTTTCTGCCTCTCACGATCTAGTTTTGCTTGTGCCCGCGCCCGCCACCGCGCATCTAGTTCTTGAGCTTTAAGTAGCTTTCTCTCCTCTCTAGCTTGAATCGCGATAGCTTTTTGGTGTTGTAACTGCTCATAATCGCGCTGTTTCTACTCATATTGCTGGCGAGCTTCTCGTACCTTCCGTGGAGACCAGAAAGTAGCTCCACTATGATAATCGTCGGATAGCTCGAGTGTACCAGGCTGGATACGCTCCTTCCGCTGTCTCTCATCGATGAGAGCTGCCCGGAGCTGCTCGTTTTCTCGTTGAAGGAACGCTGTATCGGCGGATAGTTTCATCATGATTCTATTAAGTGCTGAGATTGGTCTGTTGCTTGTAGATTGATTGAGTAGCTGCCGAATCGTTCCCTGGACTGAATGGTGAGAGTCCAGTAGCTCTAAAAGCATGGAGAATTGATAATTCCTTGAACGCTGTACACCAAGCTCTCCAGAATATTGGGAAGAAATGAGATTTAGTGAATGGTATCAGCCCTTGGCTAGTATCGGTGAAGTTTGATAGCTCGTTCGAGTATGCAGTGGATAGTGGCTTAAACAATCCAATATCGAGCGGCTGCAGCGTATGCGTCGAGTGCGGCGGGAAGATAGCTAATAGCATTTTATTCTAATCACAATAGTCAATGAAATCCATCGTTATATGACTATAGTACCTATCCATGATGAGTAATCGGTATGAAGACCGAGCTTTTAGCTTAGTGGCTAGATCGAACACTTGTTTGAGCCATTGGAGACCGATATTATCATTCGACCAGCCAGTGGCTGATGCGGTGATATACACAGTATGAATATCTGGATCAAAACCTTAGAGCCATAAGTTCTGGATAGAGCTGGATTTGCTGGAGTAGATGATGCTTGGATCTAGATACGATCCATCCGCGCAGATACACGCAATCAGCGTAATCCATTCGTGATTACCATCTTGAATATTTGATCTTTTCAATTTGGACTTGAGAGCAGCTTTAGAAAAGATTCGGACTGAACGGGACTGTACTCCAATCATGAAGCCCTTTTCATCCATATTATACATATGTCGCGGCTCTACTTTATATTGATTAAATTTGTAGCGTGGAAGCTCGAATTAGAGCTGGTATTTCTTTTCTAAATCAGCTCGGCGCCGGCTACGATCGATTGGTGTGGTGCGCTTAAGTATAACAAGATGCGAGTTGCGATGAACAAAGCGATCAACCCAGTGGTATCCGAGCTGCTTCTGAGCTAGCTGCGACGCGATATTTCGAATGATACTCCGTGTGGGTGGTAGGCCTCGCTTAGTGAGTCTATCAATATAATCGATAAGCTCAGCTTCATGTTGTGGGTGGACTGCCTGCTGGTTCTGTGCAGCTGCTTGTCTAGAGCCAGAAATACCTCGGTGGCGGCGGCTCAGCGTTCCTGGATCAACACCATATTTTTTCGCGATTTGAGAATATACAAGCTTCTCATTAGGCTTTAAAGCGTTAATAGCAGCAAGCGCAGCGTCAATTGATTGCATTGTGGTCACGTTATGGGTGGTTGAAGTGGATAGAATAATTTGTGTCGGAGGACGTAATCCGGCGTTGGCCCGTCCGGCACCTCTAAGCGCAGTAAATACGTTACTGTAGTTATCGTCCAGTTGTCTACCTCTAGGTAACGCTGTAGGGACTGTGGCGGAGGTGAGAGGAGTCAATCAGCTGCCCGACAGTATGCATTTGTACAAACGTCCCGACCGCGAGAATCGGAGCACTCGGGCCGGTGTCGCCACTAGATAAATGCATGTGATATTTGGCAGGCATAAACAGGGGGCTTGGTTCGTAGATTGCGATACTAAGGCGACAAAACCACAAAACATGTTGTTAAGAATTGCAAACGTCTTTCCCACTTTTCCGCTAGTACCACAGTTCTGCTCCTAGATCGAGATGATATTTGTGAAGGGTACCAGCACTTGCATATGTGAGATCGTTCGGTCGATTGGCTCCAGGTCGTTCTTCTAGCAGTGAGAACAGGGCTGAGCAAGATCGCTCTCCAGGACGCAGTATGAGCTTGTAGTATCCTACTTCTAGCTCTCTATTGGAATTCTCTAGTGAAGGAAAACTCCTTGAGCGTCTTTTCGCCATAACATGTAGACTAGTCGTCCCAGGCAGCTGACAACACAAGTTCACTGGACATTGCAACGCACCATATTAGGAGTGAGATATCGGCCTTCGCGACATCCAAGCAGCAGCTGATCAATTCCTAGCTTCGTCATTGCAGATGAATTGCTATGCGGCTGTGTCACACGCTTTGCTCTCCTTGACTACTGCCCGGTCAACAACCTGCATTCAGCAGTTTCCCAGACAGCACCACTAGCCTGTCGGTGTTATTGGCTTTATGGGCAAAGATCCCAAGACATTTGTTGCGCGCATGAATGCAATACCAAGCTAAATCCACTCGCATTGCTATGCTCCACACGCTAGGTAGAATGAGCGTGGGGCAACTAGCCTTACTCTCGACATCTCGGCCACCAACGATGTCACAGGCGAGAGCCTAGTTCAACCCTTGCGTGTCAATGAAGTCATCTCAACTTTTCCAGAGGCTGAGCAAGGTGGCATAAATCACTCTCAACTGACCTGGTCTAGTGGGGCACCTTGCCAGGGCGCTAGGATTTGCGACAACTGCAGTGACTTGTTGCATGCTACTTACCTTTGATACGCAACCATTTCTACTAATGCACGGACTTCGTACGGAAGGATGATGCAGAGTACGTCATCTACTGTGGCACAGTTGAGTACTGAACCAGCCTTGCCATATGGCTGCCTATACTTAGTTGCATCATGAGACGCCATCACCCTAAGTTTGCGAATCCCCTGACTAATGCGTAAGCAATTGATCATGCATTGCACTCATCTAAAACGGGTAGATACGCCTTGTCGCAGAACGCAATGACCATGTACTTCGTAGATAAGAGGTCGAGTTGCCATACGCATTGGAATCAAAATACTCTTTCAAACGACCAAAACTTTGCTCATTATATGTATTTGCTAACAGTTGTTGAAGCCGCTATTCAAATCTTGCATCTCGATTACATACTGTGGTATAGTATCACGTGACTAGCTCGTAGTATATATTACGATTTTCTTTCGTACGTAGATAGGCACCTTCTCCAATCAATCCTTTGCAACGATCAAATATCAGCTTATTTCTATCTAATCGATTGCGGGTCACCCCTCTGATCTTTTGAGCTCGATCACGTATCGTGCCACAATACCTATTTTTAAAACAGCCTCACGCAACTAGGTATGCCCATCTACACTATTTAAATATCAGCTTAAGGTGCTAGGTAACATCGACTAATCCTTTTCATCCAGGGTTTCAATCAACTCCATCGCGCTACCGTTTCCTACGACATGCCACTTCTTCGCTACATGATGCGATTCTCATCAAACAAAGAATTGCACAAAACAAATAGCACGGATAGCAAATCCAAGGGAGCAAGATCCAACACGAGATGGCTTCAAAGAGTAAAGAAGAGAATAGCCATGAGCTTCACGACTTGTGACCAAGAAACTGTGGATATCCACCGAGATGTGGAAGACGTAAAGAACCAACTTCCCCCTCTTCCCTTTGCATTGCCTACATCCCACAAGGAATTTGTCCACTGTGTGCCGCCTAATGCACCTACATACCGTAAATTCAACGTCTTCACCGCTGGCAGCATAGAAATGGGTAATGCTGTCCAATGGCAGAAGCACATGACGACCCTACTCTCTCACCTCCCTAATACCGTCTGCAATCCACGCCGGGGCAAATGGAACCTCAAAACCACGCCGCTCGCGCGCGACGAGAATTTACCGACGTAGGTGGAGTGGAAGCTGGCCGTGCTTGAGCAGGTGGACGTCATCTGTTTCTTCTTCGACGTCATGATCAAGAGCCCTGTCTCGCTGCTCGAGCTGGGCCTCTGGGCGGGATCGGGTAAGGTCGTCGTGTGCTACGGCGAAGAGCACTAGAAAGGCGGTAACGTGGAGCTGACGTGTCGTCGTTACGATATCCCCTTTGTTAAGTCGTTCGCTGAGCTCGTACCCGCGGTCGAGAAGATGCTGGTGGAGAAGAGAATGGTGCTCGATGATAAGGGTGATTTGGCTGGAGAGAACGTGCACCTTGGTAAGGAAAAGCCTAAGAAGTGGGCGCAGTTGGAGGCAGAGAATGCAGATTTGCAGAAGCGGATCGATGAGCTTCAGGATTAGCTTATGAAGAGTCTGTCTTGGCTAAAAGACTTCAACAGGCGCTAAAAAGGGAGGACCATACTAGGCAATGTGAGTGTATAGATAATAAAGAATTCACATGTGGGCTATCGATTCACTGAAGAGATAACACGCACAAAGAAATCCAAAGACGGATTGATGAGACGCGAAAAACCGCAACGAAGTTTTTGATCTTTGGATTCACGAGTCAAAACCAGACTTTTGTAACCTGACATCACAATTACAGCTTATATTGAGATTCATGTAAGAAATTAGAGACATTTCCGCCATCTCATACCTTTCTCTTCTTTGGTACCTCATACGCCTCGTCTGTGACTTCCCTGCCTCTCTTCATCGTCTTGACATCTTCTTGGCCAGCATCCTTCTCATCGCTGTCCTTGTTTCGATTCCGCAACATCCGCTTTAGTATTTGTGTCAAGTTTTGCGCGCACCTTAGCGTGTCTGGGTGCTCATTCCCGAGCGCCTTCTCGTGTCCTGCCAGCAGCTGTCTGAAGAGTGCCTCTGCCTCCTTGTAGTTGCGTTGGTTGACCAATACTCCTGCAAAGTCGTCCATGGTTCTCAGCGTGTCTAGCTGCTCAGGCCCGAATGTGTTCTTGTATCCTTCCAGGGCTGATTCGTACATCGATTCCGCCTCTTTGTGCTTACCTTGTTTAGTGAGCAATTACGCCAACATGCTTATGACATTTATCGGCAGCTCTACGGGCAGGGGAGGGATCAGATGCTCTCTCAACCTATCTAGCTGTGTGCGCATCTCTTGCTACATGACTAGATTCAGTGTAGTATCGCGGGGTTCTGCGTGGTGGAACGTCGTTAGCGTAGCATTGGTGTCTACGCCATTTCTATCTCCATAATTCATTAAAGCAAGTTCTGGCATATTGATATTAAGAAAAGGAATCTGCCGTATGGTGGGAGGAAAGAAGTCCAATGTTGGAGCGTTGCAAATGACAAAGTTTTGGAGTACGGAGAGCCTTTGCGAGACCTTCAGTCTATTTATGCAAACAAATACTATGACCCAGGCATTCTTTCCCATAGATTAGACCCCAATTTTAACCCTGAATAGTTCATACTGCATCAAAAAGACGCGTAATGTAGGATTTACGCCCCTGTTTCTCGGAGATGTTGCATATATGTAACCTAGCGCGCTCTCGTCTATGCATATAAGTCCAGGAACTGCTAAAAATAAGCTGTTGGCTGAGTAGCTGGCTTTGAAGGCTGCAAAGGAATAAGATACATCTGCGTAATGATCGATTTAGGATGACAAGCCTAAGGACCGGTCGGCTATTGCCTTGCTGTCGCGAAGGCTAATTCTAAACTCTAGCAGAAACTTGAAGTCTGTCTACTCGTCTCATGCGTTCTATGCATTCATATATGATACCACAAATGCGCGGGTGGTCTCATTTGGATCCGATTTTGCCACCAAGCAAAGACTGGGAGACAGTGGACTGGACGGTTCGCAACCCCCTTAAAAATACAAGCTTTGGTGCACTTCCCAGCCCCCATCGTCTCACGGGGGCAGTTATTCCAGTACTTCCTCGCATACAACGGTACAGTGACGGACAAGGCCAAGGCATGACCGCAAACGGTACCGGGTTTGTGTTACCGAAGGCCAACCTGTCTCGAAAACTGCAGTGCCTGGTTTGAAACCATGGATAATAAGTTCGTCATTCAGCAATCACACGTTCTACTTTTTTCTACTAGTCCGTCTTATGATTACAGTGCCTTGGTATATCACTCAGACGGTAGGTTTACCAATGGCTTCCGTCGAGTGTTCATGCATTTCTGCATGAACGCAACTACGCGGCTATCAGCACTCGCATGAGGCACATTGCAGGCTGGAGGCCACGTCATGTCGACGTTGAGGTTCATGCCGTACTCGAAGGGGAAGGTGACCGTCAGCATATCAGGTGTAATCACGCTTCCGAAGGTTTCATCTGCCTGTCTACATAAGCGCTGCCCTTCAATGTCGTTTCCTGGAAGGGTACAGTGATCAAGGCTGTACAATCTAATATGGTAGTTCGTCCGAATTGCGTTTAGAACGTTCTACCCTCTACGCAGACGACGTTGTCCTTCAATTTATGTACTGAAACCATGCATAAACTGTCATATGAGAAGGAGAATATACCAAAAGCGTCTAAAGTATTTGGAATTCACTGTATGATGCTACGGACGGAGATAGAGTGAGAAAAGGATAATCTGGTTTTCTATTGCCAAACAGAAGCGCTGGCAGCACCACAATAACGTACACGTGACATCGCAACCCATACTGACGATTCATCGCCCCATATGAGAAATGATATAACCGGTAATTTTACGAATACACCCTGCGATACCTGACATTCTTATACAATTCCCCTCGTGCAACAAGGAAACGCAATCAATCAGCTAAGCAATGAACTTGTTTCAGATTGGGAATTTTGCAGACAGATCCGTAAATACCAGCAATTTAGTAGTGGTGCCTGAAACTTGTCCAGAAGGCGAAAGAACGGAGAAGATTTAATTACCACGAATCCGCTCTGATATAACGAACGCGTGAGCATGCATGCAACGCATAAATTCCGGAATTTCGCTAGGCTCTGGAGCATTGAGGCGTAGGTATTGCTACATAACTGGAGATGAGCAAAAAGGGGGTATAAAGGATACTCTAAACGCAATTTTCCAGGGTAGATATTTTCTCTCTTCCTCTCTTCAATCTTCCTCACTTTCGGCTACTAAAAATATCCGCAAAAACTCATGAGGAGTTTTCTATACACTATGGAAGACGATGAAGAACTCGTGGCGAGTGATTCAGCGACTATCGAAGACGATAGTTTCAATTTTGTATGTTTTTATATCAATCGTAACCTAAAAATATTTGTTGCTGATCATGCTAGATTCCTGAAGAGAATTGCGGAGCGTCAGCTGGCGCAGAAGAGCCTGAACATGGCTCACCTTCAAATCGATTAGCCTTTCACGACAAAATCACTCATGAAAACGAGCAAACAGAAGTTCAGTCATCTAATACAACCAAGGCAATTGCAAGCAATGATCGCGGTATGTGTGCTCAAATGATCGAATTCCTTGATTAATTGCCAAAGTTACAACAGAACGGCGTCTGGATGCAGGTCCTGACATATCTATAGCATACGAACGCAAGGAAATGGCAGACTTAGGACACGGCGTCTTGAAAGACCCAACAGAATCAGGTCACAATTACAGTGGCGATGGTAGTCAAGTCCAAACTCCGGCGCCAAAGTCTCTACAAAAAAGGAAACATCCAGAGATTTGGAAGGAGGGAAGAGACAAGGACAGCGACGGGGAAATGGTCGACAGATATAAGCCCTGTAACGATGACGGACGCGAGAAGAAGAGAACACGACCCACTCTTGAACAGAATGGGCGTGTAACGAGAAGCAACGTGCTTAACGATGAGAGGGTCGATTTACATCAGTAGCGATCACTTCGTTCCGGGTCAGCGGCCAGCCCCAGAAAGCTTACTCACCTGCTATTCCCTTCTTATTCTCTTGCTCCCTTACCTTCGATGTCTTTCCTTGCTTTTATTCTTTTTGTTTAGTCTTTGCTCTTTGCTTTCTGCTCACGAATTGGCAAGTGACTGATATTTCCCCACCTCAAATAGTTAGACCATTTTGTTCATTTAGTTGTTCAGTCGCTACAACTGCGTGAATTCGTCCTCACACTCTATCGTTTTTAGTCTAGTGTACAACCCAACTCGGTGGCTACCCAATATTCATTCAAAGCTTTGCGTTTTTGCAAACTTTTGAAGATCGGTATGGCATAGCGTTAATGTAAGTAGTGGAAAGAGCTTGAGACAATTCCAAGTTTCAGCAATTCTTGTTGAGGGCTACGGGAAACTTTCCATGCGATACCTTCTGCTTATTTGATGGGCTTGAGTATGGATTATTCAATCCAGAATTACGACATTCATTTGCATGTCCCAACAAAGGCCCATTACTATTAAGGCAGGTGCAAGTATTTGTATAAGGGAAGTGTTGATTAGGACTTTGCACAGAGACATGTACAGCTTAGAAGCGCCGGGATATCCTATTGAGAACGTTAAACCACCTAAGGTAGATCCGTTAGTAGTGTCACGGTACCCGTGCATTTACTGGATTGACCATCTGTACGACTCAAAGCCCGCGTCTCTGAAAAATAGGGTGGATAATGTGCAAATTCTAAGCACAGCTAAAAAGTTTCTTAGAGAGGAGTATCTCTACTGGCTAGAGGGGCTTAATCTGTGTAAGAGCATAGGGAAAGGCGTCCTCTCGATGGAGAAGTTATGGTCACTAGTGCAGGTGCGCCGCATAAGATAACATGCCTTTGGTTTAGCCTTGATGCTAACGCTAGTAGGAGATGTGCGAACAAGAGAGACCTGCTCAGCTTGTGCAAGACGCACGGCGGTTTATTATGTACCACAAAGGGGCAATTGAGGGCTACCCTCTTCAGACCTATGCATCCGCACTCATATTCAGCCCTACAGGTAGTCTAATCAGACAGCTGTTCCAGCATGAAGAGCCAGAAGCAATCAGTATCAGGCCGACTCTAAGCGAGGGGTGGAGCGCGTGTCTGCAGACGCTCGAGGGCCATAGCAGTTATGTCAACTCAGTGGCCTTCTCGCACGACTCGACGCGGCTGGCATCGGCGTCCGACGACAGCACCGTCAAGATCTGGGATGCGAGCAGCGGCGCGTGTCTGCAGACGCTCGACGTTGGCAAACCCCTTGACAGTTTATCCTTTGATCCTACTAGCTCTCACCTCTATACCGAGATAGGCACTATTGATATTCAGAGCTTAGAGACTTCTATCAGGACGGATATCGCAGAACCTGCGCGCCCCTTACATGTAGGCACTGGCTTTAGCTCAGACGGTATATGGGTTCAGCATACTGGCAACAAGATGTTATGGGTACCATCCGAGTATCGACCATCACACTCGTCTGTGAGTGGAACTATGGTTGGTGTAGGTGTTGGGTCTGGAAGAGTGTGGATTTGTAGTATAGACCTTTGAATTAGGTCAGTTGTATATATATGTCGCATTAACGCAAAGATCTGCTCTACTTTCCTTCATCTCTTTCTCTTTAATCCTCTTTGTGTTAGAGAGAGACGGGGATGCACACGAATATATAGTCTTTGCATTAGCGCCTAGAAGCTTCTAGGGCTGTTAGAGCGGGTAGATGTTGTTATATTAGTTACGTCAGTAGATGAATCTAGGATAGTTCTTGGTGTTTCTTAACTTCTTTCACTAGAGAAGTGTGACGATACCTGGCTCAGCTCCACCTAGGCCACCACGTGCCCAAAAAGGTGCAGTATACTGCATTGGTAGTATCTGGAGCTGAATAGTATATACGTATGACAAGAAGTCACGAGTAACTATGGATGGATAGCAGGGCCTTAGGGCATGTAATTAGGTACAATGCAAGTTAATTAAGCATGTTGGCTTGCACGCTTCTAGAAGTTACTAGCACGCGCCACAGGTATTTTTAGCACCTGAGTGCTATAGGCATAGCGCCGAATTTGTTACGATAGGATACGATAACATCTGAGCACGCTACTATACGCTACTTCATGCCAAGTGCCGCTAATAGCGCACGTCCTGTAATTAGGTCGAGTTTTAACGATCTTGCTATCTGCGCGGAGAAACTTCCGGAACGTGCCTAACGTTACAGTACCCTAAGTCGACCTTGCAAGGCTGCAGTCCTAATCTTTGCCACCTTAGCCTCCTTCTTAGCCCGCCGAGCTTTTCGCAGACATGTAGTTACTGTCGCCAATGGACAGGGGAGTCACGGAGGAGAGTTGAAAAACAACACTAACAAAATGATCGACAGCACGGTTAATAGCGTGCTTTTAGGCATCAGAGACTAACGTGCTAGAAGAACGAGAATTGCAGAATAGATGTGCATTGCACTTGTTTGTATTCGAGAACACGAGGATCAATCCGAGAGTCCGGAAGAGAAAGCGTCCCGTTACACCGTGCGTCCCGGCACGCTTGGATCGACGTTACTTTTGTCGATTTCAGCTAATTAAATTACTTGCACAGCGACGCACACGAACTGAATGGTAGTCATCCACCCGCTCAAATCTCATCAAGTGGGTATCTACCATGCAGCTAGTGTGGTGCCAATGTTATAAGACCAATAATCATCCTGGTATCACATTGAAACCTTCTAAATGGATATGTCATTTTAAGGTGCATAATAAGAGCGCATATCTGCAATAGTAGCGACGAACATCTCGAAAAGAAGCTAGCAGCGCTGTAACGGCATAGAGTGCTGGAAGAAGACTATGTAGAACATCAGCCACATAACGGTTTTCCTTGCTTCATAGATCACTAATATGTTGTTTTTCATAATAAGACCTTCTATTTCTCTGTTCGTACTAAACCTACCAAGTGCTCGTTCTACTCTGAAATACCAGCCGAGTACGGTCACTCAACCGAGCAAGCATCTAGGCTGCTAGGGATCTTCTCCTCAGGCATGGGGGCTCTTGGGCGTTTGGAATTGATGATTCTTATGGCGGTGGCCTGTTCCTCGTCTCTGTGTCCGCTATAATTCATTGTTGGTATTCTGTGTTTGCCGAAAGTCGAGGAGGCTTTTGGTCGGAAGAGAACGATACAAATGCACATTGTGCTAGTATGTAAGTTTGCAAGTAGTGGAGAATGTTGTTAGCCGAGTATTGGTCAGTATAGGCTACGCTCTGGGAGCAGAAGCTATTGATGGATGGTGTGAGAACTATATAAGTAATAACTGACTATATTTGAGCTCAGTAACCGCGATGGATGCGAACACCTACTCCTAGCTTTCGTACTATAAATAGATCTAGAGCCTCTTCTGACTAGCCACACTGTAGAACTCTCGTAAGGAACGAAAATACAAATAGATGCACTCAAGCACCTGTGTAGCCTCAGACTACATTGGAGACGCTACATGTGAAAAGATCACAAATGCTAATTATAGGATTGTCTTTAGTGGTATGCGCGTCAAACTACTTCGCCACATAATATTCAGGGCACCACTTGGGATCACCCCGTCTGTCAGCACCGCAGCTCCCACTCGGCATTGCGATGCCACAAGCTATGCTACTTTATGTGTGGTTCCAAATGATGGCAGATCACAACTAGCGCATTATCAGCGACACTGCGTGTAGTGAGCTCGCCAGGGGAGCCCTTTTCTCGTTTTTAAGGTCAAAAGCAGATGACTGGACCAAATCAACATTCAGTCCGTTCTGTCCACCTATCATCTTCACCAGTGTCATATCCGATCGGCCTGTTATCATTACCCATTGAGCAGGAATCCGAATATTCTTAGACCTCTACTCCATCTGTGGCTCCACTATGGCGTCTCAGCATCATGCTTCGAAATTGGCACATACTAGGGCTAGGAGAGCTGCGAACAACAACTATCGAAGACTAATTAAAACTTTATGCTCGAAATTAGAGAAGATCAGCGAGGTCTACGATGCGAACGTTTATTTTGTGGCACAACGCAATGGTCGCGTCATCGAATGCGTATCTGCAGACGCAACGGGCTGCGAGCCATGGTTACCTCCAGATCGTGCTGCCCTTGTAAGTACTTCTTTGCTTTTCAGTAGTCACAAAAATTGAGTCTTGATTAGAACCGGTATTATCCACCTCCAACAACAAAGTTGCTTGTTCGAGAGAAAAAGGCTAGCGGAGGACGAGACAAAAAATAATCCAGTGTTGGGCGACTTTACACGTCTGATTCGAAGCCTCTAATGCTTGACAACCGATAGATGGACGCCCTGTCTTGAACATTAGATACAGCCGCTTGGATTTTGCTCTAGCAATGTCAAACTTAGTCTGTGAGGTGTGCACGCTCGCTTGAAAGCATACTTACGCTCTGATGACTACTTCTTTGCTTTTCTCACACCTGTATGTAGGCCACTCGCTAGTAAGCAACAGGAAGTAAATTTTCACGTGTTTTGTGTCCTTCACAGTGATTTTCTCAGCGTTGTAGTAGTATCTATCAGGCTTGTGACCGCTCCCGTAATACAATGCAGTATGTTCACTAACTACTCGTATTTCAAAAAAGTTTCAGGAAAAGGCTCCTACCATTGTCAGGTTTGCATGTAATTGATTTGGGTGACAACTAAAATGTTCGCGATCTAGCGTGGTTACGTACCTAGTGACAAATGTAAAAACCGTTTTGCGCTCATCAACGCAGTTCTGTTTTTGTGATATGTGTACTGCCAAATCTAGCAGGTGATGACTCGCTCATGTATAGCTGAAGTGGCTCTTACGTATTAATGTCGATACCGAAGTGAGATAATCCCAACATAGGGGGACTCGTAGAGAACTGATTAGCACGCAGAGACGTCTTCCACAGCGACCGTATGACGTTGTGTCTGATAGTGCGATGCGTAAATTGAATCCAAACTAAAAGTGAGACACGGTATTTGTGGCAAACAGAGACATTTGAAAGCCGTACCTACAAAAATATATCAATGACATGCGGAGCTGCTCTGTTTCGACTCAAGTACATTTCTTAGTACTACAGCAATCCAGCAATGCTGCAATATAGTAAGCAAGCAGTATTGCCCCAAAAGCTAGCTGCTTCTTAGATGAATGTCGATGCCGAACCATGAGGAAATGCTCCGTCTGAAGTTAGCGAAGGCGATGTCTTTGGTCGCTATAGCATGCCACGTAAGAGCTAAAGTCATGCTTGATTAGGATGTCAGGTGGCAACTGCCGCACGGCCAGCGAAGCATGCCCTGAAATTACTGCCTGGATTCATCAGAGAACCCTATAAAAGCTGGCTCAGCATCTTCAACGTTTATCTGCCAAACATCAGTGCGGCGATGGGTTGCCGTGACAGTGCCTTGATACCACCCATTCGCAATCTCCACCACATACACAGCCCACAAAACACGCAACATCTGATGCCGTCTCTGCTTAACGCAATTAGAGAAGAGCCGGATGAAGACAAATATGCGCGCAATCTTGATATTCTTACAACGAGTACCTCGTAAGATGGGTCAAGATACTTCTTACAACCTCACGCAACTAACATGTCGCAGCCTTTCGGGGCAAAATCTCAGTTTCGTCGCCAAAGCATCCGACCGGCTGACTGCTAAAATCATGGGATGGAAGTCTAGAGCCGAAAGTAGGTAGCCAAGACAGGCGGACTAACTAGTAGCAACGTAGGGCCAAATTTGTGGAGAGCAGTCTCACAGGAACAGCTCGACTTGGACGTCACGTCACGTCTCAGAGTGGCAACCAAGCAAACCTCTCGATGAACAGGAATCATTCTTTACGTGCACGTATCAGCGAGACTAGCTCATTCAATCAATACAACAGATGTGCTAAAAGCAAAATACTCATCATGTAGTTCTACCAGAATCAAACTCTACAGTATAATACGCGTTAGTGATTTCTGATATGCATTGATGACATCTATTATGTACGGCATGTTCATCGGTGATGAGCTACATGTCCAAGGATCCCATCGTTGCCTGTGCTTTCGCTCACTAGGCCAGCAGCATCACCACAGTACAGTCCAGCACTGAGGTTGTGTGAGCTGTATTTACAGTATTCGTGGAATAGAGTCGATAACCGGAGCCCTCGCCGAAGCGACGTCTGGCATACACATACATGACTGAGCGCTTTCGGGTGACATCAAGATATCTGCATCATGACAAAGCACACTCCTCTAGCCGCTGTAAGCACTTGGAAGTTGTAGTAGTAAGTCTGTCGTACAGGTGATGTCAGTATTGGGCTTGTTGAGCAAACAGTGCGGATCAGGATAAAGTACAGTAAACCTTGATGCGGCTAACGCCAGCGACAGTGGAGAAGGCGATGCTGACCCAGATTTGTTCTTTAGATGTCATTGTGAACTAAATTTTCTTAATTGGCTCAATGCATCGATCCACCTTGCACTGACGCTCTACTTTCGGCTTTCTACTACGTGTCATCACGAGTGGTTTGAGTAGGCTGCAATCAATCCTCATGCCCAGACGGGCTCTCGAACCGACGGCGCGTAGAAACGTTTGCATACTTAGAACATGCACCTCACTTTAGTTCTTGATCCGTCGTCTCGCTCCAGGTAACGCTGTAAGCGATGGCATGCTTTATGGTGCGCCTATGTGTAGTTAATTTAAGGTTTGCTCGTGCGACAACTCCTGTTTGGGCATACACAAGGCCGCCAAGCCTGCACCGTGCAGTCCCGTCCACCCCTCAAAAGTAGAATTGGCGCTAGTTGATGGACCCACTTCCTCACGTTCCATCGCTGCAGTATAGCACGTGCGTACAGTAAACGCATTGCTGCGCAGTCCAAGGTGAGTCAGCTCAGTGCTTTAGTGTGTCACCTGCCTTAGTGGGTTCAGATGGCTCACGCTACCCTTCTCGCTTTCTAGGAGCCCGCGTGGAGGAGCGGCTTATCGCGCGTGATCCTACAGTCTCACCTACACAGCAGTGCGCCACCACGAGTAGTATGCAGCAACCCTGGGGAGACTACGCAAGTAACACACTGCGACACATAAGCGATAGCTCATTTAGACGAGAAATATCACAGAAAACGCACTAGTCCGTTGCCGTAGTTCGACATAGCTTGCAACAGGGCACTGGTTGCAACGCCATTTCCTAGTAAATTTCGACTTTTCGATCTTATTTCATTCTTTAGTCTTCTATATATATATATAATTGGTACCATCTAATACCGAAGTAGTGGAGAACTGAATTCTCTATTTTATAGAGTCTAGAAGTGGGAAGAATAATAATAGTGGTAGTTCTAGCTGTGCTGAGCATAATCAAGAATGGCGTGAGATGAAAATATATGTATATGTTGAAAAGGGAAACCGCGCATGTCATTTACTGCGCCCTTTCTGGCATAACAGAAAGCATGACTCAAAAATACTAGACGATAACGAAAAGCATCATGTCAATCAATTAGCTAATCCTACACGCTTACAGGCTGCTTCCGACTTAGCTAGATTTTCGTTACATAGTGAATGTTATAATATATATATCTAGCAACGGTACGATTTGTTATCGACCTTGCTCTGTTCCAAGAGTTAGTTGATATACTAATCTAATCTCTATCGTTTCACTCATTCTTTACAAGTGCGAGCTATGTTACGCATATCACCCCAGCTTAAGGATATGCTGGCCCCAAAGACCTCGTCTCCTTGTCATAGCAAATTCGAGTTTGAATACTCTATCTTGTTTGCAAATTTCGAGGAAAGGGCAGCATCGAAAGGCTTGTGTCGGCCGTTATGGCTTTCCCTTATGACAGCTACGACGATAGCTGTTGATTCTGAAAGATCGATGACAGCACTGTATAACCATGTGACGTATTCAATGAAGGAGGAAGGTTGCATCTTAATCGCTGAATTCATGCGAGAGATCGGGTTGCGAGGCATTGCAGTGATTGGTGTAACTACTTCAATTTGATTGCCTATACCGCCCTCATGTACTAACACGTAAATAGGTTTCAAGAGTCATCAATATCCTTGTCGCATTCTATGAATCACTCCATCCAAAGGTGAAATCGGCACTTAACACAAGATGTTCATACAGTTCTGTGACTGATGACGTCTCGACGATTGGAAAGAAGGGTCAATCGTTATGGAACCGCATTCACTATCCGATGGAAAAGGAGATGGAGCGAAAGCTTGCGACAGCTCATCCCGATCTTGCACATTTCAACATCCTTCATGTATACGTCAACATCCTTCATGTATACGGTGGCCTTCTGATGAGATCTGGAAGCTCAACCTCGAGAACAGTGGGAAGGATAACAATGAGTCTCTCAGCAATTGCATGCTTACGAGCAGATCAGGGGCGCAGTCTACAGCTCCTTGCACATGTGTTGTCGTTGAAGAAGGCATGCAGTGATGGTTCATGGAAGCTGGAACCAAACATTGGATCGGAGGAGGAAATAAAATGGTTAGCAAGTGATGAAGGCTGCATCTGGCTACTGGGCTTTGTAGATGACCTGAAAATGACCATAATTAATGGTGAGGGTGGTAACTCTAGAAGGACTGTTGCGAAGTTGTAGAAATAGATGAGTTACATTGTTAAAATCTCATACATATAAAAACATACGACGGGTTTTACAACTTTAGCGATGAAACATACTTTATTTACGTGCTGCAGAGGTACTTGTATTAGACATGAATCACGTGGGATAGTCATGCTTCAGAGCTGCCATAAGATGGACACAGGTAAACACAAACAGCATGGGCCTATGTTGAGAGACAAAGATAGAGCGGTGATGTGCAGCTGAGAAAGCGTGTTGATTCTACTAACATATTGCAATCTAATCGTTCTATGTATTGTTCTATGTAGTCTAGATCCTGGCATTTGAGCAGTAGTACGAGAAAACGACGGCGCAGATGAAAGACAAGGAGCAGAATGAAGAAGTACAAGGAAAAGACGAGAAGAGAATGCAGAACACATGAAGTGTCTCGCATGACAGAAGCGGGCGGCATTCTGACTGTTAAAGTTAGTTGTGGACCTGGCAAGAGCCGAAATAGCACGCAGGTGCTGTGAAAGAAGCCAGGAAGAAACCATCAGCACGAATGTATAAGGCCCACGCTATTTTGCAGCGGTTGCCGACCTCTATACATCCTGAATGCGTCCATGTTCCTGGGTCGGTTGAGGGTGCTGCAAGATCATATTTTGGAATTGTTGCATCATTTGTTGCATCATTTGTTGCATCATTTGTTGCACTATTCGTTGATCCGTAAGGCCTAATTCCGTTTGAGTTACAAACTCATTGTTGGGTGGAACGCTCGTCTGTTGTTGATTGTTGAATGTCATGGCAGGTGGAGGTTCATTATTGCCTCTGCCCGAGTCAGACTGCACCGATGCGGCCGTAGGTACTGGCGCTGGCATTGGCCCTGGACGATGGGCTTGGCCATATCCAATAGATCCGACAGGAGGATCCAATTCCATTGCAGAACCTTCTTCTTGTGGCTGATTCATACCCCTGCCGCTATTGCGAACATTCCTTATGCGCGATTCAAACTGCACTGGCCGGGTGCTGTGTACTGAATGGTGAGGTTGGGAATGTTCATAATATTCGGGGCGTGCATCCAATCCCCCTCCTGTATGTGCGTATTGCCGATTCCCGTTCCTGCCACTATTGATGTTGTGAACATCCATTGCCTCTCTACCAAGAAGGGGATAGGGATATGGATTGAGCTCGTCAGAATCCAGATAGTTTGGCCTTGGCGTACGGTATCTCAGGTAATATGGTTTCATGTTGCTGCCTTGTTCGCCCTGAGTGAGCAATCGATGACCTTGTTTTGTTCTACGAGGAGTTGGCGGTAGGTTTATGCTTTCGAGGAAATTGTCGATCAATCTATCTGATGAAGTGCTGCCTAGCATACGTTCCATTCCAGAGCGGTTGGTAAACTTGGGTTTCTCGTCAATTTCAGCCATTATAACCATCCAGGGACGTTTTACGTTTTGACCAATTTCTCTGTCCTGTGCAATACCTAAAATATGACTAAATCTCAAACCTTGTTCTTTATCGCAATTGTCGGCGCCATATCTGAGTTCGATTTTTTCGTTCTCAGGACGCGCTATGTAGGCCATAGCAGCTTCCAACCCTACCTCCACGCAGCTAAGTATCGAAATCTTGTTTGGTAATTGAGTTTCCTCAACCACGAATTTTGTGCCCACTGGATCTACAAACGGTTCTGGTTCTTTCCTCCCACCCCGAATAGGTATACCAGTGATTTTACGTGATCTGTAGGCAAGGATCCTTTTACCTGAGGCTGTCGTTTCACCGGGACGATAGTCGCCGACCACTTGATTACTACCTTGTCCGTTTGTGGCATTCGAACCGGATGACGTAGACGCATTACCAGTCTGTCCGTCTGAGGCGTTCGAACCGGATGACGTAGTCGCATTACCAGTCTGTCCGTTCCTAGCGCTGGATTGTTGAGGTCTCACAGAAAGAGTAGGCATGGGTGGCATATCATACAGCCAGCTGGCGGGAAGGTCTAAGCCTTGCAGTATGCTCGCAAACGCCTCCCGATCACGCTTGATCTCATCCGTGACTTTCTCTACCTCAATTGGGCTCTGATTAGGGTCGCGAAGCGTTGCTAATTGCTTATGTAGCCGCTTACTCCTTTTTTTGATCGGTACTAGTGGAGGGGTGTGACTAAGGACCGAAATTGGATCCTTTCCCTTGTCGTTACGGTCTTTATTCTCCTTTTTATTTAGCTCTTTCATTTTTTCCCCCAATTCGCTCAGATTCTGGTACAAACGATTGTCCCGGGATTCAAAATATTGCTTAACCAGAGGTTCCATATCCCCCAGCAGTTTTGTCTTTTCATCGCTCAGGGGACCGTCCTCGTCGTCCTCGTCGTCATCGCTGTCATCGCTGTCATCGCTGTCATCGCCATTGCCATTGCCATTGCCATTTCCATTGTACGCATTCTGAGCAAAACGCTCCCCAGTATCGTTTTGAACAAGTTCGTTTTGATCTTTGTGCTGCTTAAGCTCGTGATTGTCGTAGTCCGAGCGTTTTCTCGGATCAGAGAGAATATCATGCGCCTTGTTGATTCCTAGCAATCCGTGTTAGACTCCCTTATGGTTCTCAGAAAACCCACTCACTTTGCATGACTTCGTTCGCATCTGGATCAGTGTTCCGATCGGGGTGGGCCAGCATCGACCTCTTACGATAAGCCTGCCTAATCTGCGACTCTTCCGCATTCTCTTCAAGATTGAGGATTTTATAGTAGGCCCATGCCGGCCAACGCAGAATCCTTATAACTTCTGCTTGTCCTTCACTCGTATTGTGGTCTATTATAGGGTCATCTTCGCTAGGTCCGCCATTGTTAGTAGACTGTGACATTTCTGCAGCCTCAGGCGCATCCTCGCTGGTGGCCTGGCGCGCGTTTGAAGTTGGTAAAGCAGACATGGTTTTATTCTGGAGTAAATAACTTGTAGGGGGGTGTTGCCCTTAAGTAGCTTATTCGTAGGGCCCGTTCCGGTCGTTGGAGCCGAAAACAATCCGGTGGATACCGAAACACAAGATAAGATCATAATTTAAGCCGAAAGATCAAAATGGGCCATCGATCGTCATCACTTTTTCACTAAATATCAAGGCTGCATGCTCTTTATTCTGCGCGAAGTTCCCTCACTCCTATGCCCGACATGTGGACTTACTATCTCATCGCGCATCTCTTCCTGGTAATCCAAAACTACGGCGCCTTAGCGAATCAGGTGAAAACTACAAACTCGTCACACTCCGTCGCACCGTCTTCTATCAGTGACAATTTTCTCAATATGATGCCGGTCAACGGCTCTGCTAGCTTGCGCTCTTTCGACGTGGCCCAGCTGACAGTGCCCAGTGCATCAGTGACTGCTCAGGAAAGTCAATTTTTGCTCTTGACACCGAACTACGCAAAGGTTGAGCTGCACCTCGGAGATCTGCATGGCTCCGGTGTGATTCAGTTGACCAGCTCTTCCACAGTGCTTACTACAGGCAATCCCGTCTTAGGAGTAGCCTCAGCTCCATGTACTCCAACCATCCAAAACATACCAGAATCAATCCTTGTGAGCATTCAAAGCAGCGCAGCTCGTTCTAATAACACCGTAAGTCTGGCTGCAGTTCCCACACCTACGGGTCCCTCCAACAATACCAACTTCAACATCCCCCGTTTGTCAGCTTCAGCACAGCAAAGCATGTCTGGTGAACTGAAATGGAAACCCTTTGCTAGTCCTTATTTCTCTGTAGTAGCTGCAGCAGTGTCGATTCCTTTCGTCCTTTTGTTGTAGTTATTTGACACAAGATCCGATATGAGCGTCAAAAACACGAGTCGGGTATGCAGCTTCAGGTTTGGGAATCGTAATAACACAATGGAAATTGCTCACTTGCCTACCTTGCTCTTGTTACCGAATGTACCATATGCTCTTAAATTCCATCAACCCCATCATCTTTAGTCTATGGACGGTTGCAACGCAGTATATTGGGGCACGAACTAGTCTCCGCTCAAGTCCTGCCCAAGGATTTTGGAAATCCTGCTGCGCAGAAAAGCGCACCCATCGCTGCAAAGCCTAGAGTAGTTATGGTCATATGTTAGACCCGGCCACGTCAACACTCCACGTAGACTGAGGAAGGTAGTCATCCAGACGAAAAACAAATACAAATGTATACCTATCGTCTTAGTACGTGCAACTACACTACATTAGATAGTTTATAGCGTCTTAGGCAGTTAGCCAGTAACTCGCTGTGTCTGGATCCAGTGTTGTCCAGCAGTACGTCATGCCCCCACATAATTGATCTCTTCCAAAATTCCTGCCTCTCACCACGTTGCTGTGTCTCTTCATGGCATCCCTGAAGAGTCTTTCTGCCTTTTCCACATCCTTGTTCATCTTCGATAGCATGACTCTGTCGTCGAACATGTGCACCATCGTTTCGTTGCTGCTGACAAAACTAGGTCTATTAAAATTTCCAGTCAAGGCAATCTGGCCAAGAGACGCTTCCACCGGTGGCATGAATTGCATGATGTCCATGATAACTTTGGTCGTCGGTAAAGGCGAGTAAAATGCAAAAGGATGGAAAGGTAGAGAGCCAGAGGAAGCAAACAGGGCGTTCGAGTTGAGTGTGCCGTGAACTATAGATACCAGATGAGCGATATGCGTCAGGATATCGATAATTGTACCAGCGTTGTCGATCGAAGAAGGAAAGTCCACAATTTGGGCAGGTATGGCTTCCTTGATCCATGCCTGCAACTCGGAATCATTTGTGATGTCGATGGCGTCTTTGTAGTATGAATTTACCAAGGTCTCCATGAAACGGCGGATCTCGGCGTTTATGACGCATGCATCTTGGTAGAAAGGGAAAGCCTTTATCTTGGGACCGCTGGTAGAGTTAATCAAGCCTCGCTTCTCCAAGTTAGGCCCAAAATAGTTAGCCTGGAAAGCGCTGGCCTCCCCCGACTGATACAGTGCATGAGTGTAGTTTGCGGCTTGGGCACCAGTCCAAGGAAACAGCTTATCAATGGGACCCCCGGGATAGGTCAAACGTTCAACGGCTACAGGTCGGAATGCCCAGGCGTCTTTCATCACTACATAGATTCCAGTCAGTATGAATCTAAGTTGTGGGTCAGAGCGCAGAACTTACGTCGATGTAAAATGGCCATGATAGGGTGTTCGTCGCTTAGTGTTCGGATAGCGCTCAGGTACACAATTTCGCTCACAGCATGTGTAGCCGCGAGATGGTACCACTGTGTGTACCACAAGCTATTCAAATTGAACATCATCTTTGCCAACAACCAGTCATTGTCTAGATCCTGCGGCGTGTATACAAGTTCTGAGCCTTCTAGGTTTGGTTTTATGGCGAGGGGTAGGAAGTCCTGGGATATCGGATCGATGTAAAAGTACGCCTGACATGCTGCGCCATACTTCCCAGGGGACATGAGCTGGTACTTTTGGTCCAGAAAGTCAGTGAGAAATAGACGGCCAGAGGACTGGAGGGACTCTAATGACTGGCCAGCGATTGCGCTGGTGTTCGAAACGGTAAATGGCAGTTTTGTGTCCTTCGGAACACGAAAAATTCTATAAGGGTTCTCAGACAGCTGTGTCATAGAGAAGGACAGATCGTCTGTGTAGTTTGTCAAAACTCCTGGATATAGCCCTCTGGGCGCTGACTCTTGCCACTGGCCATTATACAGCTCCACGTAGTCGTCTATCGTTTTCAACCCGCCCGCCTAGGATGTGTTAACGAGATTCTTTAGGGATTGGTAATGTGAGAAGTATACCGCGACTATAGAGGCTTTGGAGGCTTTGGAGTCGTTAATAACATTTGTGTCTATCACATCGAGAAATGCGCTGAAGCTCTCTAACACTGCATTTGTGACAGGCCCACCGATGCTACCTGTTGGATAAAAAGACGTATTTCCGGCAATCGAGGGTCCGTATATCCACCCAGCCCGCTTTTCTGCCACTGCAGACGCACGCGTACTTGTGCTGGACGTGTTACTGATCGAAAAAGAGGAAATTTCCTGACATGAACGCCGGACAGCAGTTGCGTGTACAGCTGCGCTTGCGCAGAGCATCAGGCATATATGGCTTAGCATATTTGATCAAGGAAATGAACGGGTTCAAGAATGGAGGGAAGAGCTAACAATGTGTTTCTTTGGCGGATATGCTTGGATTTTGATTGTGTCACTTTTACGAGCAAAAGAAATTTAGAAATAAGCAATACAACTTCCACGGTAGTATGTATCTGATAGCTAGGGCTTCGCGCAAGGCAAGTTGAGGGCCGAGCTCTACTGTGTCATTCATGCTGGAGTGACTAGCTCACACAGCCTTACCCTTGCAAGGAGCGACACCTGATCCGTGTTGACTCGGAAGCTAGACACCTACCCATGTATAGTCTACCACCCACCAATGAGATCATTTGTATGACATTGGCAGCCGGCGCTTAACTATATATAGAAAGTGGGGCTAAACATTACAATCCCCACTTAGAATGGCATGCACCACTTGGGATACCTGAATCCAGGTCGACCCGTGTGGTGTTTGCCATGTGGCTTGGCATCACGACTAATCTTCGCTATCGGCCTGTACGATTCGTCGAGCTACGGAAGACGAGTGGATCGTGTTACCATCAGTGCATTATTATCACTTGTTAATATCCCAAATGGTGTTCTTCTTGCGTTTCAATAAGCTTATCACAATCGTCATCATCTTTGCTAGTGCTTAAGCTATTTTGTACGCCATTTTGTACCAGTACGGCGCCCGTACCGGTCCATAAGCGCACCATTTTGTACCAATACGGCGCCCGTACCAGTCTATAAGCGCACCATTTTGTACCAGTACAGCGTTTGTACCAGTACGGCGCCCGTACCGGTCCATAAGCGCGCCTTTTTGTAACATTACAGCGTTTGTACCAGTACGGCGCCCGTACCGGTCCATAAGCGCACCATTTTGTACCAATACGGCGCCCGTACCAGTCTATAAGCGCACCATTTTGTACCAGTACAGCGTTTGTACCAGTACGGCGCCCGTACCGGTCCATAAGCGCACCATTTTGTACCAATACGGCGCCCGTACCAGTCTATAAGCGCACCATTTTGTACCAGTACAGTGTCCGTACCAGTCCAAAGCAGGGCAGTTCAGAATAATTCATCAGGCACCAACCTAGACGGTACGGTAGGTTCGCCACCCCATGCCAGTGGTTGGTTCGGGCTCAACTTAAAAACAAAATTGCGTTGTTCTGACTGAGTTCATCGTCTTGCGTTCGTTGCGATTTTGTTAACCTTGAGTTGCATTCCAGAGTCGTAGCGTAGCGCAGCGTAGAATAGCGTACGAGAGATGGATGCATTGCCTTGGCTGTGACCGAGTTGCTGGTGATAGTTGGCCCGATGCATGTGAACAGGGATGCAAGCCTCATTACGAAGATGGAAAGTGACATGGCTATGTGTCGGTTGACTCACACAGCTCTTGAAAGCAGCATATACTATCGACAGCGGCGGACGGACTAAGATCTCTGATCGGAAAAGTGCCGCTCTCAATAGGGCATTTGAGACCGCTATGGCCTGGTGTCAGTATATCATGATTGCGGCCACGTCATATACCGAAACCTGATTACTTCACGGATGCTATGGCTTTTGCCGGGCTCCCATGATCCCCGCGTTCCAAATTACCCTAAGGCCTTTCATCTAAGAGGCCTGCCGCCGATGAGACTGAGAGTGTGCATGGGGAATCCATGCCGTGACACCCACAATGACGAGGCTGCTCGACACTCAAATCTGCTCAAACCTATCGGAATGGCGTTACCACGGCCGATCAGTGCATTGTAAATGAGGCCCGATGGGGTCAGATTCCCGAAATCTGCCTTGAGCAACAGACTGGACGGCAGCTAGGGCGACATATCGTCATGCTAGAACTGGCCCCTGAGTATGAGCGGTCCAAAATCCTTCCGAGAATTGCCCTAAATCAGGACTAATCCACCGCTTTGCCCGAGAAATCAGTGAATTGAGATTATGCACCGGTAGTGAATACGTACCTCTGCTTTATGCGTCCGAGACACTAACAAGGTATCTGCACACGGACCGTGTATATGACAGCTTTCCTGGCCAGCGATGGCATTGGTATACCCTAGACATGTTGGAGGGGCCGATAGTTGCTTCATACATGATACTGGCGGTCGCAAGATAGCTAGAGAGGGTGGCAGTGACATGGTTTCGTGCTTGAAGGGTTTCCAGCCTGATGCATGAAAGCAACATCGTGATACACGCAAGCCTCTTTGCTATTACGGTTTGGTTTTATGTATTCTGGCCACATTGTTCTGGTACCAGGAACGGCAATGCTTATTCGAGTTTCCGGAGTGTTCAGTGAGATGAACAGCAGAGGTTGCAATAGATTCAGGGCCAAGTGTCTTCAAGCAAACCCATCGATTTTGTGACCAAGTATGGGTCCAAAGTATGGCTGTTCACGAGGCTTGGTTTGACTTACCTTGTTATTTGTCAAATCTGATGTAAAGACCAGACCGATACAGACCGTCATTATCGGTATAGTCACAACCATGTGCTGAGTTAAGAGTACGATAACTTGAAAATAGATCATTCTTAACACTCTCTTGCGGGAACCCTTCTTAACAGGTTCACAGAACAACGGGAATAAGATGGAACAAGGACAAATTTGGCTCTGGTCTATACACGGCAGCTTGTCTGAACTACGCTCGAACCATGAAGAACTTTATGTACAACCGTAAACCTGATGGAGATAAACATCGTTTCTTATCCCTGGTTAAAGACCGCTTAAATGGTGATCAAAATCACCACAGTCACTCCCAGTGCACTCGCATTCAGCATCTACTCTCCTACTCCATTTCTGCTACTCTGCGATATCTCAAGTGTTACCAAACGCATGCACCCGTTCTCCATATCACTTTCCGCAGCTCTTGAGCTTGGTCTACTCCGCAGAGACACTCCTAGTCTGGTGAAGCAGCTCACGGTGCTAGCGAAACACGCGGGAAGGCAGCAGAGCATATGTGTGCAGGTGCAGGCCTATCCAAGTCAGAAAGATTGTGGCAACAAGAGCGAATGCATACCAGGAGAACGCTCTGGCGCATTTGAACACGAAATTCCTCTTCGCCAAGCACCGCAAGGACAAAGAGAATAACCCCGGAAAGCTGAACTGCCGCTGCCAAAATGTTTGTAATTATGAGCGCGGTAAACAGCTGCGATGTTCTCTTGTCTGGTCGTTGCAAGCCTGAAGACTTGTGACTTTTCATTTGTGAATACGAGACCGCTGCACATAGGAGCGATGCGATCGCAAGAGGAGCAAGCACAGGCGGCTTGTTAACGTAGCGTGTCTGTCCAGCGCTAATAATCGTTAGAGACATCGATATTGGGCAGGAGCAGTACTTACAAAGACATGGGGATGTCATCAGGTATCATTGTAAATGCCACGACATATGTCAACCACACGTTCCAGCGCGGATATTGGCAGACTTGCAAGAGACGGGCGAGCTAGTCAGAAGTGAAGTCAGCAACTTTGTACAAACAATGCCAGCTCACTTACCCTAGTAGCAGCGCCGAGCTGAAGACTACATATAACGCCAGCTTCAATCCAGTCCCACATGTCATGGCCAAGGCGAACTGTGACTGCGATGCCAACCAAACTGACAATCAACAGACCGATCTGAAGGACGCGGCAGACGAGGATGAGAACTTTATCCGAGAAGTAGACATGCCCGTAGAAATTGCCAGTCGACCTGCGATAGGCTCTGACGTCTATGAAGAGCAGAAAACAGCTCAGACATAGCTGAACTGAGAAATAAATAGCGAAGCTGACGAGAAAATTGAAATTCATGTTAGGGGACAATATACCTCACTAGAGATGGCAGTCGTCCCAATTATGTACTGTGTCGGTATCAAGGGCCCACTCAAGGACCACGTATACCTGCAGCGGCTTTCGTATCATGTGCTAGAAATGGCATTGCATGAACAAAACCTCAGTGGGTGTGGTCTTCTGTTACGTGCCAGGGTAGCATGTCTGTTGGTTACTGGATGAGAGAATATGATACGGCATAATGGCTCGCTAGGTATGAGCCAGATCCCTACATTCGCTGACATCGGATATAGAACTCGGGCGCCGCGGGACAGCAGTGGTTCAAATCTAATTGCTGGGGTGTTTTTTATGCCGTCTAAGGCAGAGATGCAGGAAGAGGGGGTGGCTAGAAGAGCGGAACGCAGTCTGGTGCGCTCCTCAGGAGAGATGTGCGACTTACTCGGTCATGGCGGAATGAAGAGGCCGTGCATCAAGAAAAAATAGCAGAAGCAGTTGGCAGAATGAGCGGAAGGGGAATGCACATCATTGTTCAGAAACGATTGAGCTTGAGGACAAGCAAGAGTGGGAAGATAGGTGGTATTAGAAAAGGACCATTTGATCTTGTACGGTTGTAATGATGCTGTACATGATTCTCTCTCAGAGATAACACTTCTTCGCCAGCTTAGACTCGTGCAGGATACTGCAGGAAGGGACTCCTCAATTCTTGCCGCCACACCCCTTCACTCAATATTTACAGCACCATCTATGACAAGGTGATTAATGCTTCGAGGACCCATAGTATTGATTGCGATAAGAGGCTAAGAAAACTCCAATCAAAGTGTAAGTGTTCTCTCAGAGCGGCGCTGTTCAGATGCATGAGTGAGAACTGGTTTCTCTGTGCACTTCGACCGTTGGCAAAGCCACTGCTTGACCTGGTGGTGATACTCCTAGATAGCCTTCCGCGACCTGAAACCTTGAAGTAGTAACAACGACATCTTCATCCACTCGGACAAAATCGGCTATCTTTTTGTCAATGTCAAGCCATCTCAGCGTGAAAAGCCCACTTATGTTGAAATCAAAATATCATCAGTTGATGAAGAGCAGCATATTAGGGATATAACTCACATGACATCTCCTTGTTTTCTGGCATTCTCGTCCATGTTCATCTTCCTGACGTCACTGACAAAAAGCATTGTTTAGAGCTCTGAAATTTATTACGGAAGACTTGCTGGCGGTGTTGTACGATGCTGTTCTTCGTGCGAAAGGAAGGAAGGTGGTTCATATCAGCGACGTCTCTTGGAAGCAGACGCGCGGACAGAGCATGGTAGCCACAAGATCAAGACGCATCAAAGCAACTGAAGCAAAACAGTCACAAACTCCGAGCAATGGGGCAGCTCACGGCATGAAAACTCCTGTCGTGTAACGCTATGTCAATACTTACTGGGCTGGTATCTTGATAGCCCCTGCCGTAACATATACTTGCCACCGGAACAGCCGTGAGCTGGACCAACAAATGGAAGCGACGTACGAGCCAAGATTCAGGAGCCGTCCAAGGCCCAGGACACACGCGTCCAGCCCCATTTTTAGCTGAAACCGTGCTCACTAGGACACTTCTCATGTGTGCTGCTATTTCCGAGATGTACGCTTTTTGATTTCTGCAAGTTTCATTTTAATGATAATTCCTACGGCTCAGGGCGCATTCTGAAATGAGTCTGTGCTGGGTTTTGGAGAAGGAGGCTTTATAAACTATTCCAATGTACGAATCTTAAGCTACTCTCAAACTTCCCTCCTCTCAGACTCCTTTTCTCTCTAACCCTACCTCCATCCCTCAATATGAGTACTAGTCTAGAGACTATACCTGATGAGCTCAAACTGGAGATATTTCAATACCTTCCCTCCCGTTTGAACCTTGATCTGACGAGCAGGCACTTGTTTTGGATCACTCCAGGTGACCTGGTGCGGCGAGCAAAGACGCCTGATTCCGTCGCGGAGGCCATTCGTGCGATCCGGTATATGATTTTATTCAGTGAAGAGCGTGTGTCGGATGGTCTGAACATCTTATTCGACAAGTTCCTTATCCGTGTTTCGGACTACGTCATCTACTTTCTCCAACACGGCTCGTTTAAGGAGGCAAAGGCGATGCTTCAAGCCTGGGAGCAGCTACCACTCCAGGAGCACATTCCTGCAGAACACCTTCTCAAGGTCCTTAAACAGCTCGACATATCGTTGCTCAGGCGATCAAAGATGAAGATTTCGGAAAGGCAAAAAACGACTCTAGAAATCATGAAGCAACAGCCATGCACAAGTATCATGCCCAAAGACTTCTGTCTTGCTCCTCTCAATCAAATCAAAGAATGGATCATTCGGATCATCCGTGATGGGACCAATCGCTATGAGCATTTGAGAAAAGCAAAAGAGGCTCTTCAATTCATAAAAAAGATTCCAGCAGAGGCTAAGGTTCCCAAGAACTTTTTTCTCGATGTTGTTAAAACAGGTCGAGATATAATCCTTCAGGCCTTCAGAGAGGAACAGCTCCGCTTTGGAAGTCTCTATGTGGCAGATGGGGTGGCTCGAATCATAATGCTGTTCAACATGATCATTCCCGAAAACTACTTTCTCGAAATTATCAAAAGAGGCCAGGATATCATTTGTCAGGCTGCGGAAATTCCGACTCGTGAGCTGACACGAGGCATTCTCTAAACCCTAAAAAAGCCGGATCACTAACTAATTAGGCGACTAGCTGAAAATTTTCAACAAGGCCTAGGAGCGGGAATCAATTAGCGACAATAACATTACTAAGACATTTATGGTTTCTAACATCCATCCCTGCGTAGCGCAAATCCAGGCGTGCCGCAAGCAACCAATCAAATCTCGAGAATTGGGGAAAAGGCTTTGATTTAAGATAGCTGATTGGTTACTTGCGCCACGTAGGGATTTGCGTCACTAAGGGATGGACGTTAGTGGACTGGAAATTGGAGCACTCTTTCAACGCAACATGGCCTGAGGGGCCAAATGCAGTAACTGAAAACATGGACCTTGGTTTTGGAATAACACCAGTTCCTGCTGTGTAGTGCGTGTAGGCATCAACAACGTTGTTGTGTTTTCATTCTGAAGTGTTGTAACTATTACCAAAGCAAACCAGAATCGACTAACGTCCGTCCCTATGGGTCGAACATCCCTCCGCAACGAACCACCAACATTGCTTAATCACCTTGCGCTTAAGCTGCAACAACTTTTGAATTTTAGTACATATTAATATGCTCTTTAGATCTACCTCTATCCATCGCAAGTCTTGAATAGCAAAATTACAGCGATCTAAGGGGCGTACGTGAATCTTTCGTGTTAAGCGTGGGAAGGTGTAACGCCAACACCCCCTGTCCTACCTCTTACAGAAGCTCTACTTGCCTATTCGGAGGTTCTGTAGGACTTAAAGCGAGCTAAAGAATCTATGACTATTTTATAAACAGGTGTAGCCTCTATTCAGATGCGCTCCGAGTTTTTCCGGCTCGGTGTGCCAGTCCTTAGCATTAGCGAGAGGATTTAGAACGCTGACACAGCTAGATTGCGAACGCTTAGCGGCCCACGATATACACCTGCGCTATGCCAAAAGTGCTGAAGTTGTGGCGCAGAGCTCTAGAAGCTTTTACCCTGTGCTGCGCAAGCGCGCAGTTGCCAGCTATTCTTAGAAGCAGACTGGTTGTGGATTCTGTTGGCTTCTATATAGGAGCACGCTTTGGCAGGCAAGCCGAAGTGCGGGCGTAAGCGCAAGAGCGACGCGCTAGAAGGACCAACGGTCCTGCCGTCGCCAAAGCCCACAGTAGCGCAGCGGATCGGTGTGCCTGAGCTAACGCATGCGCCGGTATCTGCATGGAGAGCGCCTGTAGCTAGGATGTACTAGACCGCTTTCTCTAGCTCCGTATAACATGGTCTCGTGGCGTTGAGTAGGCTGAATAGAAAGGCGAATTTAAATTGGGTGGAAACCTAGATGTTGTCTACAAGTGTGACATTTGCGCGACTGCTTTCTTATTTAGTTCTGCGTCGTAACGGGCAAGCTTCAAACGCGTCAGTGCTTAGACTCCTACTAATAGTGTCAAGGGCCTCATGTCCTATGCAGCTCTCGATGCAGACGCGCTTCAGCCTTGCGAGCAGTGCATGGCGCATGCATGGAGCCACGCCTTACCCCGCCTGAGGCTTCACAGAGGCTTCATCCCTAAGTCAAGAACACAGCGAGAGCAGGCATCTTGAGCTCACGACATCTTGACGCATCCCAGTATTCCGCTGGTATCTGAGCTGGTGCACCTGCTCGTCATTCTCTCTATATGCTGACCATCCATCAGTAGCAGGAAAGCAGCTAGTAAGCAAGCGCCCGCACCACTAGGCTACTAGGTTCAGCCTTGCGAGTTCTGTTTCTTATCGAACATACCTACTATACACCCACATGAACCTATGCGGCTCTTACAGTACAGCGAAAGCGGAGAGCTCAGCATCCACAGCTTTGACGATGGCGACATCCCTCCCTACGCGATACTCTCACACACCTGGGGCGCAGATGGCGACGAGGTGACGTTTGCAGACCTCCAGACAGGCGGCGGCAAGACAAAGCCGGGCTATAAGAAGATCATCTTCTGCGGAGAACAGGCCCGGCGCGACAGCCTCCAGTACTTCTGGATCGACACGTGCTGCATCGACAAGACCAACAAGGCTGAACTTGCCTTCTCTATCCGATCGATGTTTCGCTGGTACCGCAATGCAGCTCGGTGCTATGTATATCTATCGGATGTCTCTGATCAACCTCTACCACTGACGCCAGGCTACCACGATTCGCGATGGCTTTTGTGGATCTGGATACTCTCTGTTCTCTACACTATGTCGAGATGGTACGGTAGCACGATGCGGCGCTACTTCTATTCGCGCGACGTTCTATGCACTTCGGTCGGTAGCGATCCTGTACGAACCGAGCAGAAGGCTGAGCTTGCGCTCAAAAACAGCAGATGGTTTACCCGTGGATGGACACTGCAGGAGCTTCTCGCACCGTCTACGGTAGAGTTCTTTTCTAGAGAAGGGACTAAGCTTGGTGATAAGTTGTTGCTAGCAGAAGAAGTACGTGAAGTTACGGGCATCCCTAGTCTAGCGCTGCAGGGTGAACCGTTGTCTTACTTTAGTATTCATGAACGCGTTACCTGGATTGAACATCGCACTACAACGATTCCAGCAGACCGTGCATATTCCCTAATGGGTATTCTTGGCGTCAGCTTATCCCCGATCGATGGCGAGAATCTAGCTAAAGCAATAAAGCGGGTTCTAGACGAGGTTGACAAGCAGAATAAGTGCATCCAAGACTTGTGTCCTAGCAACCCGCGCGATGACAAGAAGCGGATTGAGGAGACTAAGGGCGGGCTGCTTGCGGGTGCTTATCGTTGGGTTCTTGATAATAGTACCTTCCAGCAGTGGCAGGAAGACCCGGGGAGCCGACTACTGTGGGTGAAAGGTGATCCTGGCAAAGGCAAGACAATGCTGCTGTGTGGCATTATCGACGAACTACAAAACTTGACGCCGAAACCTACCCTTATTTCATATTTTTTCTGCCAGGCAACCAACACGCGCATCAATAGTGCCACAGCTGTGCTGCGAGGCTTACTGTACATGCTCGTGCACCAGCAGCCGTCGCTTGCATCGCACGTTCGCAGGAAGCACGACCACGCAGGCAAAAGCTTGTTCGAGGACGCGAATGCCTAGGTCGCCCTAACGGAAATCTTCGCCGACGTGCTGCAAGATGCAAGCCTAGGCATAACGTACCTAATTATTGACGCGCTTGACGAATGCGCTATAGACTTACCAAAGTTGCTCAGCTTTATCGCGAAGCAGTCGTCTGCGTCCTCTCGCGTCAAGTGGATCGTGTCTAGTCGTAACTGGCCAGATATTGAGGAAGAGCTAGAGCGTGCTGAGCACGAAATGAGGCTTAGCCTTGAGCTAAACGCCGAGTTGGTGGCTGCAGCAGTAGAGGTATTTATCCAGCAGAAAGTGTGTCGCCTAGCTCAAGAGAAGCGCTACACGCTAGAGGTGCAAAACGCGGTGCTCCAGCACTTGACTTCGAACGCGAATGACACTTTCCTCTGGGTTGCGTTAGTGTGCCAAGACCTCAAAGCGACGCCGAAGTGGGATGTGCAAGAGAAGCTAGCCCAGTTTCCGCCTGGTTTAGACTTACTTTATAGGCAGATGCTAGACCAGATACGCAAGTCTAGTAGCGCTCGAAGATGTCTGCGGGTGCTGGCAGTGGCTGCTGTCCTATATCGACCAGTCACAGTTAGTGAGCTAGTTATATTGACTGAGCAACTTACAGACCTTGTTAATGATCTAGAGTCCGTACGGGAGATCATCGGTCTCTGCAGATCATTCTTAACGCTGCGAGACGATACGGTGTACTTTGTACATCAATCAGCTAAGGACTTCCTTATCACGAAAGCGTTAAACGACGTCTTTCTAGACGGTATAGAATGTGTGCATCAAGACGTCTTCTTAAAGTCACTTGTAATTCTGCACGAGACACTGCGCAGAGATACATACAACCTTCAAGCGCCTGGATATGCTATAGAAGACGTCAAGCCACTTTTTCCCGATCCTCTAGCCGTGTCGCGCTACCCGTGTGTGTACTGGGTTGACCACTTCTGCGACTCAAAGCCCAGGGCTACTAACCAAGAAACTACTAGGGCTATAGACGCATTTCTTGAACAAAAATATCTCTACTGGCTAGAAGCACTCAGCTTGTGTAGAAGCATGGCCAAAGGGGTAGTCTCGATGACAAGGCTATGGGATCTAGTCCAGGTACGGCTAATACGACTACATCTATACACGGCCTTCACGGTATAGTTACTAACGTGGCTAGGGACTTAGAGACACGGACGTATTGAACAAGATCGTGTACGACACACAACGATTCATTATGTATCATAGGGAGGCGATCGAGAACTATCCATTACAAGTATACGCGTCTGCTCTTTTGTTCAGCCCAGTAAACAGCATGATAAGAAGGCTGTTCCAGCACGAAGAACCAAGAGGAGTAACGATCAAGCCCGCTATGAGCAACGGCTGGAGTGCGTGTCTGCAGACGCTCGAGGGCCATAGCGATTATGTTACCTCAGTGGCATTCTCGCACGACTCGACCTGGCTAGCGTCAGCGTCAGGGGATAGCAATATTAAGATCTGGGACGCGAGCAGTGGGACGTGTGTGCGCACGCTCGAGGGCCATAGCAGTTATGTTACCTCGGTGGTCTTCTCACATGGCTCAACTCGGTTAGTGTCAGCGTCAGAAGACAGGACTGTCAAGATCTGGGACGCGAGCAGCGGGACGTGTGTGCGCACGCTTAAGGGCCATAGCGATTATGTTACCTCGGTAGCCTTCTCACACGACTCGACCCGGCTAGCGTCAGCGTCGAGGGACAACACTGTCAAGATCTGGGACGCGAGCAGTGGGACGTGTATGCACACACTTAAGGGCCATAGCGATTATGTTACCTCGGTGGCCCTCTCACACGACTCGACCCGGCTAGCGTCAGCGTCGAGGGACAACACTGTCAAGATCTGGGACGCGAGTAGTGGGACGTGTGTGCACACGCTTAAGGGCCATAGCGATTATGTTACCTCAGTAGCATTCTCGCATGACTCAACTCGGTTAGTGTCAGCGTCAGAAGACAGGACTGTCAAGATCTGGGACGCGAGCAGCGGGACGTGTGTGCGCACGCTCGAGGGCCATAGCAGTTATGTTACCTCAGTGGTCTTCTCGCACGACTCGACCCGGCTAGCGTCAGCTTCTTGGGACAGGACTGTCAAGATCTGGGACGCGAGCAGCGGGACGTGTGTGCACACGCTTGAGGGCCATAGCAGTTATGTTACCTCAGTGGCCTTCTCGCACGACTCGACCCGGTTTGTGTCAACATCAGAAGACAGCACTATTAAGATCTGGGACACGAGCAGCGGGACGTGTGTGCGCACGCTTGAGGGCCATAGCGATTATGTTACCTCAGTGACCTTCTCACACGACTCGACCCGGCTAGCGTCAGCGTCTTGGGATAGCACTGTCAAGATCTGGGACACGAGCAGTGGGACGTGTATGTATACGCTTGAGGGCCATAGCGATTATGTTACCTCGGTGGCCTTCTCGCACGACTCGACCCGGTTAGTGTCAGTGTCATTAGACAGGACTGTCAAGATCTGGGACTCGAGCAGCAGGACGTGTGTGCACACTCTTGATGTTGGCAGGGCTCTTTTCAGCTTGTCTTTCGGCTCTACTAGTACTTCCCTCCATACAGACATTGGAATCATCGCTATCCCTCCTTTGCAGGTTTCTGCCAGCACAGACATGGCTGTATCAGAACTACAGTACCAAGATGTTAGTCTAAGTTCAGATAGTTTTTGGATTGTGCGCGACGGAATTAATGTACTGTGGATACCTTCTGAGTATCGGCCGTCATGCTCAGCCGTGAGTGGGGCCCTAGTAGGCATGGGAGTAGGATCAGGGAGGATATGGTTTTGTCAGGTAATCTAGATCAGCAATTGTGAATAATAGAAGGATATTTACAGTCTTTGTATTTATCTACTTTTGTAACGGTAGATTTATGATTACATTTACCATCACGCATACAACGCCAATGTCGTGGTGTCTATTACTAGTCAATTTCTAAGAATAGGCAGCAGGCGACCACAAGTGGTGGCCGGACGAAGCCTTTGAGCTTTGCGCCACAGCTTGAGCCGCCTTGGTATAGCGCAAGTGTATAATGCAGGCCGCTAAGCGTTCAAAACCTGCTATGTCAGCACGCTAAACCGTAGAGTCTAGAGCGAACGAGAGTCACATTGAGCCGGAGAAAATCGGACGGCATGTAAATAGAGGCTGCGCATGTTTTACAAGCAGGTTTATATCTCCTAGGTAATTATATATTGCAAGGATGCGCCGAGAAATAGAGCGACAGTGCTAGGTATGAAAGAACAGGGGTGTTTTGTCGTTGCAGCTTTAACGCTTAACACAAAAGATTTACGTACGCACCTTGGATCTCTGTAATTTTACTATTTAAGGTTTACGATAGATAGAGGTAGATCTAAAGAGTATATGAATACGTGTCTGAATCTAAGAGTCTCTGCGGCTTAGATGTGAGGTACTTAAACAATATCGGTGGTTCGTTGCGGAGGGATATTCGACCCATAGGGACGGACGTTAACTAATTAGTAAAGGATTGATAATTAATTAGTTAAATAGCTTCGATTAGGCTGAAGCGCCCGGGAGATTACGGTTGCCTGGTTTCAATTCACATGCGATCTGTCTTGCGACAACGTCTATCTCGTGGCTGAGTGATGGGCTTCATCCAAGGCTAAGAAAACGGAAGTACATATTGTGTTAATGAAACCATGACAAGCTTTTGGCACCTAGACCTCGGCTGCGGTGGAGCAAGTGAGTTTGCATTTTATGATCATTGACGCAAAGTTATTCTGCTGGACCAACGTTATGGAAGCCGCCCCAACTATCTTTGCAAAAGGATACACCATTTCTATCAAAATATATCACCGTCTACGTTTTGCCTGTGGCATTTCACAGTCATCAAAGGCCCAGTTGCGCTTCCGGTGGTCGGCTCTACCAAAGTACGCTTCGAGGCCCTCTGCTCGCGTCAATTTCTCCACTGAGAATGGTGAGCCGCTAATGTGACGAGGCGTGTTACTGCCTTCTTGCAGGAAAATGGAGAAGCTGCCTCTGACAGCCAACGTCACGTTCATGCAAAAGTTACTTGTTTCATCAAAGTTAGAGTGATCGCCAACTTCAGCAATGCATTTGTCGTTTGGTTCTGGAACGTTTCTGTCGCCAATCAGTAGTCGTGCTCCAGCGGTACGAAATCGACTGAGAAGGGCCTCGAGCGCAGGCTCACCATGCCGAAGCTTGCACTCAATCCAGCCAGAGCCAACGTATTGTCTACTCATGTACCTCAGGCGGGTGTGGGGCTTGAAATAGAAAAGAGAAGCTATTGCACATTCTGCAATGTTATCAAGAACCGGAGATAGGAGAGGGTCTTGAAGCGCTAGGGACTGGAGCCTAGCCATGTCACTCACGGCGTCGAGTCTCGGCTCAGGCCCGTCAAATTCGATATCCAGTCGGTGGTACTTTCCACTAGACTTTGGCCTACCGAAACTTACAAGTGCCTTCCAGTCTCGGCCTCCAGCCATGGTTACTAATGATCCGTGGGCGACGCGTGAGATCCAGCCGTCTTTGAGCAGGCTGCGCGAGCCTGAAGTGCAAGGACCCTCGCCATCAGAACGCGGACTACCAGTGCCCAGACTCACTACAAAGTCAGGCTCTTCAGTAAATGGGAACAACGCCTCGGCTTCAGAGAGGGCCATAAAGATAGGGTTGTTGCGGAGCAGACCAGCGTCCTGTTGATCGCCATATCCTTTGATGGTAGTGGGTTTAAAGAATCTGCCATATTTTCAGCGCAATAGGCGAGCCTAAATACGTCATACTTACAGTGGAGCTGCTGATGCTGCACGTGCGCTGCCAGGAGATGTTAGCGGAATCAAAATTTGGTGTCTGACGACTCACACTTCCCACACCCGCGGTTGCTCTGCGCCGTCGTGCGACTCGATAACATGGTACTCTGACAACCTATTAGCAGTTTGTAAGAGATGACAAGAGTTTGGAAAGGTACCTAGATCGTCTTTGCGAAGTCCCGTGGCGTTGTAACTAGTGAATAAGCACAACGAAGGCCCGTGTACAGTTGCCACAGGTATTCCAACTCTGGTTCCAAGGGATGTTGTCTGTGGCATCTCCAAAAGACCTTGTTCACAGCCGTAAGCTTCTTTAAGTGCCGTTTCTATATGGCTAGTCGGGTAGAGACAGTCCGTGAAGATGGACATCAAAGATTCCAAGGCCTTAGGCAGATGGAGCAGGCCTAAAAACTTCCTCCGTTGGAAGGCTGTGTCAGCCAGCCGTGGAAAAATCTCGATGCACTTCTGGATAGACCAGCCCTGAGCTAGTCCCAGCGCGATGATACCTCCTACACAAGTTGGTTAGTGAGATTCGTTACAGCAACATGGCTAGACCAACCTGTGCTCGTCCCAAATACAACCTTGAAGTTTCGCAACACTGGTATCGGGAGACCGATCCGGTCTTCTAACAGCCGGAGAAATATCAGCTCGAGTATTCCTCGTACGCCGCCACCATCCATGCTGAGAACGCCTGCGCCAGCTGTAGGCGGATGGATACGAACGCTCTTTTGCTTCGCGTTCGTTTCGCAAAGAAAACACTGGTCAATATAGTAGATACACGGATCATCTGAAGAACGGCGGCCAAATACGTAAACACAGTTTTCGCACACTGTGTGCCCGCAAGGAAGCCCAATATGTGGCCTGCGACAAAGGCACACCAGGCATGTCTCTCGGCTCTGAAGTTGGGGCCAGAAGGATCGTTTTCCCTGCAGAACGCGCTTGTGTGACTCGGTAGCGAACTTCAAGGTCTTGGACTTCAGTGCGTCAGAAACGTAGTCTTGAAAGTAGTCTTGAAAGTGGTCTTGGATCGATTTGACGATAGAACTAGGGACTACAAAGCATGGATCGTGTTTGTTTAACAACACAGATCTGCTTGCCTCATCGCAGAAACCTTTGTACAACCTCTGAAACACAGATATAGGATCGAACACTACATAGTATGTTAGGGAAACCGCATTGGCAGGTGTGACGAGTGACTTACTTGGAGCATCTGGGGGATAGCTGTTTAAGAAAAGACTCGATGCAATTGTCGGTACTACGAATTCGATCAGCTCCCGTGGCGATTTTGCGAGTTGCAAAAAATTGGAAAGGTGTTCTTTGAGGTCTGGAGCAATGGGATTGTGCAGCCTTGCTGCAGTCATGAAGTCGAAAGGTTCACCGTTACCTCTCGCGAGGTGTTGACATGCTAGTCTGAAGAACGCGTGGAAGTGCCTAGCAGAGAAAAGAGTGCGAGTGGTGGTTCTATGCTTACGAACGCGGTCCGAGACTTGCATCAAGCAATCTCTCAGGCGGTGGTGGCGCCCGCGGTTAGACATTGAGCCCTGTTGTGATAGTGTGACCACGTCAAGACTGGAGAAGCGATCAAACAAGCTTTTCGAAGTGTCTGCACCCAGGCTCTCCAGGAACCAATCTCGAACTTCTTTCTCGCCAACCCGTGTCTTGTTTTCTGTAACGACTACAAGGGAGGGATACGTTTCAGTCGGTAACAACGAGGCTTGCGGCCTTTCAAGCCACCTGGCCACCTGGCGGGACACTCCGCGGAGCCCTCCTAAGTCCGCTGCAAACAGGCAAAACACGTCTGTAAAAGGATGAAGAAGCTGGGCGTAGATTGTTTCAGCAGCACTACTCGCATCTAGCGGCTGCTTTCCAGCTTGATAAAACGAATGAGTGATAGTCTCGTGGCAGGAAGCTACAGGAAGTGTCTTGCCTCGCCGATGTCTCTCAGAGATGTCGCTGTCTGCGATATAAATGGGCCGCTTGCTGAACGCTGATGAATGGTCTAGTTGCAAGTGTACCTCGCCGTGAGCGCGTGTCGGTGTGGCAGGCTTGGCAGAAACCAGCTCCTGGAGTGCTCGGGCCTTGCAAGTGCTCCCAATAAGTACGAACAAGCTTGGCCACTGCTCTTCAACGTATGGACTGTTTGCGAGAAGGGTTTGTGCTCTGTCAGACTCTAGGAGATCACACGTTTTCTCCTGCGTCGAAATCCCGAGCCACTGACTATGGTTACAGCAAACCATTACTGTAGCAAGACAAGCCTTGGCAAAGTAAGATCTTCCATGCATTACCCATCTTTATAGTGATTACCGTCAAGCCCGTTTTAGACTACGTGCTGCCCGTTTGTCCTTACGAGCCAGAAACGAAGCCATATAGTCAGGACCAGATAACATCTATATATAGAAAGAGGTCGAAACCAAGAGGCCTTAACTAGAAAAGCTTCTTATACTGGAATGTATAGACGGCATATTTTGGTTCCTTATCCGGAGACAGTGCATGTAGCTTCCCTTGGCTACTCAAGAACGGCTACCATTTTGAGCGCATGAGACATGGTAACTTTGCCATCTACTACAGACTGTTCTGAGAAACATTCCGAGCTAACCTCAAGGGGATTCTGCATAGCACCCTTGGGCTAAACAAAGAAAGGCGCTTGTGCTAAAGATAGAACTCACATGGTCCGCGTAGTTATATCGTCCAAGAAGCACGCCACGTCCTAATCTTACCAAGCTGACAATGACTGATTCCACGTAAGCCAGTATCACATAGTAAAGTAACTAGTTATGATACTGTATGTGGTCAGTGCGTGCAACAGTTCAGCCAATGCAACACCATCTGCACCATCAAAATATCCACCCATCATTTTCAACACGTGATATCTCCACTACCATGACAGCTATCGAAAAAGCGATCGCGGCAATTGATTCGCAAGATATAGAAGGTCAACTTTCATACCGCGCAGCTGCAAAAAAGTTTGGTGTTGAGGTTACAATATTGACGCGCCGGCACCAAAACAAAACCCAGTCGCAAACAGCAGCTGCTAAAAAACGTCAATTACTCACCCCACTACAAGAATCTGAGCTAGTAAAATACATAGAAAAACTGTCAGAACGCGGCCTAATACCTTCTCGATCGATAGTAAAAAATTATGTGGCGGTTATTGCAGAATGGGAGCCCTCCAATAGCTGGGTTACTCGGTTTTTGAAGCTCCACAACGATATAATCTGCATCAGAAAAGCCACTGGTATCGACCGCGACCGTCATCTGGCTGATAATCCAGCTAGCTACCAATCATATTTTGATCTCATCTATGCTAAGCTCGATCAGTATGCTATTGCGCCACATAATATCTATAATATGGACGAGAAGGGCTTCTTACTTGGCCGTATCTTACCATCAAAAAGAATCTCCCCAAAACAGATGTGGGAGCAAAAGAAGATATGCAAGGCACTCCAAGATGGAAGTAGAGACTGGATCTCGGTTATTGGGTGTATCTGCGCTGATGGGAGCTCAGTAGATCCTGCGATAATCTATGAGAGCCCAGATGGTCTTCGCGATGAATGGCTGCGGGATCTGGAAGTGGGAAAACACCAAGTTTTTTGCTGTACCAGCCCATCGGGATGGAATAACAATAAGCTCGCGCTGGCTTGGATTGAGCAGGTGTTCGATCAGCTCACGAAGGCGAAAGCAAAACGCGACTACCGAATGCTTCTAGTCGATGGGCACGGCACTCATCTCACGCCTTCCTTCATCGAATACTGCGATGCTCACCGAATACTACTCGCGGTATTACCACCTCACGCTACTCATAGCCTCCAGCCACTCGATGTTGGCGTGTACTCACCTCTGGCAACCGCGTATAGTACCGAGCTCACCAATCTACTCCACAGCGACCAAGGATTACTTAATATGCGGAAAAGTGATTTCCTACGCATGTTTTGGGCGGCATAGACATCTGCTTTCACAGCTAACAATATGTTAAGTAGTTTTCAAGCCAGTAGGATCCATCCGCGCGAGCCCGACGTCGTAATGAAACGCTTCAAAACACCACCACCACGAGCCGATATAGATACAGAAATTGGAGAGGCAGGTGATGGAGATACCTGGTGGGAGCTTTCAAGAATATTTGCCGCTGCGGTGCCGGATACATCAAAAAATGCAGCCAAACAGCTTAAACAGGCGCTCCATTCATTACAGACTCAGAACGAGCTTTTGCACCATGAAAACGAGGAACTGCGGGGTAGTATTACTACCAGAAAACGCCGCAAATCTGAATGAAAGCTTCTCGATCTGCAGCAGCATGAAGAGTATCAAGGTACTGCAGTGGTGTGGAGCCCTCGATCAGTAAGAGAAGCCAGAGCTCGCGAGGCAGCAGAACAACTGCAACACCATGAAGAAAAACTCCAAAAAGAACGCCAGAGGGAGGAGCGAGCTACAGCAGCAGCTTATAAAAAACAGATAGCATAAGCTGCACGAGAGGCTCGCGAAAGGACGAGAATGGTGCGGCAGCAGGAGCGGGCTGCGAGGGCTACACAACTAGCTGCCACGCGCGCTCAAAAAGCACGAGACCGCGCTGCCGCAATCGCACAAAAAGCTCGCGATAGGCAGAATACTACTAAACGAAAAGCTTCATCAGCTCAGAATATAAAAAACGAAGCGGCGTCGTGTTATAGAGGCTGAAAGTGGTGGTGCTGATACATCACCGCCCGCCAAGCCTCCCACCAAAACCACCACGCGCGGCCGCAATGTGCGGTTACCCAGCAAATATCAGTAGATATATATCAAATATACGATTATCCGAGTAATCTACCAATAAATTTAGTGATAACAACGTTTTGGTGGTGGTGAAAAGTTTCATTTTTTAGCGGGCACGCATTTTGGTGGGGTGTTGCATTGGCTGAACTGTTGCACGCACTGACCAGGTACGGTACAGTATAGCTCACGCAAGAGATTGAGTCATAAAGCTCCATATATCGTTGTGTTGAACTTAATGACGTAAACAGACCATAGAGTTTATGATCATACCGTCAGTCTATTCAGCTATTGTCCTGATATGTATGATATCTCCAGCGATAGTATTATTGTGCGAGCGGAGACATGATGCACCATTGTTTCTATCCCCACTTTAACCTAGTTTATTTCTGCTACTGGATATCCCACCTCAGCTCTCCTTAGTGCTTGACAGCCAAAAAGCTATCAGAAAGCCAAATAAACCTAGGGACACAGAGGTACAGTGCGCATCCTAAAAACAACGCTGATGCAATAGATTCGCCACGCAACGCGACTTTCATCCTATATTTAAACGTTTCCTAGTTTTTGTGACGATCCTAAAAGGCTGGACGTTGGTTTACCCAGTTAGGCCTCAACAAAGCACGAAGAGATGACTCATATGTTTGACAGCGTTCTTAAACAATGTCGAAAACTTCCAGCGAAATATTCTTCCTTGTTGCACGGCAGACCTCACGCTGTATGCTAGCGGTCGTAAGATTGTCCGAACAGACTGTGCGCAGGGTGAGCTATTTGCTAAAGAGCGCATGTTTATACACTGACCAGCGATTACGGTTTTCTCATCGGAATTTGTGTTTGTCTTGTCAGAATCTTGGTCTGTCTGACCAGGCTTTTCAAGTATTGCTTTGACTTCGGCTTCGGCGTCAATGGGGTAGTAATGGGTGAAAATGCGATCTGGCCATGCATGATTGACCTTCTCTGCGGGTTTGGTGTCACCTCTTCTTTGGTTTGGCCAAATATAGTTGTCTTTTACAAAAACGTGGATTCTGAGCATCTGCTGATTGTGAGCATAGTCTCCTTCTACGTGGACCACAGTACTTACATGCTTCACATCCATTTTTAAGAGCTCGTGCATATCATCCATCACCCAGTAAATGTGTGCTGTATATACTATCAGTCAACACAACTAGCACGGACCTTGAGATAATCACCTTCAGCCTCAACCTCCCAAAACAGGGTGATTCTTTCAGTAATGACTTTGAAAGGGCCTTGAAGATCCCTTAGCCACTTCCGCAAATAGGAAAGCTGTGTGACAATTCCTATGTCTTTAGCAAACAGAGCGATGGTGGAGTACGACTGAAGATCAATTGGTTTTCCAAAGGGACCCTCGACCATCGCTCTCACACCTGATCCGTCATCCACGCTAGTTCCGCGCTCCTGTAGCAGTGGTGTGTTTTCAGTAAGCAGACTCGCAGTAAAGCCACTTTTCACCTCGACTAGCAAGAAAAGTCGATCCTCCTCCCAGGCGTACACATAGAATGGGTGGCTCTGGAGGAAAGCTAGATTACTCAGCGTCAGGAAGCGGACGTAGACGAACTGACCAGACCGGAAGTTGCATGGTCTGGGCAGCTCGAGCTCCAACAATACAACTTGAGTTGAAGATGCACTTGTCTTGAATATCTTGGCGCGTGTAAACGGGCCACGAATGCTGTAGTTGCGATACACAATGTGCATGAACCACATGACAGACGCACCCCCGTACGTGCAGCATGCAGCAAGTATATATGCTTCAGGTGGACGAAAGATTGAGCCAGATGCAACATGCATCCAAGTAGCAAGCAGTATGAGCACAGCAAGCGCGACATGCAGCTTCGCAAAAAGCTCATACTTGAGCCTCCACAGAACTCCCAGTGAGAGCAGAAGAATGGCACACAGCGCCGACGCAGCCTGATGAGTTTGGTGAGTTAAGGTGACTTCTTTGTAGCTCGAGGATCACTTACTATAAGGCCTGCAAACTGCGATAGGCTCTGAAATTCGGGTTTAGCAGAAGCAGCAACAGCAATATGCACCGCTGCATGTGCGGCTGCGACTCGCCCGAGCCAGCGGTGTGCTCTTGCAAAGTCCTCGTATTGAATGTGCAAAATGTTGACAAGAGGCCCAATCTTACCACCAAGAAATAGCGGGATCGCGTTGATTATGAAGAGTTGACCTGTTCGCTTCGCCAAATCCGAAGTGCTCTCCACGCCTATGCCGCTGCAGATAACATTGCCAATAAGGAAAATTACCAGTACCATGGCTCTAAATCGTGTAGTATCGCCTGTAATACTGATAAGTGGATGTAAACGGGGGTATACAATATATCGCAGCAGCCAAAATGGCAAGAGAGGACGTAAGTGTGAAGCGGTGACTATGATGGCAGCCAGAGTTGCCAGGCCAATCCCATACCACTGTACAATATTCATGGCGGACACCAAGAGCAATCACAACACCCTTCGTCGTAATATATCAGAATCGGATTTGTAGATGAACTTCAGCCGGAACGGGCTCAGACGTGCCATAGATAGATCTGATCACTGTAGCAGTCCTCAGTGTGCTTCGCCACAGTTATATACCGCTGTACGCGAACCAAGCATCTAAAAATAGTCTGATATTCTAGGTTGCAGTTCAGCCAGTTTCTTACATAAGCTACCATAGACTCGTTTTAAGTCGCTGTCTTCCTACTAAGTGGCAATTGAGTACCAAATGGCATTGAAAAAGAAAATCACCAAAATCACGAAGGATGATCAGACATCTCGTAGGAAAAGAACCAAAGGCCTGTTCAGCAAGTCGCACGAGCTGGGTATACGGCCAAGTTGTAAGGTGTTCACTTTTGTACTATACACCGATGTTGGCGAAGTCCGCACCTACGACTCGACGGGTGGCGATATTTTAGGAGAGCTAGAGACGGTGATGGAAAGACTAGTGAGTTACCTCCGTCTCCTTACATCTCCACTAGCAGCGCTTATGTTAACTATAGCGTCGTTTCCCCCAGGACTGGCAACGATTTGGTCCGTCCTCTTATAAGAATAGCAAGACGATCAGTAAACCGTCAAGGTGCAGGCGCCAGTCCAGCATTGAACAACGGTCCGAGGCATCGAATGTACCAGAAGAAAGAGCTTTGTGCAGCGAGCCACCAAGCTTCGATTTCAAATCACTGCCCATGTATGCCGATATAGAACTCACAAGGAATACGAGTGGAATAGTACAGTAAAATGCTGAGATCTTCGCTCGACAGTATATATCACATCACAAGGCTGCATTTGCATTTGCAAGAGTACGTGATAAACCTGCTTCCGAGTAACTAAGAAACCTTTCTGGCACTTGCGAATTCGGCATGAAATTAGTTGTGCTCGACTAATGTCCCCTTAAACCCGTTGGCATGTACCTACAGCTTTGTCACACCATTCAACATGTGGCAGTAGCTCTCCTGCTAGTCTCTCGTCTGGTGTCCTGCTCTCGTACCCAAGAAGCAGTCGTATCAAAACTGCCCAATCCTTAGTTCTGTTTTGGCGATGATGTTTGCAAGACAGGGTGCTGTCGCAATCTTTGGCCCCTGAAGATGTCTTGCATCATTAATTCTGTTCAGCTTTGATTCATTCTATATTTATTCTGAGCATTTGGGATGACAAACTAGAAGCCATAAGTGCATAGCCGTGTGATTAGCGTTAACATCCCTCCCTGGGTCACGCAAGTCCCCTCGTGCCGCAAAGAATCTGCGATTTTAGTATCTTAAAACTCGTGCAATCGCTATTATTGCACCGTAATAATGAAATGCTTATTCTTAAGGTTTTTCTCTGCAAACTTAGGGGGGCGATTAGAAAATTACAGCGTGTTTGGTCCTGTCGTCGCCCCTTCCGTATCGGCCACTGTAATGTTGATTAGCTTCACACCCCTGTCATAGCACGATATATGCAAGATTTCTACATACTAGAGAGATTAAATGATAATGCAGTTAACAGAAAATACATTCCTATATCTACTTGATATCTTGTCTTTGAATAAGTCGTATTCCGGATTTATCCGAGTTCTGCCCGTGATCCTGTTCCATTAGCTTGTAATTTTGGCGTGCTTATGTGATAGCGCATTAGTTCATGCTAAGTCGGATTAGGCCAAAGTGTGGCGTTCAGTTCTCGAAGCATCCATCTGATCACGTGCTGATCTATTTCTAGCATCAGAGCGAGTTCCTTTGTCTTCTGGGCGGCGTGGTAGGGAGGGTGAGTGTCTGTCGTAATGGCCTCAGTGGCAGTACTCACAACACCACGATCGTAGACATGGCCCCATCAAGGTATATGTTGACACAAGCCATTTCGTTTGATGCACCAACAACTACTTCCCCATTGCAGGATGATGCTATTCCATACCATACTCAGTACTACCGTAGGCGTGGGCGACCCTCTATGAAAGAGAAGGCCCAAGGCCAGCAGTATCTCACCCCAGATGAAGAGAAAGCCCTTGTCGAGTATCTTTTGCTGATGTCTGAACTTGGACAGCCCGTCCGAATCAAGTATATACCCTCGCTAGCCTTTAGCCTCGCACGCCGACGGACGACGACGACTGGCAAGCCCATCAAGCTCCCAGGCAAGAACTGGGCTCGGTCCTTTGAGAAACGCAGCCCTAGACTAAAAGGGAGGAAGGTGAAGGCAATAGACTGGAAACGGCATGAGCAGAATATCTATACTAAGGTTACACACTGGTTTGAGGTTATTAAGGGAGTTCTACTAGGCCCGAGGGTACGGCCTGAGAATGTGTATAATATGGATGAGACGGGCGTCATGCTGAACATGCTTGGCTCGGTTAAAGTCCTGGTAGGTAAGGATGACCTCCGTGACTACAGAGGAGCAGGTGTCAAGCGCACCCAGGTAACTGCTATTGAGTGCATCAGCGCTGACGGTAAGTCACTGCACCCTCTCATTATCTGGCCGGCTTCGACCCACAGGAGTAACTGGACTACTTTTCCAACCCCTGGCTGGCATTACGGACACTCAGAAAATGGATACAATGACTCGAAGATCAGCCTAGAGTGGCTTACTCGTGTATTCGATCCTCAAACAAGTGAGCGAGCTAATGGAAAGCCCCGGGTCCTAATTTGCGATGGCTTTGGAACGCACGAGACCCTGGAAGTCCTGGAATTTTGCTTCGCAAACAACATTATTATGTGCCGTCTGCCGTCTCATACCTCACATAAACTACAGCCCTGCGATATTGGAGTCTTCGGCCCTCTTAAGACAGCCTATCGTGATGAGGTAGAACGGCTTTGTCGAGGAGGGCTAGAAGCTGTCAGCAAGGAGCACTTCACTTCTGTATATAAGCCTGCTAGGGAAACGGCGATAACTAGAAGGAATATCACCGCCGCATGGGCCGCAAGTGGTTTGTTCCCATTCAACCCAGAGAGAGTTCTTCGAAAGACGCCAAAACCGCCGTCTGAGATAGCTGTTCTAGACGTGCTTGCTTGTACACAAGACCAACAAGTAGCTCAAATACCTGCAACCCCCGTAACGCCAGTAACGACAGAGGGTGTGATGTCTTTACATAACTTAATCAAACAAGATGCGTGTGCATTAGACGAGCAGAGTAAGCAACGCCTGCAGAAGCACGTACAGAAGCTCGCGAGTGCAGCGCAGATATCTCTTGCAAAGCAGACGCTTCTTCAAGATCATAACGAGTTCTTGACGAAGGTCAACAAGGAGGCTAAAGTTCGGCGATCGACCAGGTCTGTTGTCTTAGGGAAGGCGAAGGTAATGAGCTTCGAGGACCTTGAAGAGGCACGAGCCAAGCGTGCTGAGAAAGAGAAGGAGAAGGCGTCAGCTGCTAAGGGTCCTAAGAAACGAGGGCGTAAGCCTAAGAGTTCTGCTGAAGTACCGGTGGAAAAGGTGACAGAAGTAGCAGGTACGAAACTGCAAGGAGAAGGTGAAGAGGCTGACGCTCCAGTGCGAGCTCACAATATGCCTAGGCTGTGTCAGCCAGAGACAGCAGTGTTATGGAAGGCACCTGTTGCAAAAATGTATTGATGCATTGGTATGTACGGAGTTTGGGTCTATGTTATTAGGCTGGGGAGGTGTTATTGTATCTACAATCACTGGCGGATGCGGCTTCACAATAAACACAGCTGCAACGCAGTTCTACACTCTCATGCACTTGCAGCTTCCGCTTTGCGCACATAGCCGAATTGTCATCCCACGAGGACACGGACCCGCCTGATGTACGCTTATCTAAAAGGAGTTAGACTATATCAGCATTGTGCGTTGATTAGTCTGAGAGCTTAAAAGAAGACGCATTGCTGACAGAAACTAATACTATTTAGGCAAGATTACCACTAAGCGACAGAGGCTTAGCGTGGGATTAGAGGTCGCCTACTTACAGAAACCGGAAGCTGCAACTGCATGAGAGTGTATTAGGGACATTAGGCCAAGTATAGGATAAGTCGTGATGGCAGTGATGGTAGGACTGAAAGCAATAAGGATATAAGGATAGATAGATTTCATTATTACTCTCGTTGTGTTCAGCTTAAATTGTACTTTCTTCCTAGTTACTTTACTTAACGAGATTGTTACCTGTTTAGTCTATAG